AGGACCAGCAGAAGGAGTTTATTCTTGCGAAGTACTGGGAACAAACGGACATGCTGAAAGATGTAGAATGTAGAAGGCACTTAACAAGCGCCAAGCATCTTGCGGTCACAGAGAATACGTTGACCCGAAGGGATCACGTGGTCCTGATCGCAGCAAGAACTCCTTGTAGAGTCAACAGAGATCGACAACAACTGCAGCTTCATGGTGTCCAAGTCTCTGAAGTAGCGTCGGAGAGTGCTGGCAGTCGGGAAGGCAACCACCAAAAACGACAACACCATGGCCCCCAGTACCTCCACGATCGTTGTTGCGTTGCGGATAGGTACTGTTGAGATCGGCAACGCCAGGGCAAAAAACATAAGGTAAATAGCGATGGAAAGAGGCCCCAAGAAGATGGGTCTGACAATGAGGTGCTGCTGTTGCGTCGTCTTGCTTTTCAGGAAGGCAGCAAGCTCAAACAAGCACCACAACCTCGCGAGTGCGAAGGAAAACAGAAACGCGTAGAACAAGCGTCACTTAAGCATCAACGCAAAGCATATGACGAGCTTACGATGTTCGTTGTGGCTTGGCTTTATCTTGGCTTAGCTTCCGCGTCGCCGAACCAGGGGGGCGGGGGTCTGATCTATATCAGGTCTTTTGCTCTCAGCCCCCCATCCCACCTCTCAGTCCATGTCGGGTCCCAGAGAATGAGCATGCTGTCCGACTTCTTCAAGAGCCCAGCCAAGCTTAGAATGGCGTCCGTCTTCAGGCGATCGTCGTTTTGGCTGATACAAATGCAGTCAAGGAAGACTCTCGTTTGTGATCGCCAACAAGTCAGGACCAAACTTGCAACGACCAAGCCTGCAGAAGTTGACCAACAAGACCACTCCCAATCGGCAGGCCGCCACCATCCACGGTCAATCCCAGGGAGAGTTCCAAAGCTGAAGAGCACCATCATCAGCACGCCGGTGAGAAAAGCCAAGGAAACTGCCGCGGTGCCGTTGTAGAGGGTCACAAGTGTGAGGATCTTCTTCCACTGCCCTCCGTGCCAAGAGTGACTCCAAAATGTAGATATCTTCGTGCTTGCGCGGCTCTTGTGGTAGAAGTCTCCGTCAGCTGCAAAACGCAATGCTACGGCAAAATGCTCCAAAGCTCGAAACACCGGCGTCACCCTCAAGACCTCCGGGTTTACCACATCCATCCTTGGTAATCGCTGAATATCGCTGAGATCTACTCATTCTTCTTGCTGGGTTTGTCATACTCGTGCAACAACTAGAAAACATAAACGGGAGGTACACTCAACAATGCCCCAGCATCCGGGAAACTTGTTCTACCAGACTTGGCATCATGTCGTCCACGTCGAGTGTGACGTCGATGTCGGATCCGCTACCCCCAAGGCTTGGTGCCAGTGGACAGTTGGGGATCGACATGGAGCTGCTGCTGCTGCTGCAAACCTCTCCTGCATCACTGTCATGCCACTCGTCTGGAACCGTCCAGCTCCGAATGGAAATGGACTCCTCGCTGCTCTGGCTGGGCCTTCTCATCCCCCCTGGGGCTGCGCAGCATCAGGCGAGTGATGCAAGACAGCGCCCGTGGTGGCAGGGTTTAGGAAGCTTAGAGGGGTTTAGGGTTTAGGAATGAAGGGGTCACAGGTTGCATGGGGAACCGCAGGCTGCCAGGCTTGAGCCGGAGCAAACTGTCGTCGGCAAGGTTGGACAGCAATCGCACGCTCCTTCTGCTGGCGTAGACCCCGAACCGCGACAGAGCACTTGAATCCCAAGCCTCCGAACTGAAACCACAAAACCGCAAAATCCCGTCCCCCTCACTAAACCTGAAGTTGGAACATGGGATAAGGACGACTAGTAATGGGCTTCGCTGCATTTTGCCTTAACGGCATTGAAGATAGTGACATGACATGCTATACCGCATTCCCTAAGATCCAAAATCCTACAGATTGCGCATAACAGCCGAGACTCGCTAAAATTGCTAAGCTCAAGCTACCAATGTTCAGGATAAAGAGCGACTGATATGGCATCCTTGCATAATGTGGTCTGTAAAGCTTTGTGCGAAAAGGTTGCGAAGTCACGAAACTGACCGGTCAATCTTGTTCAGACCTTTTTTCCTGACGTTGGCAAATTGCACCCGTCGTTAAGCAAATCCTGCTGTACAGCTGGGAGATATGTGCCAACACGGCACTAAGCGCACTTCTGATGCGCTACTACGGTGGAGCTTTCCTTCAAAATTGAAAACACGAATAAGAAGGAGACAACAAGATCAAGTAACACATAAAGGTTCCTGCCTCATGTATTTCGTACTATATTGCTAATACAACATAATGTCATTATTCCTGTTATCACAATTATTATTACTAAGGTACAAGGATTTGTTCTGGGACTTTCTCGGTCCCCAACTGCAATTCTGAGGTGTAGTCTCCTCGCTGAGGGAAAGGTACCAAGACTGAGGATGACCATGCAGGCGTCGGCTGAGCAACGATGCACAACTTATGTTTTCGCAAGTCTTCCGGCAGCTTTCTGGCTTTCTGCTTATTGCTCTTGTCTCCGGTTCTGCTTGCTGCTTTTTGCTTTCTGCTCCTTGTCCTTTTTGTTTAAGCTTTCTGATTCATGTGCTTGGCTTATTGCTTTTTGCTTTCTGTCTTTTCTTGTTTTTCTTCAGGTTTCTGATTCTTGCTCTTTGGTTTGCTGTCTGCTTTTGTTTCTTTCTTTATTGTTCTTGTCTCCGGTTCTGCTAAGCGATCTGGTCCGCACATGAGTGTGACGAACGTTGCTGGAGACGCCGTCTGACGAAAGCCTCACAGCAATCCCGTGGGATGCACTTCAAATGACTAACGTACCTGCCGCTGCCGGGCGGTAATTCGACTCTACCCTCATCCGCAAGGATAGGGTGGCCATTCACGGGTTCGTGCGGCTGTTCGTGTGCTCGCGAGACTGTTTTTTGTGTGTGGCTGTTCGCGTCTTCATGTCAATCTGTTTTTGTGCCTTTTCGCATCCAAGTAAACTGCGACAAAAGCCTGAATCCAGCCTTACTCAGCCGACCCTTGTCCCCAGTTCTACATGGGCCAAAGCACCTGAAAGGAGCTCCCGCACAGTGGACGGAAGGAGTCCAAGAGCGCTAATAACATCTGCAAACTTTAATCCGAGCGCATACGACCAACCGCAACCTGTCTTACCATTGAACACACTCTACGAATCAAAAAAAGCGCTGAGGACAGAATACACAACAGCTGGCAGGCCACGACGAGAACCGCGGGCTCAGACGCCATCACACTACGTGATCAATTTCTGTTTAGAAATTGCTTGCTCAACAAGTCGCTCTGCTACAAGCTTAAACGAAACTGTTGGAGAGACAAGCCATCACAAAGCCAGGCAAACAGCAAGCTTTTTCACGACCCACAGTTGATCCTCGACACCGTGGAACCAGGACTTCGACCATGTGATGTGCGAATGGACACTTCGCAAGGATTAGGGCCACTTCTACACCCAAAGTGAGCTACGAACATGCCAAGATCGAGTCCCAAGGCAAACCCAAGAAGCAGCGATCTCCAAGGAAACGGTTCTTCAAAACGTCGAAGATCTTTGGACATCATGGTTCGACCCTAACCCAGAACTTAGCAGCCGCATGAATATGCAAACATGGCCGTACAAAAACAAAAGCTGCTGCACGAACGAACATACGAACAAGCAACGCGAACAGCTACATGAACACGCATGCGATCACTTCACGTGAGCAGCCGTGCGAACACGCGAACAGCCGTGTCAGTGAAGAAGCAAGCAGCCGCATTAAGAGATGAGCACTCGCCCGAAAACACGAACAGTCGCAGGAACACAAGCACAAGTTTGGGGACACTCGAAACGAAGAGCGAACATGCTGTCTGCCGTGCCTGATTTTGCGGCTCATATGAAGTCCTGCGCCCATTCACGCTTCAAGAAATTGGTGCCCCACGAAATCCCATCCACCCAAGGATCCATCCTCTGAGCCCTGATTCTTGAAGACACATTGCTGCATGTCAGCTCAAAGCTACACGGCTACACATCCACGGAGTCCAAGGTTGATATAGGCTTTAGTTTTCAAAACATGTGAGGCCCCAGAAGTCATTTCCTGAGTCCAAGGTTCAAATATGTATAGCAACTCCGATTTAAAATCTACGGGCGCATCAGTAGTCCGAGGCTCCATCATACCGTATCCTGGATCCCTTGCAGGATCACCTAGTTTCACATAACATCTACAAGCAATTAGTACAGAAATGATCGGCTTCCGCAAAGCACTGAAAACTTGTGCGTTCCCTAACCCCAGGAGAAAGGAAAATATGCGAACACCAACGCGAACGCCCGAACAGCTGCGCGAACACCAGAACAGCTCGTGCGAACACACGAGCAAACGCGTTGGCACGAGAACAAGCAAACGCTCGAACAGACGCTTCAACACATCAACACACCATCAGCATCCCCCTTCCTGCCGCTCATTAAGGTCAGCGGGCAGGCCTCGGAGAGTCGACCTGTCGCAGAGCTGCTTGCAAACGACTTCTTCGAGAGATGATCCGTTTGGCACGAAGATAGGATAGGCCTACACAACTTGACATGTGCTGCAAGCTCTGTACGTGGTGCGAGGGGACTGGTCCGATTTTCAGCAATCCATCAACCCAACGTCCCAAAGCTCGTGGTGCAGGAACGAACCGACAGACAGCACGTGGCTGCATCAACGCAGTGATGCCCGGCACTTTTATTTCCCTGCGTTGCAGACCGCTGCTCCCACGACTTCTGGTCTGTGCAACTTCAGGAGCGACAAAGACGACGATTGACCGAAGGAAAGCGCCTCGCCTGATGATCTCTGTCCAAAGCTCTTGGGAAGCGTCTTGAGAACACAAGCGACTAGCTCTGTGCTGTACATGGCTGTACCTAAGCCTGTGCGCGAAGGCTGCATTTCTGCCTTACGCAGCACATGGCTTATTCTGCCTCACTGATTAGTGTACCTCATCAATGCTCTTCCGGATGTCCCGGCAAGCGTGCTTAAGCTGGAGAGGCTCTCCTGGAGGAATTCATGCACAACATTGTGACATGTTCAGCCGGCCTTTTACTAGCAGTCACTAGCAGCTGCACCAGTCTCTCAACATACTGTACCGTACTTGCCGGACATGGTGAGATCTACATAAGTATTTGCAGTTCACAGAATATATACGAAGTTTTTACGGTCCGTGTCCGCCTTTGACGCCACAGCCGGGGTCTGAACAGCCACTGGAATAAGCCACTGCGCCTCGGACTTGTGCAAAAAATTGAGTTCGTGATACTTTTGAATACATGGGGGGGGGGGCCTTCTCAGAGGATTTCAGGAGTGTCGATTCTCACAGTTTTGTGTAGGCGTAGGCGCCTGTGCGGAATCCATCTCCAATCGCACTGCACGTATACCCCACATCGAAGCGGCGCTCACTCCAATGACTCCATGTCCCAAGACGTCCCAAGAAGCACCACAGCCCCCAAAACAAAAACGAATTCAATTCAGGGTAAGCAGCCCCTTCCTTGCGGTTGATGTGCTTGTCTTACTTATCCCCACACTGTGGTGATGCGCTTCTCGAGTCAAGTGGGTCACCGAAACCGCATTCTCACTAAGCGCACTGCGTGTGCTGATTGCCGGGCTTCTCGACATCTGTATCCTCCTTACAATGTGGAACTTCTGGCAGCAGGTCCCTTCCTACCAATTGAAGAGCCTGCTCTTATGCCGGCATGTGCTTTGCTGGCAACAGTCGACAAGGCGCTGCTACTAGTGTTAAATGCCACAGAGTAGCGGCCGGCGTTGGCTCCGGAAATAATCCGGGGGCGAGGTACTCACCGAGATCATACACTAAGACCTGAAAGGTGCAATCAGCCGTGAACCCCTGTTCAGCACCCCGAACGCCCCTGAATGCACAACACTGGAACCCAGTAAAAAAAAAGGCCCCTTAACTCTCGACTCGGATCCCGCACTCCTGACCAATTCTTGGATTCTCGGGCCGGCGGTCGATGCGCAGCAATTGCGACAAGTATGACCGGTGTGTATCCCACTGCTGCCATACAAGTGGAAAAAAAAAACAACCTGGATATCCCATGCTATATGATTCCTGATTTGCTATGGGGGATGCCACCTGGTCGTCGGTGAGGAGCGGCAAGGATGAGACCAGGCCAGCGACCAGTGCTTCCCTCAGCAGCGGCAGAGCTGACACGGCGCCGCCCAGGATGTTCTCGGGCGTAATGGAGAAGTCCACTGTTGGCTCGGAGACGAACGTCAGAGCCACCAAGCCAACGTACGGATACCCCTGCGCAGTATTACTGCAGGAGGTTTCGCAACTCAAAAGCCACTCACATGGCAAGATTTACGGAAAACGCGCTTAGACCTGAAGCCCCCAAGACCCTTCAAAGCCTCAACCCCAATTCCAGAAACTGGGAGACCCCAACAACCCACACAGCCAGAGGTGCATCGCCTGCGGGGCTGCCTCCATGGCCACCGCCACAGGCACGGGCCCGAAGACCAAATCCTCGTTTTGACACAAGTTGTGATCCATTTTGGGCCTTATTCCACTTGAGTCTTCCGATTGACGTCCTTCAAAATCACTTGATGGTCTTTCATGTGCACGACAAGAAGTCACCACTCGCATTGAAGGGTTCGTTCTTGGGCTCCAAAATTTTCTGGAAGGCCGGCTATGTTTGGTTCATGGCTAACTGGCGATAATTACACGGTTGTAGCGCCTTATTTTCCTTGGTGGTTTCGTGCGGTTGCAACTTCGAATCTTCTGGCAGGCGCAATGCTTTCAACAAATACACCTAGTCAGGGGCTTGCATGTCTACTTCTCTTGGGATGCAATACTGCTATGTTTCGGGCATGTTCACATGAGGCGTGAACCCTTGTGATAGCCCCCTTCTTCCTGCCTCCCTCTCTCCCATGAATCCCCCTGCTGCTTAAAGTCATGGCCCTGGTGCATCCAATCGCCAGAACCGTAGCCTTTGGAGAAAAAGCATGAGTGTGAAAGAATCTCCTTGCTTTTTTCCTCTGTGACATGCATGAACTATAGCCCTTAGCCCTGAGCAGAAAAGGTGGTCGCATGGCTGCTGATGAAGAAGCTCGTGGACGTCGCCAGAGAATTGGTCTGAGGCTTCGGGGCTTCAATGTCAGCATACGTCAGCATTGGCGTGACATTTTTTGACTGTCCTTTGTCCTTGCCTGTTGCCTCCTTTGCCTTTTCCCTTCCGGCCCTTGGCTGTGCTCTCTTCGGCGAATTGGGGCCTTGTCTTTCTTCTTGAAAAAGTGTCGACTTTGCCTTCGCTTTTTTCGGACCTTGCCGCCGTCTCGTCGTCAAAGACCCAGAAGCAATCCTCGAACGCGTCCTTACGAAAATCGTTCAGCTCCATCATCTCTATCCTCGCACCATCTCGCACTCTGGTAGTGCTGAGATCTTCGAGGGTAAAACAGGGGCTTGTCCTGCCCCAGAAACCCACCAATGTGAACACACGCGTCGTGGGAAGTCGTGGCGTGGACCCGTGGGGGTATGCCGGGTGTGCGCCAGGCACGGTTCTTCATGTCTGTTGCCAAGCTTGGAGTGCTGCTGTCAACGGAGAAGTGGGGAGCCGAGTGCGGTGGAGACCTTCTTTCCTCATCCAATGAAATAATCCTCTCGGCGCACGTATTAATCACATGAAATCCCTCTCTTTCTCTTTATCCTTCTCTTTCTGGGATGTCTGGTCTGAATGATTGGGTGGGCGTCTCTGTCTTCACAGCTTGCCGAGGCTGTTCCTGAGACGTATTTCATCGTCAGCATGCACCCCTTTTGGATAGCTTCCAGCCCACGCAGCCGAGGTTAACCGAGCATGCTCATCCAAAGTTCCTCAACGGGTCCATAAAGCTCGGCGTGATACGAAACTCCCCTCCGACTTTCGCCCCAATACTGAAACCTTTGATAATAAGGGATGGCCCCGAGCCAAAGCGATCTCCAACAACCAAGGACCAAGAAAACACACACAGTCTCACACAGTCACTGAGTTTCTGACCCCAAGGCGAACCCGCAGTTGTGGAAAAAGCGAGAGGGAACTTCGAACAGCAGATCTCGCGCTGGCTTTCACCAGCACCTGGGCTCAGCTGCGAAAGCCGATGCAAGCGCCAACGGAAAGAGTGCCCCAGCCTCAAACTCACGATCCGCAACCCAGAGAAGATCTGCCTTCAATGCTTCAAACTGGTAAGCAGGGTGCAGATCGACAGCAGCCCTGTGATTCATGACATTTGGCTCATTTAGTCCCACAGCCGCGCCTCCATCATCACCACTTGCCTTGGACAACTTTTGGACAACAGCCCCGATCAACATGCCCCGCACCACCCCAGCGTACGCAGTACACCCATGTACACCCTCATCATCTCACCATCTTAGACCACAAAATCAAGTCCTAACTTAGTCCGTTTTAAAGTGGGCGAGCGTCGGCCTGAGGCCCCCTCGAGTGTCCCGTGCTTTTTCCATGGCCTCGTGCAGCGCCTGCTCGGCGCCTTCGCAAGGCGTGCGAACGGCATCCAGCACAGGCGGGTTCAGGCCAAAAGTGACCTCGGCTTTGGATGCTGTGACAATGATGCTTCGTCGTCATGTGATATGGGCACGTACCCGCAGGCTGCCGGGGTGCATTCTCAAAGGCGATGCTAAGTGCATCGTCTTCTCCCGGAGTCATCTGAAAAGTGAACATTGCCGCCAGCTCAGCACCCAGCCCGCTAACGGATTTCTGCAGTGGTGTCCAAACAGCAGAGACGACCATGTTGAACCATCGAATGCTTTCCTCTTCATCAGTGACACCGCTGTAAACCCCCAAGCCTTGCTCAATGATTCTTGCCCGGCGCTGCTGTTCCTGATCCACGCTCAGCACAACAGTCAGCAGCATCGCCAGGCCAGCACAGTGGAGCCAAACTCCTGGACGACACCGGCGACACCTCACACGCCGCAGGAGCCTGCGAAGCTTGGCACTTCGAGATCTCGCCTGGGAGTCTTCGGAGACTTGTCGGCTGGCGTCGCCATTCTCCGATATCAGTGGCTCCAGATGTAGATGCTCTGTATATGAAGACCTCAAAACTCAGCAGAAGTCAGATAAGCCACTCAGCGCAGCATGATGTTGCACAACCGTTGCAAGTGACCATGCTTGTCTCTGCCCAGGCCCCGGCCCTGATCTGACACCATTGGGAGCTCGACTTGAACGGCCGAGCATCCATGCCACCATCAAAGCCAAGGTCAAAGGCGGAGCCAGCGCAACCGTCCTCTCACTGGGAGTTCCAAAAGCATCTCGCAGCAGCCGTCGTGCCAGCCGCTCCGCGACGCGCCGCTGCCTGGCGCGCTGCTCTCTGTCGCGTGCTATCATGTCAGAAGAGCCTTCGACATGAAATGCACAGCACCCGCATGCGCCCACATGCACCCGCCTGGGCCGTGTGACTAGGTAGCTGCTGGCCGAAGGAAGCGATCTTTCCCTCGCTTTGTCCATGCGGGCAACCGGGAGAGGGGGGGTTGAGAGTGCGGGTCGATGTCAGTGCGAAGCGAGCAGATATAAAGAAAACCTAACGGAAGCAACGAATTGAGTTCAAATCCCCGTCATCAATTTGATGACGGGGATTTGAACTCAATTCTACGAGAGCGAGCACAATGGAGCATCGGACAATGCCACCGGTAGGCGAAACAAATTGCACCGCGCGCGAGATCAAAGACCATAGCTCTCAGGAAGAGTTAGTGACAGTTAGGTGCTTGCCTAGTGCAACTCAGAGTTCGGTGCAACTTTCGGTGCAGTTGCCTGAGGCCTTTTCTGAGGACTCGGCTCGGCCGCGCCATCATCGTCTTTAGGCAGCGGCTGCCGGCTCTGGCCACGCAGTGCAGCTCCAAGGCTCCTGGTCGGCTCGCTCAGAACCTGCGCAGCAGGTAAACCTGCCTTCTCTCACTCTAAGAATGGTCTCTACACTTCCAGGCCCTCCCCTTCTCCTAACTTTGTGCTTCTTCCGGGGAGCTGCAAGTGAGGACTAATGGAAGATTGGTACTTGAGCAGTGGCCCCCTGTAAATTCAGGGGCTGTGCTTCAATTTCGACTCAGCTCGCACCTTCACGCTGTCCTCGGCGACCTTTGCTGCCTGCCACGAGCTATGGGGCGGGACGCGCCTCTTCTGTCTTTCTGGGGCATGGCTCTCTCGCTCTCTCTCTCTCTCCCCGCAGGTTTTGCCACGGAGTCCTCTGCTGTGATGCCCTCGACAGTGCCACCAAGACCGATAGTTGCGTTGCCAGCTCCTGTGAGGACTGCACCTGCTATCCTGTAGACACCAGCCTTGGAGTATGCACAGCATGGAAAGACATTCGCCACCACAGCCACCACAGCCACCACACAAACATGCTTGGGAGCGCAAAATTCACTTACGCTGAGGCATGTTTGGGTCTGTAATCAAGACAGAATTTGCTGGGGCTGCACGCATGTAACCCTCATTCATTCATCGGTGCTCAACGCATCACTGCTGAAAGTCCGCGACTAATCAGTAGGTGCAGATAGCTCACAACACCCCGCCCCCCCCCCCCCTTCCCCTTGCGGAGCACTCTTCAAGCAGCCTACGAGAGCAGCGGCTGGCGGCTAGAAGAATCGGAACTTCATCTACTGCAATATGAGTCTCCCCCGCCCAGGCCAAAAAAAAAGTGTTGTGACATTCTGAATTTCTCTTCAATGCCCTTGCCTGGTCTGTGTGCTGACGCGGGCCCCACGACTGGCACCCTGAAGTCCTAAAAGTAGGCTTTTGCTCGAGGTCCCAAGCTGCCAAGCGCATCGCGCTCTTCCTATAACATGTCTTCAGGCAACCCGAAAGTGCAGTCTTCTTTTTCTTCTTTTCCCCCTTTCGAACAAGAGAGCCCTGGCTAAAGGGAGAAAAAGGCAAAGGGGCGGGGGGTGCACAAACTTGCCAAAGCCTGTGCCAGCAAACCACTCGACTAGAATGGTCTGATCTATTGTAGATGCCTACAGCGTTGGCTTTCGGTTCTCGTTTGCCTCGTTGGGAGATCCTGCCCTGGACCGTCAGGACTCAAGTTTTTGGTTTCGGTCAGTTCAAGCAATTGAGAGCTTCAGGTTCTTTCTCCCATTTTGGGCTGGTTTCGCTGGTGTCAGTAAAGCGGGTGAGCGAAGAGGACCAGCACAAGCTCGGGATACTTTATAAGGTTTCGTGAAAAGTCTCTTGAAGGGCCACATCAGCCCCTGAAAGTCCCAAAGCAAAAGAATCTGCATAGCAAGAAGGCGTAGAGGAGTCCGAATACATTAGCTCAGCAGAGCCGTAGATAGGCGTAAGTACTCGCCAAAATGGCCAACACCCATCAAAAGACTTAAAGTTCTCACAACAGCCATGTTATTTGAAGGCAAAGGAAAGTTGAAATCTCTCTACAACTCTAGAAAACTTGGTCCACGATGGAGACATCACGGCGACACAGAGACCCCCAATTCACCAAGCAGCAAACACCCGTGATGGTGCTGCGAGGGGCCCATGTTTGATCACTTGCGTCTCCCCAAACCTGGCTTTGAAGGCATGCTCTGTGCGCGTATGTGCTTGTTCAACCTAGGATCCTTGTGCAGCGAAGGGGCGTCTGCACAGCCTGACCGAGGCCGCGTGTGAGACCACCAGTAAGGCGCAAGGTAGCTCCAAGCGTGGCTGCAGTGGTGTCGCCCACTCCTCGGACCTTCGAAGATCTGCCAGAGCATGTCAGAGTGTTCCCTTCCTCTCACTTTGAAAATTTAGCGGTGTCGCAGCGTGTGGCAGATTGTCACTCCGCAGATGCTGCTGAGTGGCCAAGCCAGCAGTCTCGTCCACGGTTCCTGTGATCGCATCTAATGTCGCCGCCATTGCTCGCCGGGCCTAGCACACACACACACACACACACACACACACTTGGGCACATTTTGCACTAGGCAGCTCTTCGAACACTCTCTTGAGAATTCACGCCTCTTGAGACATTTACCTGGTCTGCTATGGGTTTGCTGCTTCGCACAACTTCGCGCTGGCCTTCCGACCGTTGGCCGTGTAGTTGCCTCTGGCTGGCTCTGACCAATTGCCCAGAGTGACCTCATTGCCAAGAGCCTCGAACTGCTCAGCACGCCTTAGCACATCTTTTGGGAACTTCCCGCAGGAGCTGCGGAACACTGGAAAGCCGGGACAGGGTTGTAGGGGACGGGGGGAAGAGGGGACAGGGGGGAGAGGGGACAGGGGGAGCCTCAATTCAAAAGCTACCAAAAAAGGCCGCATTCGAATCAAAGTCCAAGTCTGTTCATGTGAAAGCAACATTATGTCTTTAACATGAAGATAACTTAAACGCCGCATTCTGAGGCACGTAGTGGGTATGCTTTCCGCTGCAGAGCGTAGGAGGAGCCAACCATGCAGCAGACATTGGAGGCCTGAACGCTGCCAAGGCCGAGCCATTGCACTCCGGCTTCCAGGGCTTGTATGAGTTTATGTTGGCGTTGGTGGGGTGTAGGGTGTAGGGTGTAGGGTGTAGGGTGTAGGGTGTAGGGTGTAGGGTGTAGGGTGTAGGGTGTAGGGTGAAGGGTGTCGAGTGTAGGGCCTTGGGTGACGCGACTCTCGTCTCAGTCAGGGTGGGTCACCGTTACGCTTCTCTGCGGCGCAGCCTGGCAGCGTGATGTTTCTGCACAGGCGTCGATATGTTCAATGCGTGTCAGCATGTCAAGATTTTCAGAACGTCCGGGTCCGAAGAGTGGTGGTGGCAGGCTGTTCCCCCGGCAGGCTATCCTACATCTACGCTTGTTCTGTTGGCCTGCATTAGTCTCAATTGTCTAACAAGTAATCTTGAGCCACACAGATGTGGATGGCATCATGCTTTCCTGTCAAGGAAAGCAGATTCAACTTCTCACGGAGCGCGGCAGCGTGAGCGGCGCCTCCACACAGACGTTGCAAACAGCCGCAGCCGCAGCAAGGCGGTATAATGCAGCATACTCACAGTATACCATTTTTAAAACATCTAATCTCTAAACGGTCTTGGAAACTCTATGCCGGCCGGTCCAGGAGGTCCCTGGGGGCCTCGATGGCCTCGGCTTTGGGCTCCGCCATCCCGCGCCGGGCGCCGCTTGGCTCAGCTCGCCGGTGCCTCCAATGTCCTCAAATTCCTCTTCGTTACAGGGACGGCAAAGGGGCTAAACTTGGGCGACGCTTGCTGCTACTGTCCGACTGCATAGGTTGTCGTCGGGCCATGGCTTTGAAGCGCTAAGCGCTTGAATCTGAAACTCCAATCTGGTTACCTTCCACGGGGCTGCCCTGTGAGCCTGAAGCTCTACAAAAAATCTGGTGGCCCTAGCATCATTTGCAGGCCACTACAGGACAGAAACGTCTGCAGCTCCATGCCGGTAACGGGGCTTCAAACAGAAAACGCAACAGAACTTAGCGGTGGTCGGACGGAGCGGTAGCGGAAGCAGCAACTGGACTGTCGCATGCAATAGGCTGAGCTGTTTCTGTAACGGAGCTGCAACGGAAGCTGTATCGGAAGCTGTAGTGGAGGGCCCCGGTGGGTAGCGCAAGTCACATACTGTGCAGCCGGAAAGTCGGTGCAATGTCTTGTGGCTACACCGTTCTCCGCAGACGCCGCGCGTTCAGCAAGTACAATATATATATATATATACACACAAACAAACTCCTGGGACGCTTGGGCAGAGTAAGCGACGAAAAAAAGACTAAACTCGTGCAAATCAGTCACGAAAAAGCAGCTAAAATCGCGCAAATCTACACCAACCCCTCGGGACATTTGGGCAGAGACGAAGAAAAAGCGCCTACAGCAAATGCACACTAATCCCTCGGGACGCTTGGGCATAGGCGACGAAAAAGCGCCGAAAATCGTGCAATTCATGTGGTTCGCCAGCTAGACGCTGTGGTTTAGGGAGGCCAAGTCAGGCAACAATCACATGGAGATCGCCGGAATCACCAACCAGACGCCTGGCATCAGACCAGACAGGGCAGTGGCCTTGAGCATCATAACAACATACCAGGAACTGGTAAATGATTGGGATACTTTGGCAGTTTCCTTAGGCTGCTAAGAGTCCGGGGCACCTGTTTCTGGGTTCAAAGAGGGCGCTGACTCTCATGCAAAGTACAAAGCAGCATCCTACATATGAAGGCGCCACATAACTGTCAGGCCACCATACCTACGGCGCAATCTTTGTGAAGAGGGCCACATTCCTTTCAGCACAATCGGTGGTTTTCTTGAATCGAGAACTTCACCCCGAGCCCTACAGTCAGACCCCTGAAGTCATAGATTTCAGTGTGGGGAACCTTCCCCCCAAGGAACTGCGCGTTATGACTTCTTTCCTGGAAGCTTGTCTTGGAGTCTTGGGCTTAGAGTTTGGTGTGTGTTGGGTGCTTAGGGTTCAGGGTGTATAATGGCTCAGGAAACTTGAACTTGAATACCTTTCCTCGCATGAACTCGGTCATGGTGTGGTCTGCTTGTGAGGTCTCGACGTGAAAAGTGCCCCCAAAGCCTATCGCGGTGGAAAATATGCAGTTTGGAGTTGAAGGCTTGGGGCTTAAATTTCAGCAGCTTTGTGTGGTCAGTCGCGTGGATCTAAGTCATCTTGACGTCCGGTCTCAGCAAAACCCACAAATCTGTTTCCACATGTAGCAACATGTAGCAAGTGTGAGAACACGAACTACATATGAGCCCCTGACTAGTTCATGAACATCAGCGAAAGACCCCTGCACAACCTTAGCTTAATCAAGGGCTCATATCCTGATGGCCTCATCTAAATTCAAACGGGGGAGTTCCCCAGAATGACCTTACGGGATCTGGCAAACCCAAATTAGGGTCTAAGTACATTACGTGGCATGGATCCTGCAAGGTGCCACCATCTAAGCAAAGCGACTAATTGAGAGTTCGCAGACAGCAGGGCTGGGCAAGTACAGGTTTCCAGCAATGAGTCCGAGGGCCGAGGGGTCACGAAAAAGGCCGTGACTGATTGGGTCTTTGGAGTTGGAGGCTGAGGAACGGGCGGTTGACAGGAAAGCTTAATTGAGCCAATCGAGCTTAAACAAAGTCTCGAATTCAGTTGGCACCACCCGCGCATCATGAGCATCAGCGGCTCCGGCCTCGAAGCACTGGTGGCTTGTGGGAACATATGGCGGCCTCAAATCGGAAATGCCCATAACAGCACGCAAACCATGGTATTTGCAGCGGCTTCTGCGTTTTCGAAGCTCCCAGCCGCATCCGAAACCCGAGGCCCGACCCGCTAATTATGCTCATGACGCTGATTATGCTCATGACGCGCGCTCTTGCTGGGGTCGGGGTGGCCGGCACCAAAAAATCAACAATGCATTGTCGGCAAAAGTCGATGCTCAGCCAACCTGGGTGGGGTCTAGCGCGTTTTTCTCGATACAACATGTGGTTAAAAAAGGGTGCCCTTCGGAAGCGTTTGGAGCCGGCGGTTGGCTTCCCAACCGCGGCGGCATATGCCCCCGACTCCCGGGCCCCTCCCCGATATACGCCGACGCGCTGATACGCCGAGGATATGCCGATGTCCCCCTTATACGTATACCCTCTCGCCCTTCCCGTTCCTCTTCTCCCCCCGGAAAAAAAACATATGGGCCGACAGCAAAAGAGCCTGTCTTTTTCTGGGCCTGCTTTGGGTCTAGGGTTTAGGGAAGGCGAAACCCTGAACACAGTAAACTTAAAGCCCAAACCCCAAACCCTGAACTCTCAACCTGTACTTGGGAGGTTCTGTAAAGCACGTACCCCGAAAGGGCCCATAGTGTAGCCCGCGAAAACTTAAAACCCTACACTAAAGTAGCCCTCAACTTGAACGCCTCTACAGTCAAAGTCCTAAACTTGGAAGCCCAAAATCAAAACCCAAAACCGAAGGGTTTGGGATTTTGGTGGGTGAACCTGCTGTGTCTTAGCCTTAGCTGCCGTTGCGGCCATTCTCCGCGCTGGCCCGCCCCTTTCCGAATTTCCCCTCCGACTACAGAAAAACCATATTGTGCCGACAACAAAGGAGGCCATGAGAGGCCTTTTTTTCCTGGGCCTGCTTTCGGCTTTGGGTTTAGCCCTCTTTTCCTTCCCCCACCCCGTGCCCTTGGTCAGCACAAGCTACAGGCCTGACATTCCAGAAGCAACCTGCCTTCACTAAGACGAAGGGTTGTACCCATACATTTCAGACTACACAAAACATCTGTCGAAGTCTGCAACGGTTGTTCAGTATGAGTCCGAGTATGGGCGGACACATAGAACCCACGACATGGACCAAAGCGTCCTGGGCCTGTCAATCCGACAACTGCCATGCTACCCTGCAGCTCAACTGCTCCGGGCATATTGTTGGACATAGCGGTGTTTTGGGCGCCATCTAAATAATCTAAATCCGTATTCTACCGGTCATATTGAAACAATATCAATAAAATCATATCATAAACTTATCCTGCGCCCTGCTGTCTGTAACACATCTGCATGTTACGATAAACAGCAACAACAAAAGCAAATAGTAATGACAGTAACAACAGCCAAATGACGACAGCGCCAGCTACAGCAACGCAACTAACTACAAGAACGACGACGACAACACTAATTGTAATGAAAAGCGTCGGCCAAACAAAAAAACAAACTCCGGTAGGAAACCGCATTTAGCCTCTCGTAGTGGAAACTGAGGCTTGATACCCCATTCAAAACTATGTCCTTTGCCAGTTTGCATGGAACCATCGAATCAGCGCTGAGTTGCTAGCATCCGGGCGCCAAGCTTGCCCTGAAGATTTCCCCTCGCGTGCCAAGCCGATCGAGCTGAGCGGAGACTCCTCACAGGCCTATCTCTCACGCCAGCGCCGATGCTCACTGGCAAAACTACAGAAGAGACTCGCCTCATCCCTTACGGACCACACCAGACCTGGCACGTTTCCTGATTCGTGTTGACAGGGGGCGGCTCATGAAGGCTCATGAAGGCTAAAACATGTGCACCCGGATGCCACTTTCTCCATCTCGCAAAAGTCGACTTACAAGTTATTGTCCCATATCGCTGTTCGGCAACCGAACTGCTGGAAGCCCATGTACACTTGGTGAATCATGCGCCGCGAGAACTCGTATGGAGACAGTCCTGCCCAGAGAATGGCATCTTTCTGCTGCCGGTTGAGGGCGACACGCTGCCTGATTTTCCCCAGGTGCGGTGGCAGCTTGCCGGCTGCTTCCACCACGTGGGGATCCGCGGTGAACACCTCGGCAGCAGAAATTTCGGCCTGCGCCTCAGTGCGCTTCGGATGACCCTCGAAGATTCCATTGTAGAAGACGGGGCAAAGCAGCTCAGCAACGAAGAACCGTGGCCTGCTCGGATGTGCCACAGTTTTATCGTGGAAGTGGTACTTGAGCTCTTTGCGATCAGTAATTGCGGTGTATCGCTCGAAGAACTCCAGCACTGCCTGCTTGGGGTGAAGCCTCCTCATGTCAAGCCCAATCCACTTTGCCAGATCGGTGGCAACTTCTGGCAAGAGGCCACTAGACAGTAGCCTTTCAAGCGCGTCCACATCTGGAAACTTGTGGATGTAAAGCCTTGAGATGTTCAGACTGCCGTCTGCATTGTAAACTTGCTGAAGTGCTTGCTCAACGTCATCCACTCCATCACGGGAATCTTCGTCTTTGCAGAGCGAAGTCTGCCAAGAGCTCTGAGATAGATCTGACAGGGTTGTGACGATCCAGCGACTGTACTCTGTGAACAATCATAGCCGTCTTCTTTCTGAACCTCAATTTTCCCTTGGCCTTTGCTTTCCTCGCAAAGAAGCAAACGGCGCCGCTTCTGAACCTCCGTTGACGCGGAGGAGTCTCATTAAAAGCTTGCAATAAAACGAGTTGCTTGTTACATCTTCGGTTTGTTCTTGGTAAAAAGCCAGGGCTTGATGTGGATGTGGCGTAGTAGTGCGTAGTAGTGCAGGAAGCCACCAAGTGTGTGAGACTTTGGGTTCGCTACCCAGACAGCTGCGGCAAGATGTTTCATGCTTGTACAATCGAAGGAGAATACGGCTGCCAACACGCTGGTAAAGACTTTATCAAGACAGTACGGGATGCTGATAGTATGAGCGGCAACAATGGTACTACCGGTGATTTGCGTATGCCCTGCGAAACCTAAGGCAGGTAGCCATAAGCCCCAGTGCACGGCCTTGTGCCCTGCATTCACCAGAAACATAGCCCGACGTAGTAGTGGCCGAGATATGGTAGATGATGTAGAAATTTAATCCCCCCCCCTCTCCCCTCAAAGAGCGTCAACCGAAACCCTTGTTCGCCTGGGTTGTTGTGATACGGTCGACTCCATATGCCCTCAACCCTCGTCTTCCCCATAGGCTCCTGGACAGGCCCCGGAAAGGCCCCGGAAACCCATCGGTTGCATCCGGCGGTCCTGTAGATTCAGGGGTTGAGGGATAAGGGTTTAGGTCCCAGAGGATGCTGTAGATGACAAGGCACATGGCAAGTTCGTCATGCATAGAAACTATGAGGGGTGGAACATTTGGATGGTTCTTTGTTGATAACTCCCGCTCGCGTTGCGTCACATGGAGCGTCAAATCGTGTGGACCGACAGACCCACCAGCTGTAGGATGACAGGCGCAATGACGATTTGAAAACCCAGCGTCTGCTAGGTAAATCTAGCTCAGCACGTCGATGTGAAACAGGATTGGGGTAAATGCAAGCAGCACATAGATGTCGAAAAGGGATTGGTAATCGCTTGTGCTTTGAGGCTTTCTCTCAATCAGTCGCAACACAACGAACAGGATCGGGGTAGATGCTTGTGCTTTGAGGCGCACTGTTGGGCAGGAAAGTCCATCTTGGACGTATTGCCTCGCAGGTGAGCGGATGTTCAGAGAAGTTGCCCCAATCATTACTGTGCAGCACTCTCCTTACGAGAGAAAGCTCCCGTCCAGGGGCTTGGCTTCAGGGGCCGTAGCGGAGTTCATAACAAGACGGGACCCGAACATGGACCCTAAATAGAGGAATTCCTTCCTGCGACGTGAAGACACCGAAGCAGCATCAAGCAAACCCAAGTATGACGCATTACCTACGACCTACTACCTACTACCTACTACTACTACCCACTAACTACTACCTGCTTCCTGCTACCGGCCACCACTCAGCACATCCACCTGAACACAGGCTGGCATGGCGTCGACGGTTGCCAGCGAACTGTCAAAACAATTGATTTGAGATCGGCACGGAGGTGGCAGAAGAGGCGGCATGGCGACCTGGCTCAGAAGTCGTGGTGGACGGGACCTCGCTGCCTGGATGGAACCTTTTTTTGGTTGCTTCATTTTGGTGTGGCATGGATGCTCTGGTAATCGGATGGACGTAAATGCATCGCCAGCCATGGATGCGCCAACCGCAGCTCGGATGCTCGTAAATGGATATTGTGGTACTGGGCGTCAATGCATGGATGCTCTGGTAAGCCGATGCTCTGGTAATGGACGTCAGTACATGGCCAGTGGGTGCTTTAGTAAACAGATGCTAACAACATGGACATGAGGCATGGATGCTCTAGTAAATGGATGCTTTCGTAACGGACAGTATAAGATTTGCCCAGGCATGGATGCTGTATGATGCCGTGGTAGGCGGATATTCTGGTAATGGACGCTGATACAGTCAGTGAATACCATTTCCATTTTCTACCATGCACACCCCCCTAGGCCACCTGAAGACCCAAAACCATAACAACCTATACCTCAACCTTCAATCCACCCAAGACCCATAGGTAGAACCCTAGGAAAGACCCACCTGAAGACCCAAAACCATAACAACCTCTACCTCAACCCTAACCTCACCAAAAATCCCAACCCAAATACCCATACCATGGAACCACCAGAAGAAACCATACACCACCACATAGAAAACCCCTAAGCGCCCCCATAGAAAAACCCATATTCCCCACCCGAAAACCCTAACCCTTGAAAATGGAAATGGTATTCTCTAATAATTTTACAATAGTAGGAATAAGGTTTAGGAATAAGGTGGTCGCCATACTCGGGCCTGCGCAATACCCCTTTCAGACCCTTTCCGGTCAGCGAAAAAAACCGGGAAACTAAAACGGTTGATTCGGAAACTGGAAAACGACTGATTCAGAAACCGGCCGTGATTCGGAAACCAAGCATGAATCGGAAACTAAACGGCTGATGCGCAAACTAAACGGATGATTCGGAAACTAAAACGGCTGATTCGAAAACCGGCAAACGACTGAATCGGAAACTAAAACGGCTGATTCGGAAACTGGAAAACGACTGTGCTCCACGACTGCGCGGACCAGTTTCTGATTCGGCGACTGATCTTCACATGCTCCCCACGCGCCTCCGCAGCCAAAACAAGCAAAAAAACAAGCACAAATATTTGACTTCGAACATCCCGGTTGGGCACTCCAGGGACACTCTGGGGCTGGGCACTCCGAGCACACTCTGAGATTGGGCACTCCAGGAAGACAAATTGGGCACTCTGCCAGTCGGCAGGGAGACGCTGGGCTTGGGCATTCCAGAAACACTCCGGGGCTGGTAGGGAGAATGGGGTTGGGCGGCACTCCAGGGATGAGCGATGAGTAGACCGCCTTAGACCGGGCGAAGAGAAGAGTTCCGGGCGAGGAGAAGAGTTGAGTTGAACATCTAACAACACCACACCGAGGGTGGGGAACAACAGCAACAAAGTACCCGCAGCAAAACACAAACGCGCCCCCGTGCCCGCAGTAACAAACAAAAAACACCAGCAGCAACAACAACGTTCTTACCTTCACGGGCGCGGACCCTCAGTTGCTCGCGGAAGAACTCTTTCGCTGTCTGCTCATCGTGCAACGACCTCAAGCAACAAGTGATATTATTTGCGAACCACGATCAATCCCCAACTCAATTGAGCTCTGCGCAGCTGGAGCATCTGCACACCAATCCGCACGCAGGTCTCCATGTGATCCTGATGCGGCAGCAACTTGGGGCAGCTTTACAACATGACGCACATGAGGAATGGCCTGCGCCACTGGTGTCTCATCGTCCTTGAGCTCCTTCCGCGTGACAATGCCGAGCTCCGTCAACCTGATGACGCGGGAGCATTACCACATGCGATACAGCTGCATGAAGCTGGCACAGGGTGGCACTCAGACCGACGCAACGAAAAGGCCCGCAGGGCATCGCCCTGGAGAGTTCGGGCATAGCGGGCCTTGCATGTAAAATTTAAACCAACCAACAATACGCCATTCCACATCTTCGGCTGCCTGCATCCATCGGCGTTTAGGCCTCGACCCAGGCGCCGTCACCCCACCATTCGGCATTTGGCGTGGACCCCTGCGGGCGATGAATTTATCAACATGAAACTATGCCTCCATGTGCTCATGTGGAAGACAGAATTCAATCAAGCGTGCAAAATGCGAACAGCTTAGACCGACACACTTTAGGGTTCATTCTGAACGACACTCCCTTCACTGTCACGGCGCAGTAAAGTGCAGGACTCACCATTTGATTGCCGTTCTTCTAGAGACAGTAAAGATAGTAAAGTGCTAACGCAGCATCGACCATTCGAAACTTCCAAACACGTCAGCAGCTTTAGCGCTTCGCGGGCCGCTGCGCCCAGCAACCAGTAGGATAGGCCGTTCGCCACCTTCAGCGCACACAACACAAATAACAGCTGCCGCGCTGGCAAGCTCAAACGATGCTGCTACAGCATCGACATCTCCAGCTGCTGAACATTGCTGCTAGCCTGCCGTGCCTCTTGCCAGATCCACGAAAATGGAGACTCATCAGCGCTCAAGACCTTCTCGTGTAGATACGCTTATACGTCAACAACTTGCAGGAGCATGTTCTTCCTAACCTCCATCTTTGATGTGTGAATCACAATTTCGCTGCTGGTTGCGGCGTCTTCGGTGGCCCTCTCACTTCAAGCTCCATTCTACATCGGCTACGGGCTTCCCCTCTGCAACATATCCTTCAATATTACGATGCTGGGTCCCTAGGATGGGCTGCAACAGGCTTGGACATGCAGGACAACCGCGTGATGTCCGGGTCTTCCTGGTCATAACTGGCACCAATTGACGCATATCATACAAACATGACTCACGTTCTTCGTGCAGGGTACAACAACTTCCGACCTACGTTCACCTGAGTTTTCAGTAAGGAGTCTCTTGCAAGGTGCGTGTTATGAAATTGTCTTCACCCACATGTTCTGCCTCTGGCGCCTCATCAGCTGGAAGAGGAGGGAATGGCACAAAGGGCTCCGGAGTGACCTAAGGGCGGGTTCGTAATCAGCACCAGGCAAATCAGGCTGCCAAACATCCTGCGAATCAGCCTGCTACCTTCTCTACAGCCCTGCTCCTACTCTCGGCTCTAGGCTGGTTCATCTCAATTCTGCTCTAGATTCTACAGCACTCATGGCGTCGGCACGGACGTTGATGGACTGCTGCAAAGCAGCATCAACGTGCTGCTCAGCGCCACGGTGCGCGAAATCCGCGACCCTTTTTGCGCTACCCTTCGACCTCCAAGGTGCGCGAAATCCGCGACCATTTTTCCGTTTCCCTTCGACCTCCAAGGTGCGCGAAATCCGCGACCCTTTTTCCGCTACCAACCTCTGAGGTGCGCGAAATCCGCGAGCATTCCGCTACCCTTCGACCTCCATGGGTGCGCGAAATCCGCGACCCTTTTTCCGCTACCTTCGACTTCCAGGGTGCGCGAAATTCGCGACCCTTTTTCCGCTACCAATCCTCTGAGGACTCTGAGGTGCGCGAAATCCGCGACCATTCCGCTACCCTTCGACCTCCAGGGTGCGCGAAATCCGCGACCCTTTTTCCGCTACCCTCAAACCTCTGAGGTGCGCGAAATCCGTCGCAACGTGCATGTGCCTGCATTGCTGCTGCGCCTGTTTGCAAGGCGGAATGTGGCAAACGTGTGCTGCAAAGCGGAACCACAAGGAACCCTGCAAAGGTCCCCCAATGCCAAATGAAGCCAAATGTACAACTGTCGTTGCGCTAACCACTCGGAACGCATGAATAGACATCATTGAGCGCATGGCCTCAATTTTTCGCTCGCCGGGCCTCGGCGCGGATGTCTTGGGATGGGTATGACCATTGCGCAGCACGCACAACTGCCTTGCGTCGTTTTGTCACGTAATGCCGTGCTGATGTACATTAGTCGTGTTTCGCGAAGGCTGTCCTTCAACGAACCGAGCATCCCAACCAGCACTGGCCCATGATGACAGGCCCCTGCAGTCTTGGATCACGGAGAGTGGGAGATGCGCAAAAGCCAAAGCCGCAACTAATAGCATACCCGGCGCCTGTCTTCAAAGGAGAGGCGGGCACACAAAGTGGCAAACTGAAATTGGGCCGAAACGCTCGAAATGCATAACAATCAAAAGGCTGTGTCGCAGCACCTTGCAAGCCGAAACGTATGGCATGCAGTCAGCAGTTGAAGCAGGTGATAGGCTCAGGGCCATCATATGCGAAGTGAAGGGCCTCATCCCCGACGTGAAAGACTGGTTTGAGGCATCCCAGCGCAATATGAGGCACCTGTGGGTGACTGATTGTAGATCGTTGAGTGATCACCTTAACACAAGCCAACCTTTGCGGCGCCGCAACGGTTTCTGACAAGAGGCCAGGCATCGAGTTAGCCGCTATGCGAAATCAGCTCTGGCATGGAGACGTGATGACATATGAACTTCATGCTCCAAATGGAGATCGCTTGCGGTGGACTGATACAGCCACTCAGTTGGCTGATGCACTCACCAAGAGTATGAAACCTCACCAGCTGTTCAGAACCATGCGTGAAGGTGTGGTAACACTCAGCGAGCCGGACAAGAAGCTGTCCAAAAGCACGCCTAGACCATCTATCTCTAGGGAAGATGAGCAGGCAGATGAGGGCTGAGCCAAGTGAGCAGCTGAAATTTATTAGCGGATTAGCTTGCTAATAGTAGCCCAGAATCGCATACTAGTAGAAAGAGCCCAGCAAACATTCTGTACAGCCCGGCACACGTCTATAGATAAGACGGGTGAGAAGATAACACCATCTCGTCATGTATAGCTTGAGCGTGTGCCCCGTTGTTTGTAGCTTGATTCATGTATCTGTTGCCGTTTGTTACTCACAGGCGCCTTGAGCTAGTGGCAAAATTCGTGTCCTTGTGCGCTTCGTTATCCAAAGGGCTTAAGGCTCAGAGGATTTTCAGGGTTTGGGCTCAAGGTTCAGGGGTTTGAAAAGGTTTAAGTTTAGGCTTTGGGGTTTAGGCTCTAAGGACCCCCCCCCCAAATTCAAAAAATTGTCCCGCCCAGGCGAATTTTTGAATTACGGAGGGGGGGCGGGGGGTTTTAGTATTAGGGGGAAGGGGTTCTCGAGTGTGGTGGACCAGACAAGCCCGGCCTCAAGTTCCCTAATATTTTTCCAGCTCGGAGTGAGTCCACTGCTGCTGGATATGTCCACGCCCTTGGAGTGGATCAAGTGCTGCTTGTTTTTTTGCAACCCTCAGGATGGCACTTCCTTTGGGACTGTAAAGCCATTTGCGCCCATTGGTCTGCCTTACTGACCGCGCAATGGACGCTCTCGTTCTGCGAACTCAAAAATCAAAAAGTCTCTCGCTCTCTCTCTCTCTCAATCTCTCTCGCTCCCTCTCCCCTCTCGCCCTCTCACTCTCCCTCCCCTCTCGCGTACATATACTGACATATACTACATATCCATACAGGACAGTGCCCCAGGCCTTCTCCCCCCCCCCGGCTCTTTTTGGAGCGCGACTGTGTCCAGCTTGTCCAGTCTTCGGGCCTTGAGGGGGCTCTCAAAGGAGGTCTCCGGAGTCTCCGGGTTCAGCCAGCTTTGGAACCTCCCGAAGCCGACACACAAGCGACACACGGAAGCGACACCCGGCAGGGAGGGGTGAACGTCAGGGATTTCTGCTTTCAAGCATGCCATGGGGTCACGGGTATTATTAAGTGTGGGTGTCTGTTAAAGCTTAAACTGCCTGCCAATTCTGACGGTAAAGGACAAGAACATACAAGAACTGTTCTCGGATTCCAGGGCCCAGCACTTCGGGTGAAGCACCGAAGCTGGCGCAACAGCTCATGCGATGTCTGCTTGTTCAGATCTCGACATCCCATCTCCCCAGAGGCCTGTGGAAGTGGGCGCTGTGTGCTCCTGGGGGGAAAGCCTCCGCCTGACAGGCAGAAACGGAGAAGCAGAGCACTTCAGGTTTCTTTTCAACTGTGGCAACGGGCAAGCTTGCAGAGGGGACTAAGGGACAGCTCTGTGCCTTGTAGCCCTCGCCGAGGACTTCACAAAGGCCTGAGATCAAGTGCAGCTGTTCTTCTGGCGGCTGCTTCTCGAAGGGGACTTGTTAGGGGTTGTCCCATATTCCGTTTTCCCTTTTGGCCCTTGGGGGGGGGGGGGGCGTCCGATTGCGCTCGCTCAGTCCCACTTTCAGTCTTTTGCTTCCCATGATGTCAAGTCATGGTGTGGTTTGCAACACCTGACCTTTGAGACCTTGCGCGTGGATCTTTGGGGGCGCATGCGCTGACCTTGTGCGTGTGGGGTTCTAGCAAGCTTCTTTCTTTATCTTCTGGTTCAGCGTCTACCAGAAGTAAGAAGCAAAACAGGTTTTTTGGACGGCACATAGTCTGCCCTACGATTGCGACTGTATGGGAAGTGAAGTAACGCAGGTCATGGCCTGCCATGGACTTCGCAGAGGCGAGCTCACGGCTGATGGTCTTCAGGCTGCTGCCCCTCACGGACAAAAGCAGGGGAACATCAAAAGAGTGACAAGTCGGTGTCCATTCCGTGCCTGGAAAGTGGTGGGCACAAGCACGCCCGTGCCAGCTACCATCATCTGTCCAAGGCCAAGGACCCACTTCCTGAGCGTGCTGAGGTGCTTTTGCTAGTTGGCTGCTTCTGCGCTGCTTGAATCATGACCAGCCGAGCTCCGCGGCGTGTTTTGGTAGCTGGCATTGGTGGCCACAGCCGTGCGCACCTCTACGGACGCTTCAAAGTCACATTGCAGAAAGGGAGATGACACCGATGGCACAGCAGGGTCACCTCAGCATTTGCCGTGCCTGTCGGCCTGGGCATCGGGCATAGGAGCGGATCATCTCCTCGAAGCCGGGTGCTTCGACGCCTCCGATTGCTTTAGCACCTTTCGACCGCAAGAGATGCTTGTAGAGCTTTGGGACTACTTTTTCTTGCTTTTCTCAGCCGCCACAGAGACGACACCCGGGCCTTGTCGGCAAAAGATGGTGCGATTCCACACGCCCCTGGCGACTCGAACTTTAAAAAAATGTGTGAAGCTCTGGGATGGTCTGGGGGAGTGCCTCGCGATCATGATGCCGGCCGGCCCCGTGGGCCGGCCCCCAGCCTCTGAACCGCGCAACACAACAATCGGGAGCCGAAGGAGGAATTCTCAGCGCCTTCTCAGAGCCACAATACGCATCACGACATTCTTGCATCGGTCCTGTGCCTGTGCCGCCCCATTTGCATCGGTTGCGGCACAATGCTTCCTGAGTCCCTCCGTCTTCACTGCGATGCGTTTCGATGCACTGAAAATGAGCTGAGGCACCAAAACTCGGCGATCTGCCGGCGGTTGAAAAATCGCCGTTGGCCAGGACTGGGATCTGCACCGCGTCCCATTAGCAGGCCCCGCATTTCGCAACAACTTCTCTCTCTCTCACTCTCCCTCTCCTTCTTCCTCCCTCTCCTTCTCCTCTCTTTTGAAGTCCAAGCCGCAGTCGGGGCAACTCGTCCCAGTGCGCCGGCTCCGCCGCGGCTCCTGGCGCTGCCGGAGGTGCACCTTCCCGACTCTGAGATACTTCGCAAAGGGGGAAAAGAGACATGAGACATCATGAGACAATAGGACTGAGCGAAATGTTGAGCGACAATATTGAGACGGACACAAAGACAGGAGTGCAATGAGGTGCTTACATGCTTAGAAACAGGGACATTGTGCCCAGGTGCTGTAGTGGCTTCGGCACCGCTCCACTCCCAAACCTGCATGAAGTCACGCCTCGGGGCTTGCCGGACCTGCGGATGGTCTCTGAAGTCTCTCGCTCGCTCTCTGTCTCTCGCTCTCTCTCTCTCTCTCTCGCTCTCGCTCTCTCTCTCTCTCTCTCTCTCTCTCACTCTCACTCTCACTCTCACTCTCTATCTCTCTCTCTTTCTCTCTGCACGCTTGAAGTCTCTCTCTGTCCCCCCTCTCCCTCTCTCTTTCTTTGCCCCTCTCTCTCTCTCGCATGTCAAAGTCCTGCCTCATTTGCCTTTTGCTACATCCTACATCGTCCTACATCCTACTGTACTTGTTCAAGACTTTAGCGTGCATGAGTCCTGCATGAACGCTCCAGCTGAACGAGAGAGGGAGCAACGCTTTTGAATTTTTTAGGATGAAAATTAGACGAGTGCGGTCGTACTGTAACCTGATTGCATAAGTGGCTTGACGTAGAAGATCGAGGAAGGGAAAGGCTTCTGACAAAGGCTTTTTCAACGTATACCTTATCTGTCAGGCGCCTGAACCTGCGGGCGCCCAGGCGACCAGCGAGTCCAAGGCAAAGACTCCAAAATGCCAATCCGTAGAGATGCTCACGGTGACTCAGCATCTCCGTGCCCGCGGGCAGGATGACCTTTGCTTGCTGCCAGGCGGTGCCGGCGGTGCCTTGAGAACCACGGCGTGACCAGCGCCGTGACCAATGGCCTCGATGGAGGTACTGCAGCTCCAGTGTAAGAGTCGCTGCGGAAGGCTGCATCGGGGCCCGTGACAGCGGATTGTGTCCCAGCGAGCTGCCAGACACCAGGACCTCAGAACCACCCGCAATGATCGACTTGGAAGCTGCAGGTCATATTTGCGAAGCTGGACACAACTTCCCCAATGGAGACCGCACCAACTGTCGCTTCTTCCCCTGCAGCAAGGCTGGCTCGGAGCCGCCCACAGTGCCTTCGGGCACTCGGATGGAACTACCCTTCCAAGAGTAGAGCAAGAGCAAGAGCAAGAGTTAAAGCAAGAGCAAAAAGCAGGAACAAAAGCAAGAGTAATTAAGTGCAAGAACAGGAGGAAGAGCAGGAGCAAGAGTAAGCGCAGGAGCGAGAGCACAGTCGCAAATCGCCTGCAATGCATGATCACATGACGGCAGGTGTAGAACTGCCAATTTGCAGACTTTTGCACTGCTTGCGCGCCACCCCCTCCAGTTTCTACAACACGAAGGAAAATCGGTAGCAGCCAGAAGACAGCACCGAAAAAACGCGCCGATTCGACCCGAGAAACTTGCGTCACTCTCAGATCGACGGAAACTCTGGACAGCAACAACATGAACCCAACAACACTTCTTAGCCAGTTCTCAACTTCTTCCTGTTTGATGTGCCCAGGCCTCTCCATGGCCAGCGCAGCTGCTGAGTTACCTTGAGGATGATTTCCTGGCGACAAATCATCTTTGGCTAAAGATTTGCTGGCATGAGACCCTGTAAACCAAGAAGTCTTGCCAAATGTTTAGAGACTTCTTGGGCATGTGGGAGAGGTGGGAAAGAATAAGAGGTGGTCTGGTTGTACCTGAGACTTCAAGTTAGGGCCCCAGTCCTTGGGCAAAGTCTGGTGCTCACCATGTCCAGCAGGATACTTGGAGCCTCAGAGCTCTTCTCGCCACAAACAGCTCTTCTTGGGCAGCAACGTTGCAAAAGCAGTGCTGGCAGGCAAGTTTCGCCTCTTTTTGCTCGGCTCTGAAAAGATGTGGGCAATCGCGCGGCGAGCGATAGCTTGGTAACACCAAGAGAGACCCCAAATTTGGGCCCTCCAGCCTTTTCAATGCTCAAAGGGACTCCAAGGGTGCTGAAAAGATTTTGTAAGCGGAGCTTCTCAGAGCCGCGTGCCTGTGCACCTCATAGCTTCCATGTTCAGCCTCAGCTTCGCCCCCACACCTTAGCTGTCGTTGCGAAAGACTCATGCTTCCAAAAACTCATGCTTCCAGGAAGCTTGTGAGTAATTAACTTCTTTGAGCAGCATCTTTATGTTCATGTCTCGTTTTTGCCTTTTATTTGCCCCCCCCCCCCCTCCCAACTCAGGACTTGCCTTTGTTCGATGACTACTGGTTTCGGGCGCCTGTTCCTTAGGCTGCTGAGAAACATACCACTGAACATTGCTGCGCGGCACCCTTGCCCCCCTCTCAACGTTGACCTCCGCTCAATGTTGAGATGCCGGCGCAGGGTAAGAACTGCCCAGCGCACCTCTGAAATCTTACGTGGAGCCCCCAAACTGCTGCGGTTTGCTGATGCGAAGCTGGAACTGCTGTATGGGCTTAGCTTTGGTATACTTTTTGCTCAGACGCAAGAATGTTTGCTCAAGGTCCTTGCAGATACATCCAGAACATCCAATCCATATGGGTGGACATGGAGGGGAGGAGAAGTGAACACGATGATCTCAATGGGTTCTTGTACGACATGGCAATCGCCGAACAACCAGTAGCGCGGCGGCCAGACTCCAATCCAGTGGCTTCTCACATTCACTGAACCATTGCACTTGAAGCTTTCTCCAAGCTCAGCTTTTGTGGCTCATAGTTTTCCTATGTGTACGCAACTACACTTCAGAGCCTGTTTGTCCATATTGCGGAGAGTCAAAGCGAGTCACCGTCAACAAAACACTTTTGCGGGCATTTGCAAATGCAAGACTTGTTCAGTAGCCTTCCGGCCTCCTGGGGCCGTGGCTGTCTTCTCAAGTTTCAGGCCGACTCGGGAGCAACAGGATGCACGAAGGACTTTGATTCTCATGCTTGGCAGGTTGGGCCAGAGTCTCATGCTGCTTAGACTGCATTCGGCTTACATATATCTGCGGCAAGCAAGGCGCTGAACCAGGTGGCCTCAACATGATACCCAGGTTGCTTGCCCGAGGGCAAAGCGTTATCTTTTGGCATCACCGGCTCGGAGCTTCGGCTAACGACTCTGTCCCAACTCTTCCAGGCGCTGTAATGTTAGCGCTGTATCTCTAAAGGAGGTAGGAATAACAATGTTCTGCCAGTGGCCAGATGCCGGTGGTCTTATTATTGGAGGCCATGTGACCTTCTTCATTGACCCACTTTGCTGTTCAAGATTCCTTCATACGAGGCACTTCTTCTGCTGCGAGCTGCCTTCGGAAGACTGCTACTTGCATCTGAGCACGCTAAGCTGAATTGTCAACTCGGGCCTGGTTTACGCAAATTGCTGTGGAAAGCAAGATGGCGGATGGTGAAAATTGTGGCGTGAGCTGGAGTGGGCTGGCCCCACGTCGCAAAAGTGATGGAACTCACTTCTTGTTAAATGTCTGCACACCATGGGAGTTGCAGCGTTCGAGCTTGGCGTGTGGATCATGTGGCCTTGTTCGAATGATGTAGCTTGCAACTTTGGCAGAACGAATTCAGCAAAAACAAAATCACCCAAAGTTTGCCTGCTGTCCGACACCCTGCCCTTCCCTCGCCACACCACCACATTCAACTTAAACCCTTTCTTGCATGTAGCGCCCACTCTCTTGGGGGCATGGCCGGCCCGTGCTGTCATGGTCTGAGGCCCCAACGCATCTGCAAAAACGACGACACATCGGCAACTGTCGGCGATCGATGAGCAGCTCGCCGTCGTCCTCTGGTTCCTGGCAACAGGGACTGTTATGTGACGCAGCTCAACACAATGCAAAACAAAGCGCGCAAGACCTCATCGCCACTCAAAATGCTGGAGCCCGCTGGCCCCTAGCGACAGGGTTTCTTGACTCATCCCAAAGTGGCACGAGCCCACACTGCAATGCCTCTGCAGCAGCTGCATTGCCGGCGATCAGACCATCTTGTGAATCTTGTGATGTCGATTCCTGCCCCATGGTGACAAGTCTGCGTGCAGGTGAACTGCCAGGACTGTTAGCCGACGTGCTCAAGATGATGCGAGAAGCTGCGAAGACTAGTTGATTTCCAACGACGAATCAGAAGTTGGGGTTTACGATCGAAGTAGCTCAGCGCAAGGTCCACTTCTCCCGCAGACCTGCCCCAGCAATTCTGAACATGTTTGCTGTGACTCCCAACAACTCGCCCAGGATGAGCTGAAGCAAGCAACCTGTTGATGCTATTGGCTCATGCGGTGTAATTCGGGCAATTGCCTGCGGGGTGACTCAGATTGTTGCACAACAACCCTCAACATGTGCCAGCGGACATGAACCCAGAGAGCAGGCAGCCTCTTCGGAGACCACATCGTCGTTTAGCAGCGAAGGCAGCGAAGGTTGATTGATCATTGCATCGATCTGCCCAGGGCTCTCTTTAGCTGCAACCCGACACATGCGTTCAAACAAATCGACCAATGACCAATCGGGCCTTTGCCAGTGTTCTCGGACTCAGATCATTGGGAACAGGAGTGGAATAATACCACAACAATACCAATCATCTTCACCCCCTTGCAACGCTTGCTAGCCTCGTGCATAGTACTCCACGGCAGGGCACAGGGTTGCTGCGCTGGAGGCAGGCATCGCGGCCCACCTGTTGCAGAGAGCTGTTGCTGCCCTCTGCCTGCAAATTGCTCGGGGCGGCGCACTTCCAACGGAGCACCATCGTCATCTCGAACTTCTGTGTCGTGCTGCTCCACAGAGACACCCTGGCAGACATGCCAGAGCTTCTTGACCATGTGTGCTCAAATCTAAGCGCTGGGCGCCCTGCCAAGATGCTTGGCATGAGGTGCCCAAGGGAGAGCCTAGTGTCCTGGCCGCGATCGCGCAGCAGTCACGTTCCGTTCTTCAGGATCTGCAGGGCAGCTTAAATCTAAGGCCCAGACCCCCTCAACCGCGTGCATGCTAGATTCATGCGTACCTTGCGCAGCCATCTGCCAGCAGGAAATCTCGAACCAGAACCAGCCGCGGCAAGCACACCCATGAGCATCGTGAAAGCTTTGAGGAGCTGCGAAGTATGGCACAAAAAAGCAGCAGCTCGATGCGCACAAGCTGGCGAGGCTCCGACGCCAATGCCTGAAGCGTGGACGCTGCCCTTGCCAAGCGTAGCGAGACCCAGCCTGCTCATTGTGTCCACTCAAGGACCTCTGTTGGGTTGTCGTATTGGATAACTGCGCATTGGCTGTGCAGGGCCTGGGATGCCATGAAGCCCTAACCTCCTGAGCAGAGAAGCTTCACCAGGACAATTACGGGATTCGGGAGGCTTGCTTAGCAACGGCTTAGTAGGTGTACAGCTGCAATTTCTGCCATGAGTCCGACTGAAATCATCCGCAAAGTTGCAGCAATTGCGAGTCAAGATATCGTAGTCATCTCCCGGGTACTCCTGCCAGCGATGCTTGTGGCCAAGTTGGGAATGATCACTGCGGCATGGCTGCCTCCAACATCTGCGACACGATCTCCGCGATATCTTCCTGAATCAGGGTAGCGTTGTTGTTTCTGACACAACTTCCATGGAGGCAGGCAACTGCGAGCGAGTGGCTGGGCTGCAGTCAGTTTCCCCCAACTTCACCTCATCTGATCAAAGGCCTATCAAAGACTGGGAGAAGCAATAGCAATGCCAAGCCAATTCAATCCAACTTGTTCTCCGGCTTCTACCCCGTCCTAACAAAGAGATCTTTGCTTTGAAGCTGGTGGGACAGGTCGCGTCTTGGCAATGTTTCGCACTCCGAGGGACTCCTTTCTCTTTACCCTTCTTGGCTTTCACGGACCTTTGGTGCGCAATAAGTTTTGCCGTTTTGCCAGTTTCCTAGCCCCTGCTTTCGCACAAGTACTGCATGTCGGATTGGTGCGGGAAGGCCGCTCCAGATTCTTCGGTGTCCGATTTGATTTCAAGTTCCTAGCCAACGTGGCAGGGTGCCACAACAGCTTTTGGCCTCCCTTGCGCACCGTGGCTCACTCTACCATGTTTTCCATTGCACCTCCCCGCCGCCAACACCGGAACCAAAAACCCGAAGGCCTCGCAGCATGTTGTGAATTCCTGGCCAATATCAACCAGCCCCCGCGCTAAGGAGGAACAAGGGGCTCCTTGGTCCCGATCCCGCTCCCCCCCCCCATTACACTATGTGGGATAGGATTCGGCCTTGGGTTGTGATCTGCTCCACTGGCTTTTGCAGCGCGTCCAGGCTGTCTACAGCTGTTGGGGCTCGCAGCTAGGCCGCCACATTCAAAGTGCACACCGGGAATGCACGACACTTTCTTTGCAAAGCGCCCGGCCCTGAAGCTCGCAGAGTTAAGCACCGGGCTGTTTGTCGATACACGTGGTCCGGGTCGCACCGCGGCTGAAAGCAGCGCAGTCCGGGGGTTGTCCTGAGCAACTGCCAGGTTTCCGCGCGCAACATGGTACCTACCGCGGCCTTGATGGACTGCCGTCAAAGGACCATTCCAAGCCATCCACCTGGCGTAAGGGTTCTGACTCCAAGGTTTAGGATTGCCTGGGTTTGGATTTGGGGTAACGGGTAACATTTCCAGGCATGGCTTCAGACACACGTGGCGAGACTTGTTCCCGACGTCCAGCCTCGACAGCGGCGTGGTATATCCCGCCAAGACACGTTACCCCCAGCGCCTTCGAAGTCAGCAAACAGCCATTCAAGTCAGCCATGTGAAAGACTGAGCTTTTCCGATTCTGGTGCTACATGCAAACTACCAGGCCTTGTTCAGGATAGACACACATTTCTCCTGAAGTATGCTGGGCAACATAAACAAAGCTCTGCAGGAGCTTCAGACAGTTTGACGCACCGACTGCCAACGCACATGGTCACAACCTCTCGATCCAACGCGCCGTCTGTTTTGCTGCTGGGCAGGCTGGTGCTTGAGAACATCTAGCGTTCTCACTCTTGATGCGATCGTTCTTATTGCTTCTTCCTTTCTCTATTTGTGTTATGTCACGTAGCAGTACTGCGAGCCTGGCCGCAGTCGTAGATGTTGAGATACACTGGCCGACGCAGAAGAGGCTGGACTTCCTACAAACATTGCAGGACGCAGACACCCTTACAAAATCTTACAAAAGGATCTATGAGAGGGGATACGGCGAAAGATTGCCTGGCTACAGGGATCCCTCAACTTGATATACTAGTCTTTACAGAGGATGCCTGGAGAGCGCGACGCTTTCCAGAAGATTGCTCTATATTGGGCATCCTAACAGCTTAAAAAATGCTAGGATCAGATCAGTCACTGGCTTCTGAAGTCCTCCTGCTGCTTGCCGATGATGCAAGGAGAGTCCGCGATTGCGCAGGAAGTCAGGTTTGAAGGAACCTGCGCAGCTTTGCGTAGCCGAAGGGATCCAAAACTAGCTCCTGTACAAAAGCCCGTCGTCTACCTTGTAGTGAAACAGGGTACTAATACTAGCTTGGGATCAACACTGGATCAACCTTCAGACTGTTTTGGGGATTCAGCTCCAGCCTCGTTCGACGCAACCCGAGTCAAAACCTTGGCAAACTTCACGTCCTGGGCCAAGCACTGCCAGACCCTAAACTCTGAATCCTACACATCTTTGGCTTGGGCCATAAACAGCCTTAAAACCTTAAAACCCTCAGGCCCATAAGCCATGTTAACTCTGAAGACTCTGAAACTCCCCTAGCATCAAGGACGCACTCTCAAGCTTGGCCATCTTGGCCCTTCCGAGGTCCTCCGTCTTGACGCGTCCCCGCTTCCAATATCGGTCCACTCCCTGCACGCACTGAGCCGAACCCCAAAAGGGGGATCTGAAAACTAAACCTCCCGATGCAGAAGATCCCGCATTTTCCTCCAAGATTGTGCAGGCTCCAAAAGTCGGTGACATGGTTTTACTCATCCCCTCTTAAGGTCTGGTAGGCAAGGTTCCATTGCAGGGAAAGGCCTTCTTCGTTGATGGGAAGTGCCAAGCTGACCTGAACATTAGCAAAGCTACGACTCAATATGCAAGAGCCAGAAAACATCGTCTTCCTTACCTTGTCTCAGGCATGCTTATGACAAAACATGTGAAGCGAAGCACGGACATTGTGGATCACCCCACGATGTGAGAGTGAGGTTGCCTGGAGCTGAGTATGTAGCTTCAAGGCCCAGAATTCTGCATTCCTCCCAGCAAAAGTGCCCTGGCAGGTCACATGGATCGTGCAATTTCTGCCGCGGGGGCACCTTCGTTTAACCAAGACCAACGGCACACAACTCGGAAGCGCCTCTATGCGAGAGTTGCTGTGCGTAACCAAGAGAATCCGAAACCATGGGCCATCATCTTGCCTCAGGCCCCAAGAAAGATCAACAAGTGCAACTGAGTGTCAATGTGTGTTATGTGGCTTGTTCTCAATAAGCCCCAAATAATTGTACAACCCCTGTAAGGAAGCCCAATGAAGACCTATAGTTTTGAGAATCCCCATGTAAAACACTAAGAACGGCGCTGCAGCACATTGTCGCCACGCGGTGACATGCTGTCACTCAGCAATACAGACCCAAGCGACTAAGTGACAGCTGGCACAAGCATTGTCGCAACATCAATCGGTAAAACTGCTTTGTGCATATGCTGCCAATAACTTGGGCGGTCGTGTGTGCATTGAAAAGAGCGGTCGTCTCAAGGCTGGCTAGCACTCTTCCAAAAATCGCAGATTGAAGGGTTCTCCTCATGAATGGCATGGCTGCGTTTAGTCTGCAAATTAACTTGAGAATAAGGCCATGAAAGCTATGTCGCAAGAGTCTAGGGCACACTTTTCGGGCAGCGCTGTCGTGCATTCTTGTGAAAAATGGTTACGTTGGGGTTTAAGGGCTAGGCCTCGTTAGACCAGTAGGCTGTTACATAATGTTGTGCAATGCTGTACGTGCAAGGTCATGCGAATAACGGTGTGGAAAAACTCCTCGTTCGGACCAAACGAAGCGCCATTTCCATACCACAGCTAGGCGCCGGTTCACAAGGGTTCAGGCTGTAGGGTAGGCTGCATGCTACACCTACACACACACACACATATATATATATATATTTATATATATATATATATATATTTGAGCATATATTTCTATGTATATGTGTGTATGTATATGTAAATGTGTGTATGTATATGTATATGTATATGTATATGTATATGTATGTGTATGTGTATGTGTATGTGTATGTGTATGTGTATGTGTATGTGTATGTGTATGTGTATGTGTATGTGTGTGTATATATATATATATATATGCGCCGACCTCGGGCGAAGGCGGCGCTTGAAGGCTTTGTTTCCACCACCGCCCGCACCACCGCCCGCCCCCACCGCCCCCCGCCCATCAACCTCCACCACCCTCACTTTGTTGTTGGTACTGACCGGTAGAGCAGTTCTGTTAGGCCAAACGCCTCACACGTCGCAAAGTCCGCTGTGGGAGTGTGTTCCAGTGCACTTGCTGGATACTGAAAAGGATGGGCACTCTGCCTTCGTCAAGGAACCCTGTGGTTTTGTTAGCTGGAGGCTTGGTGTCGAGCCATAGAGTCAACTTTTCAGTGATCCTTGCGCTTCGAGAAGGAACACTTGGTGCCACTAGGGGCATAGGAGAAGGTAATCCGCCCTTCCATTTGTTTTTGCCTTTTCTTTTCCTTTTCCGTAGAAGCTGGAGTTGTGGCTATCGTCTTCGCCGGTGTGAGCAAAACCTTTTCGGCCGGACTCAAGCGTCCTCGTCTTCGGCCTTTTCCTTTTCTTCGGCCATCAGAAACTACGAATCAGAAACTAGCTGCGAATCAGAAACTCCGAATCAGAAACTGCCCCGATTCAGAAACTCCGAATCAGAAACCGCGCATCAGAAACCTGCGCCTCAAAAAACCGTGCGAATCAGAAACTGCGAAGCCGAAACCTGCTGGATAGGAGGGTGCGGGGGGTAAGCGCGTGCAGGTTGCCTGCGCATGACAAACAAACCTGCTCGAATGTCGGAGAAAACTGTGCCTGCTGGATGGGGCTGGGGGTGGGGTGGGCGGGGTGGGAGTTGGGGGGGTGGGGGGGTTTCTTGCCTGCTCGGCGCATTTGGGGTCTGCGCCTGAGACGTCCTCCTCATCTTCATCGGCTATGAAACCTTCTTCAAGGGTGTCTTCGTCTTAAGCCCAATAGCCGAATTCGTATCTTTACGTACACAGTGAGGGTCATACTGGAGATCCTGCTAAAGGTAGACGTGTTGACTACCTCTAACGAAATACGGGGCCGTAGAAACCTTTTAAAGTATTCTTAGCCGTGGTCTGGGTCCCGTAGTCGGTCGTTGTCCAACAGCTCTTGTACTTTTCGGCTAACTCAAACGGCCGGGTTGTTGAGGAGCGCCCTTGCCTCGGCTCAGTCGTTCTTGCGACCCAGTCGTCGACCAGCTCTTCGTACTCGAACCATATGATACGTATGATCCCATGAAATCCAGGAGGAATTTTGGGAGCCATAGTGGCGCCTTGGGGTAGGCGAGAACAACTGCTGGCCGCTAGTGACGCTAGTGCGGCTGGGTCCTGGGACCGTCGAGTTACCCGGTTTCTTGGCCCCCTGAGAGGAAACCTGCACCATTGGATTCTGAATCAGACGTGACCTGGTGCTTACTAGTAGGCGAGCTCGGTACGGCTCGCCACTAGTGTGGCTTCTGTCACTTAGTACTGCACCGACCTGTGAAGTCACGAAGCTGACCGGTCAATTTTGTGGGGCTTGATATGACAGGGGACGGGCGGTTTTGGGGATAGTCAAGTCTCGTTAAAGCTATTTTCAAACTATTTGGACCAACGAAATAGCCGGACAGTTCGTCACGAAACTGACCGGTTAATGTTGTGGGGCCAGCCACAAAGAAGCGAAACATTCCTGCAAGTAGCCGGCAGGGCCAGCAAACAAGATGCGAAACATTAGCGCCTTCGTTCTGGCATTTTGCATCTATCCCCAGAACACTGCAAGCAACATATTCAGCCATTGTGTACTTGGCCTCTTGAATTTTTGAGAAAGAGAGATCTCCTTCTTATTTAGTGCTGTCGTTTTGGCATTTTGTATCTGCACTTCTTTCTTGCAGTTCGTGTTCAAGGGTCTGAGTCTAGGGTTTAGAGTCAACAATTGTTCGGACAGTTGTGAAGTCACGAAACTGACCGGTCAATGTTGCGGGGCTTGACATGACAGGGAGTTCGTCACGAAACTGACCGGTTAATGTTGGGGCCCGGCTAGTCAAAAAAGGAACAGAACAATACAAAAACAGTATTCACCAATTATTTACTTTGCCTCAGTTTTTGAGAAAGAGAGATCCCCTACTATTTTTTTGGCACTGTCGTTTTGGCATGTTGCATCTTTCAGTTCGTGTTCAGGGTTGAGGGTTTAGGGTCTATGTCAGAAGTTGCGGAACAACGAGTTCTTCGGACATGTGAAGTCACGAAACTGACCGGTCAATGTTGTGGGGCTTGACATGACAGGGGGTGGGCAATTTTGTGGATAGTCAAGTCTCTTTAAAGATATTTCAAACTTTTTGGATCAACGAAATAGCCGGACAGTTCGTCACGAAACTGACCGGTCAATGTTTGTGGGGCCAGCCACAACGAAGCGAAACATTCCTGCAAGTAAGCGGCAGGGCCAGCAAGCAAGATGCGAAACATTAGCGCTTTCGTTTTGCCATTTTGCATCTATCCCCAGAACAATGCAGAAAAATATTCAGCCATTATTTTACTTGGCCTCTTGAGTTTTTGAGAAGCAGAGGTTTAGCGCTGTCGTTTTGGCATTTTGCATCTGCACTTCTTTCTTGCAGTTCGTGCTCCAGGGTCTAGGGCTTAGAGTCAACAACTATTCGGACAGCTGTGAAGTCACGAAACTGACCGGTCAATGTTGTGGGGCTTGACATGACAGGGGACGGGCAGTTTTGGGGATAGTCTCTTTAAAGCTATTTCAAACTTTTTGGACCAACGAAATAGTCGCACAGTCCGTCACGAAACTGACCGGTTAATGTTGTGGGGCCCAGCAAACAAGATGCGAAACATTAGCGCTTTCGTTTTGGCATTTTGCATCTATCCCCAGAACAATGCAGAAAAATATTCAGCCATTGTGTACTTGGCCTCTTGAATTTTTGAGAAGGAGAGATCTCCTTTGTGTTTAGCGCTGTCGTTTTAGCATTTTGCATCTGCACTTCTTTCTTGCAGTTCGTGCTCAAGGGTCTAGGGCTTAGAGTCAACAACTATTCGGACAGCTGTGAAGTCACGAAACTGACCGGTCAATGTTGTGGGGCTTGACATGACAGGGGACGTGCAATTTTGGTGATAGTCAAGATTCTTTAAAGCTATTCCAACTTCTTGGACCAACGAAATAGCCGGACAGTTCGTCACGAAACTGACCGGTTAATGTTGTGGGGCCAGCCACAAAGAAGCGAAACATTCCTGCAAGTAGGCGGCCGGGCCAGCAAACAAGATGCGAAACATTAGCGCTTTCGTTTTGCCATTCTGCATGTATCCCCAGAACAATGCAGAAAAATATTCAGCCATTATTTACCTTGGCCTCTTGAGTTTTTGAGAAGGAGAGATCTCCTTTGTATTTAGCGCTGTCGTTTTGGCATTTTGCATCTGAACTTCTTTCTTGCAGTTCGTTTTCAAGGGTCTAGGGCTTAGAGTCAACAACTTTTCGGACAGCTTTGAAGTCACGAAACTGACCGGTCAATGTTGTGGGGCTTGACATGACAGGGGACGTGCAATTTTGGTGATAGTCAAGATTCTTTAAAGCTATTCCAACTTCTTGGACCAACGAAATAGCCGGACAGTTCGTCACGAAACTGACCGGTTAATGTTGTGGGGCCAGCCACAAAGAAGCGAAACATTCCTGCAAGTAGGCGGCCGGGCCAGCAAACAAGATGCGAAACATTAGCGCTTTCGTTTTGCCATTTTGCATCTATCCCCAGAACAATGCAGAAAAATATTCAGCCATTATTATTTACTTGGCCTCTTGAGTTTTTGAGAAGCAGAGATCTCCTTTGTGTTTAGCGCTGTCGCTTCGGCATTTTGCATCTGCACTTCTTTCTTGCAGTTCGTGCTCAAGGGTCTAGGGTTTAGAGTCAACAACTGGACAGCTGTGAAGTCACGAAACTGACCGGTCAATGTTGTGGGGCTTGACATGACAGGGGACGGGCAATTTGGGGATAGTCAAGTCTCTTTAAAGCTATGTCGAATTTTTTGGACCAACGAACTAGCCGGACAGTTCGTCACGAAATTGACCGGTTAATGTTGTGGGGCCAGCCACAAAGAAGCGAAACATTCCTGCAAGTAGGCGGCAAGGCCAGCAAACAAGATGCGAAACATTAGCGCTTTCGTTTTGCCATTTTGCATCTATCCCCAGAACAATGCAGAAAAATATTCAGCCATTATTTACTTGGCCTCTTGAGTTTTTGAGAAGCAGAGATCTCCTTTGTGTTTAGCGCTGTCGTTTTGGCATTTTGCATCTGCACTTCTTTCTTGCAGTTCGTGCTCAAGGGTCTAGGGTTTAGAGTCAACAACTGGACAGCTGTGAAGTCACGAAACTGACCGGTCAATGTTGTGGGGCTTGACATGACAGGGGACGGGCAATTTGGGGATAGTCAAGTCTCTTTAAAGCTATGTCGAATTTTTTGGACCAACGAACTAGCCGGACAGTTCGTCACGAAATTGACCGGTTAATGTTGTGGGGCCAGCCACAAAGAAGCGAAACATTCCTGCAAGTAGGCGGCAAGGTCAGCAAACAAGATGCGAAACATTAGCGCTTTCGTTTTGCCATTTTGCATCTATCCCCAGAACAATGCAAAAACATATTCAGCCATTATTTACTTGGCCTCTTGAATTTTTGAGAAGCAGAGATCTCCTTTGTGTTTAGCGCTGTCGTTTTGGCATTTTGCATCGGCACTTCTTTCTTGCAGTTCGTGCTCAAGGGTCTAGGGTTTAGAGTCAACAACTGGACAGCTGTGAAATGACAGGGGACGGGCAATGTTGGGGATAGTCAAGTCTCTTTAAAGCTATTTCAAACTTTTTGGCATCTTGATCCAGGTTTCAAGTTGGGGCCAAGAGGGGCATCTTGGCCGGATCCAGGTTTCAAGTTGGGGCCAAGAGGGGCATCTTGGCCGGATCCAGGTTTCAAGTTGGGGCCAAGAGGGGCATCTTGGCCGGATCCAGGTTTCAAGTTGGGGCCAAGAGGGGCATCTTGGTCGGCCAAGAGGGGCATCTTGGCCGGATCCAGGTTTCAAGTTGGGGCCAAGAGGGGCATCTTGGCCGGATCCAGGTTTCAAGTTGGGGCCAAGAGGGGCATCTTGGCCGGATCCAGGTTTCAAGTTGGGGCCAAGAGGGGCATCTTGGCCGGATCCAGGTTTCAAGTTGGGGCCAAGAGGGGCATCTTGGCCGGATCCAGGTTTCAAGTTGGGGCCAAGAGGGGCATCTTGGTCGGCCAAGAGGGGCATCTTGGCCGGATCCAGGTTTCAAGTTGGGGCCAAGAGGGGCATCTTGGCCGGATCCAGGTTTCAAGTTGGGGCCAAGAGGGGCATCTTGGCCGGATCCAGGTTTCAAGTTGGGGCCAAGAGGGGGCATCTTGGCCGGATCCAGGTTTCAAGTTGGGGCCAAGAGGGGCATCTTGGCTGCCTACAAGTAGGCGGCGGGACCAGAAATTGTAGCAGGCCCGTGGTATCTCGGTGAGATGTACACAACAACAGAAGCTAGACTCTAAGCGCTTTTGTTCTACTCAAACACTGTTATACATGCTGACACAGCATTATACTGTTGCTGTAAGATTAGATGTGATCCCTTCAGGGGCCTTACTTTTCACATAACCCCCCACAACTCACCGCCCACCCCCACCGCCTCCCCATCAACCTCCACTCTCACTACCCTCACCGCACCGCTTCTATCCCCCCTACCCCGCTATCCGAACGCTATCCGTGCTGACATGGAGGTGCTTCCTACAGACACCTCGAGAAACTGGGGTGAGCAAGTCAAAATCAGCAAGACTCCATGTTTGCTTATCGGTGCACAGCCTGATTTCGGCAGCTCTGCTTTTGACAAAAGAGCTCGCTTGCTGGGTGGGTGGTTGTCATGCACTGGGAGACATTTGGGCTTCATCAAAAAACTGTTGGCAGGCTCATTGAATCGTCAGTGGTGAGGTCTCTGATCTATGGGGTGGACACAAAACTCTGAAGGTTGTCTTGAATACCGTTGTCAGAGGTGGTTTACACGCTCGGTTCACAGAGATGCAGGAATCGCAGATCACAGCCGTTGACTTGTTAGAGCGCTTGCAGTTGGCATCAGTTCACCTGTATGTTGCACGTTCTCAGCTCCGATGTGCCATGTTGCACGCCTTCCTAAAGACCGAGTGGAGAAACGGGTTCCTTTTGGCTGGTTAACGGGGATACCGAAAAAGCAAAAGGACGAGGTCACATCAGAAAAAAGGTGAAGTGTTCAATTTTGCAAAGGCTGTGCCGCCACGCCATTTTTTGCAGAACGAACGCACGAACATGTGCGAAGAACTACCCTTCTCGACGAAGAATGAGGATGCTGCTGTCAAATCTTTCAAACGTCTGGAGAGTGAACTGCCTGAGCAGACCAAGAGGTGTGAAGACGAAATGGGCCAAGTACGGCCAAGTCATACTTCAAGCGCTGAACGAAGTTGTATTTGACATTCGTCTTGGTGCCGATAACCCAAAACGCGAATTGCCAGATCTGTCTGGCTGTCACCGTGCTCTCCAAGCGGGCAGCTATCAACTGATGCTTGCTGGGTTAGAAACCTTTGGCTAGTGGGCGGCCAGCTAAGCGACAATCATCACACGCATGGCCAGACATGAGATATGAGACGTGAACCATTGTGAACCCCAGAAGCGGAGGCAGCTCACAAAGTAGAGCGAAACCAACGGCCTAGAGGCCCCCCCCCCTCCCTGTAGTGGGTCCCAGACCCATCCCAGGGCAAGGAGAGGCGTGTTGCCATGAACATGTGCTTACGGCGTCGGGGTTCCAGGACCCCATGTTTCCTACTTCTCAAACCTAGTCCAGGCGTAAAAAGGAACCCCAACTCAATGATGGCACAACTTGGTGATTCAGAGAGTCTGCCAGAGACTGCAGCGAAGCAAGGGCTCACCGCGCCAACGGGCGAAAAAACAAAAAACCAACATCAGCCAAGACAGAGAAGGACCGACCTTATCAAGAGAACTGCCATTATGCATCCCGATGCCAACAAAGCTTGACCTGCATAAGCATGTACCGTGGGCACTTCTACCTTTTGCCTGGCATGCTTTGGCAGACTGTGCAACGAAACTACAAGAGCCCCGTGAGCCAAGTGAGTGCCCAACTTCTTCAGAAGCAAACAGTCCTGGCTATTTAAGAGATCCCTGGCTCTTGGATTGCTCTTGTCAGTATGCGAAAGTTGTCCACTGCTTAGCAGTGAGACCAGCTGCTTGGGTTTTCCAGCAGCATAAGCTGAACTTAGTTGAACTTAGCACCATGTCGAGCTGCCCGCTACAAAAAAAATTGCTCGCAGCGAAATTTATCGCCAACTCACACGAAGGTGCCTCATCTATTCGGCGAAGTCTCTAGGACGCTGCGCACTGGCGTGAACTCACCGCGGCGTCTGCAAGACTCCTGCTTGGGACTCATATTCAACTACTCAAGCACGCATGCTTCTCCACAGAGCACAGTGTTCAGGTTGACAAATATGTGAGACCTGGCCGCGGTGTGAGCACACTGGTTCCAGTTTGTCCTCGGATCACAAAGCAAGTAGATTTTTTCTTGAAGTGACTCGGGAACTGCGTGTTGGGAAGTCCCCGCGCGTCTTCGGCAAGTCAACTCAGGCCTGGGCTACAAGACCACCCACGTTCAGCCGCGCGCTCAGCGGCATGGTACTTGCCTTTGACATCCTTCGTTTTGGCTGGGTCGAGCAATAGCGACGTTACAAGTTACAACTTCTGCAGGCATTCTCTCAGCTCTCCTCGGCAAGGTATGTTGTCTTTCGGCAGGTCTCCTTGACGCTTGCGGCAAAGGCACGCATCTGCCTCACAGGAGAAGAAGAAAAAAAGTCCGAGAGCCCTCTGAAGCAAGCGTGAGAGAGCCACTGGCAGCCACCAAAACCCCAAGGCCCTAGAAAAAAACCCAAGAAAACCCCAGTTTTCAAGGAAAGGGGGGGGGGGGGAAATTCGAGTCGTGGGGGAGAATTAGAGTCATCATAGAGACCTCATTCCGCCAGTGGGGGAGGGGGGAAGAGGGAGAGGGGGAAACCCTTCACGAATCTTGGGGGCCTCTTCGCTTCCTCCGTCTGCTCCCGGAGTTCATCCCTCCTCGCCTGCTTCTCCTCAGAACAAACTTGAGCTCCCCCAGAGCAAAAGGGCAGCTCTGAAAGGCAGGAAAACGCAAGTTGTTGCTGGAGCCCCCAAGCGCTCTGAAAGCAGGCACAAGGCCTTGAGATCCTGCATGAACTTCTCGTACTTCAGTGTGCAGGCCTCTGAGAGATCAGCACTTTTTTCTGTGAAGGGGATGCTTCGAAGCCCTGCACATCCCGTCCTTCAGCTCCTTCTCTTTGTCGTCAAGTTCTCTCTGTGCTCGGACTAAGGTTTGCATCGCATCCTGCGGGATGCGCTCGAAGGGTGCATATGGCATCTGATTGCATGCTGTGCAAACACATATGTTTGCGGAGCCCTGCGAGCCCTTTGCCATCACAAAAACATCACAAAAACGCGCACTTTCGTGTTGCTCCTCGTGGGTCTTGGCCCGCTTCTCGCGCTCGGCGGTGAGCTCGCCAAACTTCCGGACCTGAGCAAACGGCTTCATACCATGCAAAAAAGCAGCTGCGAACAGCCAAGAGCAGATTGGGCGGGGGGGGGAGTGGTTTGAACTCCGGAACTCCTCAAGTCTCCTCAGTTTCTGGCGATGTTGTCCAGGTTCTTGGATGCCTGGTATCCGGCCATGGCCTCCAAGAAAAACACCATCTTCTGGTGTTTTCAACCATGAAAACATATAAGTTTGGCCGCTTTGTGGGGGACATGTGGACAAAAACCAAGGCAAAATGAACCGCCCCCCCCCCCCACCCCCACCCCCCCCCCAAGGACAAATACAAAAAACAGAGCGCACTCTTTCGGGCGCTCAAGCGGCCCACCCACCTTGGCACTGGCGCTGGCCTCGGCGCAATGTCACTCATGCTCTCTTTATCGATTTTTAAGCGGTGCCCAGCTCTTCTCGCCGTCTCTCTCTCTCGCTCTTTCTTTCTTTCTTGGGGGCATGAGGGCACGCTCTTTCTCTTTCTTTTTGTGGGGCTTGGGGCGAACCCCGCGCCTAGGCTCTCTCTCTCTCTCTTTTTCCCCTTGCAAAACAGGGGAATTTCCAGGGGCGGAGAGTTTTTTTAGTACTTTTTATTATTTTGTTTTTTTTCGTGGTCCCCTGGTCCCCTGGTCTCCTGCTGCCCCGGTCTGCTGGTCCCCTGGTCTTCCTGGGAAAAGGCTACATTCCCTTTAATGTTTTTTAGGATTTGGTTGATTTTCTTGGGTTTTCCGAAAAACCTCCATTCCCTCTATATTTTCATGGGAGCTGGTCCAGTTTCTTTGGTTGTTCCACGAAAACCTCCATTCCCTCCATATCTTCATAGGACTCGTACTGCTTTTCGTAGGAATTCTTAATAATGTTGCTCGATTCTTGGATTTTCCGCAAAACCTCCATTCCCTCTTTATTTTCATGGGAACTGGTCCAGTTTCTTTGTTTTTCCTACGAAAACCTCCATTCCCTCCATATCGTCATAGGACTCGTACTGCTTTTCGTAGGAATTCTTATAAATGTTGCTCGCAAGTTTGCACGACTTTTTTTTGGCACCCGTCTAGCCACAGCAATGCGGGGTTGGAAGGTCGGTCTCGGAAAAAGAGAAAGAAAGAATCACTCCAAGGGTCAGAATTAAATTGCACGACTGTTAAAGGCCGGGGAGTTGGGGGGGGGGGGGGCAAACCCAGTGCTCGCATGATAGGTTTCAAAAAGACGCATATGCTTTGAATGAAGCTTGCATAGCTTGGAAAACGAGGGGGTTGGGGCGAAGGCGGGGCGCAGCCAACACAATGCTCGCATGATGGCTGTCAAGCATTCATATGCTTTGAAACAAGCTTGCATTACGAAAAAAGGCGGAGGGGTGGTGAAAAAAAAACTTGAACGGCTTAAAGAAGCGGGGGGGTTGGGAGGCAGCCCCCCCCCATTTGCAAACACAATGCTCGCATGATGGCTTTCAATCGTGCTTTGAAACAAGCTTGCATCACTAAAAAAGCAGGTGGGTTAGGGGGGATTTACAGAATGCTCGCATCATGAGTTTCAATCGTTCATATGCTTTGAAAAAAAGGGCCTGATGGGCGTTTATCGTTCATGTGCTTTGAAAAAGGCTTGCACGGCTTGAAGAAGCGTGGGGGTCGGAGGGCGCAGCCCCCCCCCCCCCCCATTTGCAAACACAATGCTTGCGTCATGGATTCGATCGTTCATATGCTTAGAAAAAAGTGGCATGATGGGTTGCAATCCTTCATATGCTTTGCACGGCTTCAAGAAGCGATGGGGTTTTTTGGGGGGTGGGGGGGCGCAACCCCCCCCCCATTTGCAAACACAATGCTCGCATGATGGCTTTCAATCGTTAATATGCTTTGAACAAGCTTGCATCAGTAAAAAAGGCGGGGGGGGGGGGGGGGGAGACCCCCCCCCCATTTGCAAACACAGTGCTAAACACAATGCCTGCGTCATGGGTTTCGATCGTTCATATGCTTAGAAAAAAAGTGGCATGATGGGTTCAATCCTTCATATGCTTTGAAGAAAGCTTGCACGGGTTGCGGGGGGGCCGCAGCCCCCCCCCCCCCCCATCCATTTGCAAACACAATGCTCGCATGATGGCTTTCAATCGTTCATATGCTTGAAACTTGGGGGTGAGGGCCTGGGACGAAAGCTAGTTAAGGTACTCCCACGGAAGAGCTTCCGTCAACATGGCATCAACTACGCAGCAGGACAAGCACACGCAAAGGCAGCAGGCCGTGTCACACATCAAGGTTTCTGAGTCTTTTCTTGGGGGGCTTTTCTGTTAGCATCTTCCGGAGGGCTCTTTTTTGAAGCGCATGACAGCACAACAGATGTTGCACTCACCAGGCGAAGTCTGTCCAATCCAGCTTTGAGGGACGCCGGACTCAAGTCAACATCAAGGCTTCTGAGTTTCTTCTTGGGGGGCTTTTTTGTGGCCTGGGATCCACAGAAAACGGCGTTCATTTGCACCTAATATACGAAAGAAATGAACGCCAGCCCGTTTCCCCAAAACCTGTGTTTCGCCACCGGAAATCGACCGGTTTGCTGCGTTTCGTGGCGGAGCCTCCGGGGGCCCTGTATACCCTTCAGGTTGTAAGCTTCGCTTAAGTAAGATACTCCACTAGCCCTCAGAGGCTAGCTTTCGTGATTTGCTTCCACGGCTAAAAAAGGCGGGGAGGTTGGGGGGGGGGGCACGGCCCCCCACCCCCCCATTTGCAAACACAATGCTCGCATCATGGGCTTCAATCGTTCATATGCTTTGAGAAAAAAGTGGCCTGATGGGTTTTTATCGTTGTTCATCTGCTTTGAAAAAAGCTTGCACGGCTTGAAGAAGCGGGGGGGTAGCAGACCAGGGGAGCAGGCGACCAGCAGACCAGCAGACCAGCAGATCGGGAGACCAACAGACCAGGGGACCTGCAGACCAGGGGACCAGGGGACCAGGAGACCAGGGGACCACGAAAAAAAAGAAGTACAAAAAAAGAAGAAAAAGTACCAAAAAAGTAGGCCCTCCAAGTTTCCAGAAGAGGCGCCTACATTTTGCATAATATACATATGCGCATACGCCACTACAAGAAACGATGGACTTGAGTGGCTTCTTGAGACTTCTTAGGAAGGAATCTCTCCATGTTCTGTGCTCAGATTTGAGAGTCGGGCACCTGGGTCGGCCATGGCCAATAGCCATGTACTTTCAGCGAGTCTTCGCGGCTTGAGGCTTCTTCGGAACTTGAAAGACTAAGTTATGTCTTACTCATGTTTAGACTTGCTACACAGACTTGCGGACTACTACAGGCCCTGCATGTTGTGATTATGTGAAGGTTTGTGGCGGCTACTGTGTGACTACTTGTTGGCAGCATCCTCTTCCTCAACCTGCAAGAGCCCCTCTCTCTCGCGACACAGTCCGACCATTGCAGCTAGGAAAGTATGCCCAATCTGACCAGGTGCCTAAAACTTTCAAATCAGATGCGCCCTGGCGAATCGGTGGATCCTCGTTTTTGCACTCGGAAGGCTCGGCTGCTTTGCAGCTGGGTGAGGAGCTCCGCAGCACTGACATCCCGTGGAGCTTGTGCAGACATCGCTTCCCGGATACAGAAGCCTCTCCAAGGGCACAGGTGACATGTGGGGACATGGCGAAGCCCGACGGCAACACCAATTCAAGTCATTTTAACCCGGCGATGCGAAAAAAACCATTGCCGGCAGACTTCACTTAACGAGTCACTTAAGAAATCACTCAAATGGGGGCCTCCTTCTGTCAAGCTGCACGTGAGGAAGCGCCTCGGTGGAGTCTAAAGGCCAGCGCCCTCCTCTGAAACCCTTCAGCATCTGCCCTCCAGGCTCCCCGGCCCTTCTGCTTCCAGCAAGAGGCCATCGGAGCCTTCCAAAGCCTGCATGAGAGCCTGAGGTCCAGTTCTCAGTTCTCTGGGATGGGCTGTAGCTTCTGCAAACGCATTGGGGCCCTAGCCGGCATGCCCCTGACCACCACCTCCTCGCAGTCGAAGCCCTCAGAAGCAAGCGCCTGCAGAAGGCATCCACCTAATCCACCTCTCATCTTTTTGGAGTGACCATCAAGCCATGCACCGCCTGGCAGATGTCCTCCACAGAGTGCGACCTCACTAAATGCACCAGTGCCAGCCTCCTACCTCCTGGTCTCGCTGTTCTGAGCTCGGGGCATAGAAGCTGCGCCTGGGTCCTGGCAAAAGAGTGAGGCGCCTACGCACCTACATTACATGAATCAATGACTGGGATTAAAATGGAGTCCTCTTCCTTGCTTCCCGGTGCACTGCACTCAGCCTCCCACAATAGCGAAGGGGACAGCGAAGAGCTCTCAGCCCCGAGATGATTCTTCTGGGGAGCCTTCAAAGTGGCGTGGCCCCACACGGCGTTGGAAGGGTTCTGGGTGGTGAGCTCAGTGATAATCTGCACGCCCTGGGCAGGCACGGCAAGATGCTTCAGGTCCACCATCTTGGCGCTTTGTCCATTGCACGCAGATGCCTGTAAAGAAGCGGCTGTCGTCGATGGCTCGCTCATGGTGCTCGAGGTAGCGTTGGTCTGCACCAAATTGGCAATGGCCTGTCACACCACACTTGAGGACACAGAACAACGGAACACTGTCAGAGGCAAAGAACCGTAGACTGAGGAGAAACAGCGCTTAACCTGTTGCTTTTGCAAGGTTCTGCCCAAAACAATGGAGACGTCTTGCTAGCACGTTTCGAGCAGAAACCAAAAAAAAGCCTTGAGCGATAGCGCTGTGGACGTAAGACTCGAAGACAGTGGCGGGAGTACGATTTGGAACACAAGCACACTCGACAGCTCCTACATCTAAGGGCGGCGCAAAAGGAGAAACCTAAGAAAAGGTTGCATCGCGTGTTCTGGAAGCAAAATGTTTGTTATGTGCCATTTTGCAACATGGGCATACATAATTGCTGGCCTATTATTCGGAGCTCTTGCGTTTGTCTTGTGACGCGAAGCCTGAGGTCCGTTCATGTTTCTTTTCGAAACTGTGCTCCACGCCAAAGTTCTGCTACATCCGCAGCACGCTTCCGCCCGCGTGTGTGCTTGTGCGAGCCTGAATGGGGCGGTCAGCCTTAAAACTCTGTTCGTAGCACGCTCCACGATTTCAGTGCTGCCGCGAGCGCTTCCGCAGCCTCCGGCGTCATGCTTAATGTGGCGTATCGTCGTGTCCAGCCTGGGGTGCCTGCTATTTTGTTGGTGTTTCGCGGGGCCCTCAACAGCAGTGGTAGGCATGTGACGTCTGTGTAGTCCCGTGACTCTGCACCGGCAAAACCCTGACCTGACGCTTGCAGAGAAACACGGACTTCGGTGGAACAAAAAGCAATTCGGAAGATGCACGAAGTTCTTTAGCGAATGTATATGAACGGAAATTAGAGGTTAAGGCAGCCGCGTCTTTAACAGGAAGTCCTGAGGAAGGCTTTTTGTTCAAGGTTAGCTTTTTGTCCCCCTCAGTGCACACGCCCGTTGTGCCCGCTCCGCAGGGACTAATCGAGGCACTCGTGAGTCCTGATAGGGCCCAGCCGACTTCTGCCGTCTCTTCATTCCCAGAAGTTCTCTTAAACTTGGTTTTGTCTGCACTTAAGCTGATTGAAGGAACACGGTTGGCAGGCACCGTATTTTGAAAGGCCTGCTTTTTTGACATGTCTCCCTGACGGTATGTTCGAAACTTCGAAACCACGTTTTCGCCAGCCCCGGGTGTTTCATGTTTGTTGCTCCGGGCAAGTTCGTAGTCGCTTTCCTCGAAACATCTCGAGCATGTCCGACAGACAGGATGCTGGGACTCCTACTTCTGAGGGAGCCTAACCAATTGCACTTACTTCTGATAACGGAGCAACATGACACAAATCCTGGCCGCGTCGTTGGGGCGTACGGTTCAAAAACGCTACACTGCTACACTGCACAACACTGCCCTTGTTTTGTCTTTCCGGGTACTTCAACTTGTCACGTGAGTGGCAACCCCGCAGCTGCCTGCGGGTCCCACTCGCCAATCGCCGCAATCGCGCTTGATGCTGTTAACCTCAAAGGGCTGGACATGACTCAGAGAGCTCTGAAGTCTGGGTCTTTGCAAGCGCTGGACTTTTGAACCCCGACCCCAACTAGAACAGCATGACTCAGCATGACAGCTGCCGAGCAGCTCAGAGAAGGCCGCATGATGATGGCTCACCTGAACAAGCCAGGAGGCAGAAGCCCGGCTTCCCAAAGAAACTGCGCAGGTTTTGGAGCCTTCGCAAATCTTCACGCACTGTTCGACATTCCCTGGACGTTGAGCCTGGCGTGGCACATGGTTGCACCGCCCGACTGGAGCACCAGTGGAGTCATTGAACCAGCCTCGAGATTGCCGCGACGGATTCGGATCCTGCGACGCCATGCGGTGTTCGAGACATCTCGGAGATCGGAATCTCAAGGCATCGAGTTCTCGAGGCCCGAGCAAACAGCATCCAGGAGCGACATGCCGCGCACGCGCAAGGTTGCCTTGGCCCGAAGATGGCTGACTTTGGTCATGCACGCGTTTGGGTGCTGACCGTGGCAAACTAAGCGTCTTCACAGGCGACCAGGCGATGTTCCCAAGCTCTTGGTGTCCACAATCAGAGATTTTCGCGACCTGGCTGACATCTTTTGACCGGTCCTCCGGAAAAAAAAAAACATGCTGCAGCACTTGGCAGGGCCCTCTCGGAGTGAAACAACTTTCACCGGATGTTCTTGTGTCCACTGGGGGCACTAAGGTCCAAGCAGCTGCAGTGGAAGTTGCTGTTGCGGGCGCCGGGCCCTCTGCAACAAGCTTGGCAGATGTCCGCACCTTGGAAATGCATGTGGCCATCAGGTGGCCACACTCAACCATTTCATCACGCTCTCTGGTCAAACGCTCAATGGATTCTGACGGCGCCGCCAGATTTCCAGTGTTCTGCGCCCCAAGTTGAGACATCTGACCTCTGCAGGCACTACGGGCAATACTTACTCTCCTTTCCAATCCTTGTTTACAACCTTGTTTAGTTTACATACACTTGAGACCCTTCAGATTTTGAGACTAGCTGTTGCACGGTTTTGCTGTTTTGGATGCTGTTATTCAGGTTGTAGGGTTGAGGTATTCGGCTCACCTAGATCCACGTCTCGGTTCTGGACCTTGGCCTGCGGTTGAAGCAGCTGCAAGAAGACCTCAGACTGTCTCGCGCTCGTAAGATTCCTTGGCAAGATAAGTGCCGAGCTCCCAGCACTCGCTCAAGAACTGTAGCTTGGCGAGCCCCTGCGCTGCGTTCGACGGGTGCTGCGCCTGAAACCCACCAGAGGATGTGAGCCCCCTCCACATGGGCTGGCTTTAAGATCTACTCTTTGTCACGGCTACCTGGTACCTTCACAGTGGACTACCGGTAGCAGCCCTGCTGTCGTTTGGTACTCTCTCCCGCGCGTCAGTCTCCTTCCCTTTTGGAAGATCAAGGTTTCATATACATACACACTCACATAATATGGATCCGCTATAATTATCTTGACAACGACATGCACATCTTGGTCGTCTGTGCCAGAGTCGCGCGCCTGCGACTCGGTGACCTGGCGTAGAATCTCAGCCTCAGATTCCGCTCTCATTCTCGATGCACCTCCACCTCCCCACCTCCCCACAAAACGCGCGAAATCTTTCAAGCCATGCCCACCCTGGCAGGGATCCTGCATCTCCGCGACTGCATGAGTGGGGACTGTTTCCTTGACGCATCAAAAATGAAGTTCTTGCTGGCGTTTTGTTCCGGCGCCTTTTTTGTTGAGATCACAAGCCGAACGCGGATTCGCGGCAAGTGTCCTGGATTCATCTTGCCTGCTTTGATATCTCTAGTTGACTCAGTTGCTGCCTGCTTGTGCAGTGGCACGCGGAAGGGTCGATGGCAGCGTTAGACAAGGCCAGCTACGAGCCCCCCCCCCCCACCCCCCAAAGCCCACGCAACTCTCGGTTCCGGACGGCTAGAGCTTCTGAAGCCGGCTCCCTTCTCACCAGCAGCCGTGCCTTTTCAGGCAACTAGGGGTAACTAGGGTTATGCGGCATTCGGGTTGTTCTCACGCGAGGGGTCAGGCGTGTCGGCAGCTACTTTGCTTCCTCTCATCCCTTTCGCATGACATCTGCTTTCAACTCAGATCAACTGAACCAATTACTCAACTTTTCTGCATCGCAGGCACGAAGGCTCGCGAGACGTTGGCCAGGCCCTGCTTGTGGAGTGCCTGCATGGCCAAGGTATACAGCCCGCCCCCCCCCCCCCCCCCACCACTCCCCCCAAACCCCCAATACACACGCGCTCACACACACTGAGACTTACACACAGAGACTGACACTTACTTACATCCTTCTTTTCAGATGGTGTGGCACATCGCTCTTTGATGGGTTGTTTTGAGCACCTGCGGGCAGAAGAAACCGCAAGACTGGGTTTGAGGGTGGGGCTTGTTGCTTTGCTAGTACAAACACCACTCAAACAACGCGCATGCCACTCGTGCACCGGGGAATGCTTGTCGCGTCTCTGTTCTAGGTCGACCCGGCAAATTGCCAGTCTGGCTTGTCCGAAGTTCGACGTCTTCTGACATCTTCTGGCATGCACGCCTCTGGGGGCTAGTGGCTGACTCCTTCATGGCTGACTCCTTCATGTCATCTACCACAGAGTGACGGCTAACATGTCAACAAATGTGGAGGTGCCCGGACGGCGTCTTGTTTCGCCCACATGGAAACCGGGGCGCCCGGCAGGAGCACGGGTCATCACAGCGGCCATGCCTGGGCAAATTCACACGAATTCGTCGTTTCAGCAGGCAGTCATGCTTTACCTGCTTTACCTCAGGGCTCAGCTGGCATCCACTGGCTGAGCGTCATAGTGAGCGACCTTCAAATCTGTGTTGGCCAAGCTGGTACAAAGCAACAGCAGGCCATGGCACAGCAAGACTCCGAAACGCACCTTAGCGACAGCCCACAGCGTGGTGGAAATCGCCTTCCCAAGACGCCGTCTCTTTCCCTCACAAAACCTTCACTACGCCCGCATTCTCGTGCCCTCACCTGCTCATCGAACTCGGCCAGCATTTTTTGGGCTGCTGCTGAGGGCGGCGCCTGGCATGATCGCGGGAGGCACTGACCACACTGCGCACATTAGCGATAGCACGGATGAGCACGGACTACATTAAAATATTCGAGGTCTTGCTTCTGATCTGTATCGGCCTGCGAGAGCAGTCGGCCAGACTGCCGCAAGGCAGCTGACGACCACGCAGTGTTCGAGAGTCCTTATAAGTACTTCATGGCCAAAAGGCTCCACACGGCTCAAGTGTGTGCCATTGTGTGCCCATTGATGCTTCGGTTGACGCGTTCCCGTTCCGACCCTTCACCGAGCCTCGCGAGTCGAGCTCCGGAAGTCTCTGCCTTGGAGAATTGCCCCGCATTCGCAATACTACGAGTGCGCAGAAAACAGTCGACAACAAGCCTTATAAACACAACAATGCATAAACTCAACTCCGTCCTACTAAAAGACAAGCGAGACAAGTTGGCGGGCCCCCGGCATGACTCGTGACCCTGTAGCCTCCCATAGCGGAGCTTGCTGCCACTTCAGCTTGCCCATGGCGCACACGCTGCCTCAGCGGCCACATCTCATTTCGGAGACGCAGATCGTAACCTCGAAACATACATCTGGGTTCCCGGCTGGATGGGCTGTGTGGCTCAAACTGGTGCATGTTCGCAAGTGCCACCGTGGCAGTGGAGCTCAACAGCGGGGGGCCTGTTGTCGCGTTGACTTGCATTTTGCTTGGCTTTCCGGAAGATCTTTATAACAGAAGCTACCAGGATCTGCCGAAGTCCTGCGGTCTGCAGCTGCGACAATGCCCACAGTGTGTTGGATGTGTGCCGCCTTGCTGAGAGGCTGATGCATGGAAGCATGACTGTGGCGGGACGTCTCTGGGCTCCAGGCGGCCTCTTCAGGCTGTTCGGATCGTCGATTGCTCGGCGCAGGGACCCCAAGAGCTGCCTAAGGCGCAGATCCTTCGGATCGCGATCCTTCAGATCGCGATCCTTCCAGCCATCCTTCGGAGTCTTCGGTGTCTTGTGTTCCCTTGCCAGGCGGTCCAAGGCCGTCACCAAGTTCACAAAGTCCAAGTTGGAGTTTTCTTCGAGAAATCTGAAGATCTCTTCTCCGCTGAGCTGCGCGATGGTGTTGTTCACTTGCGCTGATCAGCTGGGACCCCGGCCCTTTGAACCGCTGGGAGACCAACCCTTTGCCTTCCCCTTCATGGCCAGCTCACACAGCCGCCACTTCTGTCCAAGCGTTCCCGATCATCCGGCTGGTCTGTGTGGTCTGCGGGGAAGCGCGCCCCGGGAACTTGAGCCCCAGGAACCGAACGGAAGTTGATGACTGCTGTGCGGGCGCGAACCAGTTGCAGAACATCGCGCAAGCCGACTCGAGATGGAAGCGGGCGTTTTCGTTGCAACCTCATTTCGCGCTGAAGTCGGGTAATTTCCACATGTGCCCGGGGTGCTCCTGTCCCCGCCCTCAGCTTTGAATCATGTGCCTTGCAGAGATTGCAATAATCCAAGCTTTTGAAGCATGCAGAAAAGGAATTTGAAGGAGAGGAGATAGATGAGACCGTGGTGAAGCCAGGACATCCGAAGCTGGCAAATGCAAGTCTTCGGACTCTGGTGAGAAACGACAACAGAAGGGATGCGTGCGCAGATCCCGACTTTCGTCTGGGGTATCTCGGAATCACAACTTCTCAAACAACAGATCATGACTTGGTGTAAGCCTCCAGCTTTGACCCTCTTCGAATGGGAGAACACTTTCTTCGCCTCCGCAGCCGCATGCATCCACTGAAGATGTGCCAAACACTGTTTTCTCAGTGTCTCTGAAATGAAAAGGACTTCTCCAGACTCCAGACCGAATCGTCTGGTCATGGCCGACATCACTTGCACTTGCTGCTGGCTCCTGCCCACAGGAAAACACAAAGTGAAGCACTCTGAAGCGGTCACAGGCAAGAACTTATGCGCCGCGCAAGATCAGGCACTCAAGAGCCTACGCAAGCAGCGATCAGCTTCTTTCCGCGGTTTTTGGGTGCCCACGTGCATATGGGCTCAAGCAACTATCTACACACGACTAAAAGTCCATCAAAGTTGGGAAACATCTTCGAGTCTCGCATCAGTCCAGGCAAGGGACCATGGGAATGGTTCATAAGCTAACAGTGCCAGCACAAGCCAGTCAAATGATTTTGAGAAGGTGCAAGTCAAGTCAGCATTCTTAAAGGTCGCTTAAAATTTGCACCGCGCTTCGGAACGGTCATTTCTGCCCAGACTCAGACCAAGATGTACTCCAGAACCTGAGAGTGAGCAACTGCCATGTCTTAGACGTGTGACTGCAGTGCAGTTCAGGGCACGAGTGCCATGGCCTAGGCCTAGGCAAACCTTGGCAAACCTTGGCAAACCTTACTGCAAACCTTACTGCACGCTGCTTGCAAGCCTGGAGACCTTCTTCGGCAGCCATCCATCTGTCATGTTATCCGGCCTCTTTGGACTGATTCTCTCGCCATACACCCAGCCACGCTCGGCTTCCTTGGACACAGCGATGAGGTCGCCTTTCAAGAGGCCCAAGGTACCCGCACCTTCTTCGGGCCAATCGGCAGCCACTCGGCAGAGGGACACCCTCTTCGCCACAGCCTGTGGTACCCAACCTTCGCTCGGAGGTTCATGAGCTTGATCACCATGCTTGACCGTTGCCGCGTAGACCCATCCATGTGCTGCACGGTGGGACACGTTCACAAGCGTGCCCTTTTGCACGCGCAGCTGCCCTGGTTGGTCTGGCTCCCAGTCATGCGTGGTGATGTGGAGCAGCACTTGTGCCTGCTCATTGCTGTCTGGTGCTGTATCTGGAGGCTGCGCTGGTGAGGGGCCAGGTTGGGCCGTCTGACCCGCATATGGCACTTGGTATGGCGATTGGTACTGGGTGGATGGAGGCTGGCTGCAAGGTGCCGCCTGTGGAGGCTGTGAACCTGCTACGGGCCCTACGGGCCCTTGCCCATAATGCGATGCTGCGGACTGGCCATACTGTGCGGGGATCACTGGCTGTTGCACTGCGGGGTTGACGGGCTGCATCATGCCATGCTGGCCTGCATATGGGTCGTAAGAGTATGGCGACTGGCCGAAAGCATAAGGCTGATCGGACATCGATGGAGGCGCACCTTGATAGTACATTGACGTCTGAGGTGGGTATGCGGGAGTCTGGCCCATGCTGGCTGCGTACATGTTCCCTGGTGGAACTCCGTTGGCATAGGAAGCCATTGGATCAACGCCGTGCTGATGCATCATGCCATGGCCTGGCAATCCTGCATGAAAACCGGCGCCGAAACCAGCTCCGGCCGGTACGGAAGCGGGGTGGAGGACCGCCACCTGTCGGGCAACCAGCCTGTTCTTGCCACTCTTTTTGTGATGGTCACGCTCCACGTCAAACTCCACCACGGTACCCGCTGTCAACTCCGCATCTTGAAACTGCTGGAGCAAGGCATCACGATGTACAAAGAGGTCACCTGCAAACTTGTCGGAGTTCACAAATCCCCATGCTCCCTGGAAAGACCGAATAACACCTTGAAGGCGTCGGCCGATCCAGTCACACGGCCTCAGCAGCGCGCTGGTGGTGATCTGCTTCGCCACGGTGCGCCCCCGGTCATCAAGGGCGACATCGAACTCGACTGCCTGGCCGGTTCGAAGCGGCGGCTGGCCATCCTGGATCTGATCTGGGATGAGTAGCAAGTTGTCCCTGTGCACAAAGAGGTCTCCATCAAAGGCGGCCGCATTGAGGAAGCCCCATCTGTCTGCAAAGCGGCGTACGTACCCTCGGTGCCGCTGGTTGAGGCACTCGCTTGGCTTCCGTCCCACTACAGGCTTCAGAGCCACTGCATGAGGCCTGCCTCTTTCATCTGCCTGAACATCAAACTCGACACCCTCCTCCTCCTTGAACTCATAGTTCTGACATTCCAACATCACATTCTCGGTCTTGAAGCCGAGTTCGCCTTCGAACAAGTGGCTCTTGACAAAGCCCGTGCCGCTGCTCATGACATATTTGGAAATGGTGCCCTGCAGCCGCTCATGTCGCAGGGCTAACGGGTTGCTGACAGGTCCAGAAGCAGTGGCAGAAGCGACTTTCTCCTGGGTTCCTGCTGCAACAGACCCCACAGGCTGGGCCCCGGGTGGAAGAGGCCGAGCACTTGCATCTTCCTTGGCATCATCCTCAAGGGCTGCCATCCTAAGACTACGTGATACTGCGCGAATCGGCGCGACTACCCCCAAAACTTTTTCTCGAAAGCTCTAACAAAGCGCCGTCCTCGAGCAGAAATTGAAATCATACAGGGACACGAATGTTCACCCTTGCATCCTGTCGTAGCCGCCCCTAGTCAGGCCCTAGTCTACAAAGCTACCATGCGCACTGGAAGATGGTAACCTTCTGGCACCTGAAAGATCGGCCAACAACGGGGCGCGTGGCCTGATCGACGGGAGGGCGCGGCATGCCTGCTGGACTGGAGTGCGGACATGCGATGTCTGAGTCACAACATGTGCAGGGCGAATAACAGGTGCGCACGTTGCGATTGCTGAAGTGACTACGGCTCACAAACATGGTCAAAAACATGTAGTTGTAAGCCCATCCTGCTTGCAACTGCACATGGCAGGTGTCCGAAACACTATCAAGCATCGGCCTCATCGCGGGGACTCTGGCCATGGCTAGGCCAGGCTGTAGCTGCGCATTCCGGCAGACACGAATCTCACCAGTCCCGCACACAACGCAGGCGGAGAAGAGTGATTCAGGTTCGGGAGCACACGCGGACGATCAAAGCGATCTTTATCTTGTCGCTCACCTGCCAGCCTTTTCACGTGGCCAGGACTTCGTTTGAAGCCCCGAGTGATCTTTGTGTGAATTATCTGCGCCATTCTAAGATTCTACGCCTACTCTGGAGGCTGTGCCAGGGCGACTAGGAGGATGTACGCTAGGGAGCCGAAGCCAACGAAAAGGAAGGTATAGAAGGAGCATAAGTTGTCACTACCAATGCATTTTCCCATCCAGGGGCAATGATGATCATGGCCCTGAACACACACCTGGCAAAAATAGCAGTGCTGGCAGCCTCGGGGCTGCACAATATGGCAGATCTCACATCTTCGCACCCTTGTAGACAAAGATTCGGACACACTGGGAACCTGGTTCTTCCTCAGCACGCCGGGGTTTGCCAGCGCGCACCTCAGGAAGGTCACGGCCGAAAGGGTTGTCACCAGCACACCACCCCCGAGCTGGTCCAGGGATGTCACGGAGCTGCAATGGAAGAGGCCTACAGCGAGGATGAAGGCAAGCATCAGCACTGAGCAATACCAATGCGGCCCGATGTAGAGGCCATGCCCACCAAAGTTGAAGACCAAAATCCGGCCTAGCCAGCTACAGCTCCAGGGCTCTGGGAAGTCGAAATCTCTCCCGGCTTCCATGTCGAAGGCGCTGTAGGGGTCGCTCAAGGCCACCGGGGCTTCGCCGGCTTCCGTCCGTTCGTGCGACGCATCCACCGGCATCAGAGGCGATCGCTTTGCACACTTCAAAGCCTCTGAGCTTTCTTTTCTGCAACACTGGCATCTTTGAGCCTGCAGACTGAGGCACACAGATTAACACACAAGGCAGCACAGCAGCAGCCAGCGGAGCTGGAGGATGACTCCATATGGCTCCCTTTTTTCTTCTCTCCTCGCCCAAGCACCTCCTGGCTTCACCGTGAAATTTGCTTGGGGAGTTTGCGCTCTCTCTCACTCTCTCTCTCTGAACTCTCGCTCTCTGAATTTCCAGGACTGGGATGGTCATGACGAAGTCACACGATATTCAGCTGGCAGCTGGTGACACTTGCATGATTAACGTAGACTTCCGCAGCCTGATTTCACTTACGTCCAGCCGTCTGTGGCTGAGCTGTGCGTCCCGCGTTGTTGCGAGCATGTTGCTGGTTCCAGCAAAGCCCTGTGGCCTTTTGTTGGTGCAACGCTAGCCGAAGAAGTCGAGTCACATAGGGTTCGGGGGGCAGGACAGTACATTCCGTACATGGGGTTCCCGGGGCCTGCTTGCACCCTGGCTTCTCACATCCCTTCACCGCGGTCTTGTCTGCAAGGCTTCGTGAAGGGCGTTGGATCTGTTCGGCTGCACTGTGCCTTCGAACTTGTACCTGTGCAAACAATGATGATGCTTTTTTCAGGTGAGCACGACATGCTTGCATTCTCCGGTGGTCCGTGAGAGCCAGCCCCTGCAATGTTCAAATAGCCATTCGTCGCGCAGCCACACCATCTGCACCCTCGATTGTTTTCCAGCTCAATGATCTCAGAGCCCTAAACCCTGAGGGTTATGCAGATCGTTGTGCGCTGTGAACCTGTCAAACGAGTGCCAGCATGGGCTTCTGGACGCAGCAGGGCACCTAGATGCATGGATCCGCCATCTCATCATGATCAGGTCAACCCGCTGAGCGCTAAGATGCCCCCTACCAGGCCCAGCTCCATATTGTCCTGCTTGCTCTCCAGCCCATGCGCACTACAACAGGACCGTGAGACTGAAAATGAAATGCAGCACCGAGCGCAAACCTTCAACGGCTTGAAGCCATTGGTCAGTAAGGCCCACGCCCGGCACATCTCTGTACAGGGAACGCATTGTTGAAACAGAAACAACCAGAAACAAGGCTGCTCGTCTGCACTTTCTGCACTTGAAGACCGTATAAGTGACTGCATTGGCGAAGCCGCGTCTCAATGAGATCGACGGAACCATAAGTGAGTGCTTGTGCTCATAACTTCGGGGAATGTTGGGAATACATGGGAATACTTAATGCGATGACGGAAACAGAACACAGCTCCGAGCCGCCTCTGGGGTGTACTTCACACCGCCGTCTGCCGTCGCATCCTGAGGAAGTAGTTGCTTCGCTGCTGTGACATGGCAGAACTTGAAGTAACTTGTCGCGAGTCATGCCAAGTCTCGGCGCAGAGTAGAAAAACTCTGCAGCGATCACTTCGACTGTTTTGTCCAGGTCGTCGTTCAGCTTCTCATAAACTGCCTGACTTTTGGACTTCGAAGACAAGCCAATCAAAAGTCGCCCTTTTGCAGCGTGCCTACCCACCTCAGCCACAGCTCCCAGGAGGTGCAAGTTCGAAATTGGTCGGTTTAGGGCTCCACCCCACACTTGGCCTTGTTGAGGCACCCTGCAAGCTCCCGTGAGACCTCCCAGTTAGACCTCTAGCAGCCCTAGCAAAGGCGCACGGGTCAGCTGTGGTTGCACCCGTCTACGGCTTCAGAGGCTCTAAACGATCCGAAGCCCTTTTTGCATGCCCCAGCCAGAACAGGCATCCACACATGTAAGGCGCACTCAGGCAACAAAACACAAGAAAACTCAACAAACAACAAACTATCTTAAAATGTACTTCGAACATCCCCGCAGGTACTCTGCGGTTGGGCACTCCGGGATACTCTCGGGATGGGCACTCCAGGACTTTTTGTTCGGCACTCCAGAAAACCTGGGAAGATACCCTGTGGTCGGGTAGTCACTCTCTGAGAACACTGCAAGGCCTGGGGTTGGGCATTACAGGACTCTCTCGAAAACCTGGGACACCTTCGCGGGTTGGGGGGGGCACTTCTAGGGAGCTTCTGGGGGATACTCTGTCCTGGAGAGATATTCTTGGGTTTGGGCACTCCAGGGACTCTTTTTGTTGGGGCGAGGAGTAGACCGGCGAGGAGAAGAGTTTCTCAATCTAGGGGTGGGGAATTCTGGCAGGATTCGCGCAAGCAGCAAGCGAAAAAACCTCTACATTGGAAGCCCCGTCCTTCCATTTGCTGACCCGCGGAATGGGGCGGGCGATTCCGGCCACCAACATCGTTTCATCCAGCTCGACTTGCTTCAAGTAGACCTTGGCACAGCTGAAACACAGTTGAGGTGGGCTCAGCCTGTTGAGACCTCCGGGTGCAAACCAGTACAAGCCTGAATGACAAACCAGCAATGAACGCCGTGAGTGCTGCTCAAAGGCGGCAGTGCGAAGGCTGCCACCCCCCTTCTGCAGGAAGTCGCCGGCAACAAAGAGTTCGCCTCTCTTCTGCATGACTTTCAGTTTCGCGCATCGCGTCTCGCGACCCTGGTTCCATATGCAACAAAAATAACAAACGGTGCTGTCCTGTACGTACTTTACAATTTGTTCATGAATCTTATCTGAAATGTATATTAAGATCTGCAAGTTGGTCGGCAGTGGAGTTTGCTCGGCAACTTACTCGTCTTCCGAGTGTCCCTGAGGCTTGAAGTCATACTTCATGTTCGACATTGATGCCTTTGGCTCCTCGTCATTGCTTCTAAGCCGACCAAACAGCACTCCCTATAACACCGTCCTTGTAGAACTCGCCCTGCTCAGCAGCTGACCAGAAGCCTTCCTGCAGGAGTGGCGTGTTGAATTGCATGTTGCCTGCTGCGAAAGTTCTGTGCAAGCCTGTCTGCGACACGAAACGACTCTCATAGGCCTGGGCTTTATCGTGGTCCAGCGATTGCTGCAGATCTGCCTGTTCGGCCTGGTGGAGGCAAGCAAAGGCAGCAAAGATGTATTTTGTGAGCCCACGGTGCTAAACCGGGGGAAGGGCAGCGGCACACGACTTCTACGGCACGAGCTCTGACAGCACGTTCTATGTTACAAAGAACGGAAGGGCGTCAAGTCGTGGAAGCTCCGCTGTGCATCTGCTTGTGCAAAGTCTGCTGCGCATCTGTTTACGCCAAAGTCTGCCTTACCGGCCTTACGCCCGAAGGGCTCGGATGGCTCAACTGCACTTGGAGGTTACGCAGCACATGACATCTGCATGGTCCCACCAGCAGAAACCTTCTGGCGCTGTTGGGCTCCAAGGTCTATGGGTTTCGCCTTTTGTTTATACATAGGCGTAGAGGCTCCCGGTCAAAGATGCCCCATTCGGCAAGCAGTCGAATGAACCCTCCTCCTTGATCCTCTTCAGACACCCTCTGGACCTGTGATCCCTGGGACCGCCTGTGGACCTTCTCCTTATGAAGCCCGTTGTATGAACCTCTTCTGGCCACGCTATGGACGCAATGAAATCGAGCTAGCAAATTTGCTCCGGATGACTGCAAGCCGTTCCTGAAATAATGAAACTTCCAACGTGCAAACGAGTGTTCGCCATTCCGAAATCGTGTGACAGTGTGTGTGTGTGTGTGTGTGTGTGTGTGTGTGTGCGTGTGAGTGCGTGTGTGTGCGCGTGTGTGTGCGCGTGTGTGCGCGCGTGTGTGCGCGCGTGTGTGCGCGCGTGTGTGCGCGCGTGTGCGCGCGCGTGTGTGCGCGCGTGTGTGTGCGCGTGCGTGTGCGTGTGCGTGTGCGTGTGCGTGTGCGTGTGCGCGTGCGCGTGCGCGTGCGCGTGCGCGCGCGTGCGCGTGCGCGTGCGCTGCGCGTGCGCGTGCGCGTGCGCGTGCGCGTGCGCGCGCGCAGCGCGCGCGTGCGCGTGCGCGTGCGCGCGCGTGCGCGTGCGCGCGCGTGCGCGGCCGTGCGCGTGCGCGTGCGCGTGCGCGTGCGCGCGTGCGCGTGCGTGCGCGTGCGCGTGCGCGTGCGCGTGTGTGGGTGTGGGTGTGTGTGTGTGGTGTGTTGTGTGTGTGTGTGTGTGTGTGTGTGTGTGTTGTGTGTGTGTGTGTGTGTGTGTGTGTGTGTGTGTGTGTGTGTGTGTGTGTGTGTGTGTGTTGTGTGTGTGTGTGTGTGTTGTGTGTGTGTGTGTGTGTGTGTGTGTGTGTGTGTGTGTGTGTGTGTGTGTGTGTGTGTGTGTGTGTGTGTGTGTGTTGTGTGTGTGTGTGTGTGTGTGTGTGTGTGTGTTGTGTGTGTGTGTGTGTGTGTGTGTGTGTTGTGTGTGTGTGTGTGTTGTGTGTGTTGTGTGTTGTGTGTGTGTGTGTGTGTGTGTGTGTGTGTGTGTGTGTGTTGTGTGTGTTGTGTGTGTGTGTGTGTTGTGTGTGTGTGTGTGTGTGTGTGTGTGTGTGTGTGTGTGTGTGTGTGTGTGTGTGTGTGTGTGTGTGTGTGTGTGTGTGTGTGTGTGTGTGTGTGTGTGTGTGTGTGTGTGTGTGTGTGTGTGTGTGTGTGTGTGTGTGTGTGTGTGTCCGAAGAACCTTTCTGGTCATCTTGGTAGTGTCCTCCACACACACAAAACTGCAGCCGACGAACGTGGCAGCAACTTGTCAACCTCCTCACATAAAAACCATGAGACGCTGTTGCATTTCCCTGCCGATGCGTACAGGCCTATCTTTTCGATGTTGTGTTGGTGATTCTTAGTAATACTTTATTGCCCAGCAATGGGCGAGGGCTTCGCTAAGTTCTTCTGGGGTGGGGGGGGGGGGGGGGCAGCAGAAGACCCGGGCAAGGCGAATAGCCAAAAAAAGCATTGCGCGCCTGCTCTGCGATATCTGCCGTGTTGAAGATCAACCATAAGCTGCTGATTTCGAGTTCTCCAGGTTCATAGCCTGAGCAAATCAGCAAATCGAAATCTGGCTCTCTACTTGTAGGTCTCTAGACTTGCCGCCACTCTCGTCACCAAAGGAGTCACTCTAGTCTTTGTAGAGGCAAGCGGCCAAGCATGTTGGCAAAAGTGTGGCTGCAGAGGACGACCGGGTATTTTCCTGTCGGGCTCACGAGGAAGAGCGGGACGTCCAAGTCCTCCAGCTTCTCGCAGCTCAGCTTCTCAGCCTGTGCACACACCTGGCGTTCACGCTGGCATTGCGCACGGCGCATAGCCTCTTTACCACACACCTAGATTACATCCTACCACAAACTGCAGCTCAACCTCAGCTGCGGCGGCTTGGCTGCCTGCCAGGATTACGAACCACGAAGGGCTACGGTCCATTGCGGGACCAACCGCGTTTTTCAGAGCTGTAAACGCATGAAAGCCATGCCTTCTACGAAGTCATCGCAGTTGAAGGGCTCCAGAAGATCTAAGAAGCGAGTTGAGCTGACCTTGGTTGGGACATCGGGATGCTCAGGTCCTGGACATGCACGCAAAAAAGGACAGAAGCGTCTCTGCAATCATGGCATGGACAGGTCACGCGACAACTACGGGCAGTTGAGACACGTCTGCGCAAGCTTCCTCTGCCATCGTTTTTTCGGTCAGGTCGCTATTCCTGGCCCAGGCAGCCCTAGCATACTCGCTTGTGTCGCATATGCGCGAAAAAACCGGACGATGCCAGCACATGCACAACAATGTTTGTCCAAGGCTCGACTGCGCGATCGCACCTGCAAAGCTTTAGGGAGGTGATGAGCTCCTAATCAAGTGCTATATGCAGTGCTTCTTCGGCGGCAGGACGCGAGTAGAGCGTCAAAGCCCAAATGCACGTAAGTCAGGTAAGCCAAGAAGCCCAGATGAAAGCAGGGCTCCTCAGTCACAAGCAGCCACCCAACAAGAGGTGCAAACACACACACACACACACACCATTTCAAAGGCTCAATGGCACTGTCTCTGACTTCTGCCTGGGCCTATTTGAGCTCACGCACTCTCTTCGTGCTGTGTTCACTTCGCACTCACTCGCGACCGGGGGGAAAGAAGGAAAGACTGACAACTATGTGCCAAATTGAGCCGAGTTGGGAATTTCTGTTCTCACGACACACGCCATGGCCACGGCGGACAAGCATCTGGGCACGTGGCGCTGCGCTGAAAATCATTCGGGCTGAACTGGTCCTGGCCCTTGTCCTTCGCCACAACGCTGGAAAGAGAGCACGCCGTGCTCACACCTCACGAGAACTGTCAGAACTGCGAGAACTCCGAGAACTCATTGGAGAGATGGTCTTCTTTCCGATTTCAAGCTGTATGCCGTGCATGCTGTGTGTAGATATAGATATGCATGCAATGTATACCGTATTGATGGGCTCTGTGACGATGCAGATACATGGCTCTTTCATTCGGGTGGCTGGCAATCGTCTTCTCTTCCATGGAACGCGATTTCTGCATCTTTTTGCCGTTCGTCTCGCTCATTTGTCGGGAGAGAACGCTGCGCCAAGCATCGCGCCTTAATCGACTAGCAAGCGGCACGCAAAAACGCACAGCTGTTCGAGTACGAGCAAGAGGGCTGTGCATTTGTGTCTCAGGAGACATGCTCCGAGCGGCATTATGCCATGGAAATGAGATTCAGCCTCCTTCGTCTGCAAGCGCTCAGCGAGCTTGCTTCGTCGGGCTTGGCTGCTGCAAAGTGCCTTGTATTCTTCAGCACCTTGCGCAGCTGCCTTCAGCCTCAGTATTCAGCATCTCGCTGTCTGGCCTTTCCGGGGCTATGCCTAAGGACATAAAATGACATCAAGAAACAGCTCTGGCACGGGGATTTGGCTCGAGACATCCTGCTGCAAGCCCACCATATACGACCAGCCAAGTTCCGGATGATGCTTTCGTAGAAGGCCCATTTGGCCTGCCAGCCCACTGCCAGCGCAAGGTGACCAATGGCGGGCAGATGACAGGTTGACGATCTATGCATCCCGAGGCACTTTTCCACTGACGCCCACGTCGCTCCAAAGCACTAGCTTTATACACTAGCCGCCGCCGACCGCGAAATGTTCATGGGATTCGCGTGGGGGCATCGGGAGGCCTCGATACAGGCTTCAAAGGGCTCGCAAAACGCGGACGCGTCGAAGGCGAGAAAACAAAAGGCCATTGGTTTTGCGGCGGCCTGCATCACAACCAAGCTATGCATTTCAAGCTTTGGAGGGGGGGGGGGGGTGCCTGGGACTGGAAGCCCACCAACAAGGCGAGCGGCCCTGGTGAAAACATCGTAAATACCGTGGCTTCATGAAATTCTCCATGCGCTGCTCCAACCCCTACCCTTACCTCCGCTGCATTTTTGAGGCTTGTTCGCTGCATAGAAACCGTCAAAACTGTAGCAAAGTAGTGCCAACACATGGGAGAAAGTGTATTTGTAGAGGCTTCTTGGCTCATGGGCCAAAGCGCACTGATGCTCACATCGGTAGCATCGGCAGGAGCCCTTTGGTCTGGGAACAAAGCCTCCTCAACACCCCTTCAAGACGCCGGACGCCCAAACCCGTGCACAAACTTCTAGCCAACATCCAACGTCTCAACCCCTGTACAAGCCGAAACCCGAATACCCAGATAGAGAGAGAGGGAGAGAGCAGAAGGAAGAGAGAACAGAAACGAGAGAACGAGAAGAGCGAGAAGAGAGGAGAGAGACATAAGAGAAAGAGAGAGGAGGGAGAGAGAGAGAGAGACACAGAGAGAGAGAGAGAGAGACACAGAGAGAGAGAGAGAGACACAGAGAGGGAGAGACAGAGAGAGAGAGGGAAGATAAGTGGCTGGCTGCTGGTTGCTGGTTGCGGGTTGCGGGTGGCGGGTTGCGGGCTGCGGGTTGCGGGGTTGCGGGTTTTGGGCTGCGGGTTGCGGCGGCGGCCGCGGCGCCGCCGCCGCCGCCGCCGCTGCTGCTGTTGTTGGACCCACCCTTTCCGGGAAAAAGACAAGAAGAATGAACCCTCCACCGCGACACATAAACAAGGACCACTGAAGATGGTTAGGGCAGGCGGCAGGTGAAGAGCTGGCCGGTGCTTTTGCGATTGACTGCCAGAACTGCAGGAAAGTCCGTGTCTCGATTACGCACCACGTCGTCCACGTATTCGACCATGACGTCGTGCATCACTGCAAACCCGGCGGCAAGTCCACCGAGCGACTTTCCTGTCATTCGCTCCGCTGCTGCGATTGCCAACGGATCTTTTAAGATTCCATCAGCTCCGACCAGCATTCCACAGGAGCTGTCGGTACACTCCTCCTGACTAAAGCCATACAGTTTCTGAAATCCAAGGCTTGCGTGCAGAATGGGGAATCCCTTGGTCGCGGCATCGCAGAGCACGAAGCTCTCCTGTGGGGCGCAAGTCTTCTTTCACTTCTCAAGGAAAATTTGGGTAAACCCCTCCTTCGCTTCAACATTGTACAAGTCTGAGTCCTCATCAGAGAAGCCTGGTGCCTTCAGGAGCGCCATACTGATGTGACTGGAAGTAGATGTTTGTTTTCTTCTTCGGCCACCTGGCAACTTCGGCAATTTGCAATAAGCAATCGGCATGACTCCCCTGACCATATCTGCCCATCGAGCCTCACGTCCAGCCAGCAAAGCAGCAATTGCGCTGCACTTGCTGAGCGTCGTGAGCCAGATGTGGAGCCTGGGTGTCACCAACTGAGCCCCAAACAACCAAAGAATGATCTGAGACTCCCTCGTGTTCACGCCAAGCGTCTTCAGAAGCCTAGGGCTTAGGACCGTATAGGGTCCCGAATGATGATGACCCGCTTGAGCCAAGACCGCAGCCAAAACATCGCAACGCCAGGTCGGGCTCTCCCCTGATAGCGGTAGAGTATTGTAAAGCACTCACGCTCTGCCTCGTCTGCAATGCGGCCACTCGCGCGCAACAAGTATTTGGGCAAGTTCTCATTTTTCCCTAAACGAAGGCCACGGAGCAAGACAAAATCCCTTCACAGTTTCACAATGAAGCCCCGTGATGCCCTGCAATGCCATGTGTCAGCGCTTCTGACACTATGGGTGAAACACGAGTCGAAAAGTCGTCTGGTGCGAATTGAAATGAAAAGACGGAGCCGATGGTTGGAAGAAAGCCTCCCCGCGATGAAGAGCGCGGAAAGGCCAGGCCCTGTGATGAATGAGCAAACCGGGGAAGGGGGAGGGGGAAAATGGGGGACGTAAGGGGCCTAGGCATCCTTCTTCTGGATCACATCGGCCTCCGGTTCATTGAAAAGAGAGACCATCGTTCTCAGAACAGAGCGTGCTGCTGTGAGTTCCCAGTTGATGACGCGCCAGGGGACCTTAGCCGCTTAGCCAGTCAAGCCCACAAGTCAAATGAGAGCTGGCTCGAATGGTCCAAGGCAAGCTACACGGCTCATTCATAGCATTATATTATTATTGCTAAATTTCGCCCAGGGGCCCGCAGGAGGGGGTTTTCTGGCTTCTTGCTGACATTCTCTAGGAACGTGCGGACTCTGCTGCTGAGATGGCTCTCATACTGATGGACAGCTCCCTGTGACATCGTCCAGATTGCTCCATCGGCCACCTTGCTTGCCAAGATCTTCTCGATAACAGATGACTGCTTCGAGGGTGAGTTGTCGACGGTCTTCAGGAAGGCCAGCAAGTCCGTGAGTGACTGGGACCGGCTCAGGCTCCTCCCACGGACGCGGATCTCTCCCTTCTCGCCCTTCTCGCCCTTCTCGCGATGCGAAGTCGGATTCCCAAAGAGCTCCTGCATGTCTCCAGGGCTCTTGGACTCACTGTAGCGTCGGCCCAAGATGAAACGCTGAAGCCTCTTGGGCAGGAGCTGCCCCAGGGAGTACTGGAAGATGCGGCGCCTGAATTCTGGGCTCATCTCCTCAAGGATCTCTTTGCGGGTGTCCTCATCCAGGTCCAAGTTGATCAACAGGAGCACACGAAGCCAGTCATAGAGGGGTCGCATGATGGCTCTGCTAAGCACCTCCACAATCTCAAAGATGGAAAGGTTGAGGGTCTTGCCAGCTTCTGGCGGTAGCAGCTGCAACGCACCTTTTTCCGACTCGTACGCCATCTGGATGAAATACAGCAACAGGCACAGAGCTGCCAAGCCAAAGAAGCTGAGAGTTGAGACCGCAAAAAAGAGCAGATGCAGAAGCCAAGGGTACTGCCAGGCAAGGACCACCATCATCCAGCAGCTGCCCAGCAGGGCAAAGCCCATGGAAGCCACAAGCAGCGAATGGCCCATTCTTGTTTCACATCAACAAATTAGGCGACAAGAAATGTACAAATGTCGCCCCGCCTTTGTCTCCTCCACATCTGAGAGCCACATGTCACGCAGCGCATGCCGTGAACCCAATCGTGCCACAGCTATGGACAAAGGCTGTCACAGCTGACAATGTTTCAGAGAAGCCTGTTTGGCATGGTGCTTCCTTCTGCCATTGTCGTGGGCGGGCGGGAGCGGGGGGGGAATTCCCTTCGCCTCAACCCCAACACCCTCCGAAAAGTTGACTGAAATTCGTTTTGCATGCTGATGTTGTTGTTCTAACGGGTCTTCTTAAGAAAATTGGGCTAAACTTCCGCGCGGCTTTCGCTCCTTCCTTCCTTCCTTCTTTCCTTCCTTCCTTCCTTCTGACACCAGAAGGGATAAAGCCAACATGTAAGCCAAACAAAAAAGCGGAAAGTCAAACGGCACCAGGGCACAGGCCAAAAACAGGATGAAAAATCGAAAGGCCAAAAACAGCAACAGGCAAAAGCAACGAACAAACGAAGATTATGTTACTTCGGACATCCCCACCTTGCTCCTCGTTAAAAGGAAAGAGCGCAAATAAGATGTTCAAACCAAGACACATTGACTCAAATACGCTTTCTTAGTTTTTGCTTGCAATTGGGGTTGGGCACTCCAGGGAGACTCTGGGGTTGGCCACTCCAGGGTTGGCCAGGGAGTCTCTGGGGTTGGGCACTCCAGGGGGTCTCTAGGAGTAGTTCGGGCGAGGAGAAGAGTTCCGGGCAAGGAGAAGAGTTGAGTTTGAAATCTAACAACCCCACACCGAAGGTGGGAAATTACAACATCCGGCGAGCAGCCGAGCAGCATCTGTAAACGAACATGAAGGCTTGCTGTGTCAGAACGTTTAGCAAACTCCAAGTGGAAGACATGCTGCATGGCAGGTAGCTTTCGTGATGCACAACACATCTTTCCTTGCTGTGTGGCATTTGCCAAGTGCGCCAGCTCGGATCCAAACATGCCAAACTGGGGCATTCCTTCAAGGAGAGCCGCCGGATTAGGGGCACTAGCATCTAGTGCAGCCTCGGCCTGTGCCGTCTTGGCACAATCGAGGCTGGAATCAGGCTGGCCGTGTAGGGCAGCTAGGTGTAGTGTAGCCGATCGCTCTTCGTCCTTCTCATTTGTGCTGTGCGTGCTCTGCATGCCAAGACTGCACACGTCTATGTGACCCCATACCAACGTGGAGGTGCACTTTTCGGCCTCTGCTCAGGGAACATTGCCGTTGTTCCTTGGAGTCGGGCCAGCCGAGGCAACAGCCATGAGTGTTTTCGACATGGAGCTGTGACGTAGGACTCAGGAAATTTCTGCAAACGCCAGTGACACACTCAACCCTTCTGCAATGCCAAGTGCATGCTCCTACTGAGGGCGGTGCAAAGGGAAACACAAGGCGCGAAAATAGGTAAGCCGTGTGTGGTCTGGGTGGACCAGAGGCGGCGCACATGTACCGGAAGAGCGATCCCAACAGTGCAGAATACGAAGGTTCGAAAGAGCGGAAAGCCCGAAAGTGGGTGATAGGCTATAGGAATTGGGACGGTTTGGAAGGAGCCTGCATGACAGCGAGGAGCAGTTAGCCACTCAGTCTCGGCTAGTCCTAGATTTAGCCGTTTTTAAATGTCAGAACCCGTTGAGTTGCCTCAGAAGTCTCTTGGACGCACCCGTCGCATTTGCTTGTTTGGGCATCTCCAACTGGCCACAAGCCGAGGTGCGAAGGAGATTCATCTTGCACATCAGACTCCTCCGGCACAAAGCTTGTGTTGTACGACTTGTCCTCGCCAGAATGGAAGCTGGACTCAGCTGGACTCGGCTTAAGTGCCGAAGACTAGGGGCGCCGCCGTGCGAGCGTGACTCCTCGGGCATATGCACGGTGGTTTCGGTGGGCCATACGCTCGAAGTCCATGTCACTATGTGATCTCCAAGTCGCACAGGGGAGGATTCGAAGCCATACTCCGACTTCTCCTGGGTCCACAGTCCCGAGGCATAGCTGTCATAGCTCTTGCTTCTGCAGGTGAACAACACTTAGGGCTGGCGCGGTCTTCCCATGACTCCTGGCTTACACAAACTTGACTCGGCACGGCGCTGGCACGTGAGTTCATTGCAGTCGAGGCTCGAGGGAGAAAAGTTCTCGGACTTGTCCTTCACAGGCAGCTTGGGCTGTACGTGGCTCACTCTGGCACTGTTATCCCTTTTTGAATCCCGCTGGTGCAAGACCCCTCTCTTCCAACATCTTAGAATCTAAGACCAGCACTGTCTTCCCATCGGTCCTGAAGTACATCGACGGCAACTTGAGCAAAGGCACACTGTGTACTTGCCTTTTGGCCCTACCTACCACCCCAGCCAAGGAACACTTGAGAGTCTGCTTCAAATTGGTAACCGGATTTCTCCTCACGACGTGCTGCACCATAGCAAATACACCAACTTTTGGTATGTTCCGGGCTTCGGACTGTCTTGCTGTTGCTCCTGGGGACCACGGGTGGCTGACATAATGTTCAAGCGCAACTCGAGGTAGCTCAAGCTCTCACAAACTCGGGGAGAAACTACTGGCTGCAGTTCAGTTGCATGGGTGAGACATCCAACTCATACTCGGACTTCTCCTTCTCATGCTTGGCTCTGACGTGACTATCAAGTGTCCAACAAAGCCGAGCTTGGCACTGTGCGATTGCTCCTGGGCTGTTCAACGCTTGGATCGATGTTGAGACAAATGCTTGCCGCTTTTGCCGAGGGTCATTGGCACTGGGGATGTTCGGTCGCCGGCTATGCTGGCAGCTGCCGTCTCCTGAAGGGAACATGAAACATATCAAGCACCCCAGGCACCCTAAGACCAAACGAGACCGAAAGAGCAACGAGCTTGGCACCGTATTCGCGTGACTCCTTGCCAGATCTAGCAGTGCATCAGAGTTGCTGGAATTGTGAGTTGGCAACTGGAGCTTTAGCTGCAACCGAAGCACGCTGGAGAGACTTCCTCGAACTCATATTCAGACCTTTCCTCGTTGCAAGGAACGGAGACAAGATGCTTCTGAATTCCCAAACACAAACAGAAGCCATAGCCTGCCCGAGGACGGTGTTAAATGGAGCAATATGCCACCACAAAACGCAGTGTTCATGCTGGATGCTGCACCGTTTTGGTTATATACATGAGGGGAGCATCATGAGCATCAGCTGGGTATACTTCCGGCCACATGGGCCCCCTAGACTCCAGATGTTGCAAACCAACTGCCCCACTAATTGCGCGCACTTGACCACTTGACGAGGCAGGAGGGGAGCATCATGAGCATCAACTGGGTGTCCTTCCGGCCACATGGCCTAGACTCCAGATGTTGCAAAACCAACTGCCCCAGTGATCGCGCGCATTTGACGAGGCAGGAGGGGAGCATCATGAGCATCAGCTGGGTATACTTCCGGCCACATGGCCTAGACTCCAGATGTTGAAAAACCAACTGCCCCAGTGATTGCGCGCATTTGACGAGGCAGGAGGGGAGCATCATGAGCATCAGCTGGGTATACTTCCGGCCACATGGCCGCCCTAGACTCCAGATGTTGCAAAACCAACTGCCCCAGTGATTGCGCGCATTTGACGAGGCAGGAGGGGAGCATCATGAGCATCAGCTGGGTATACTTCCGGCCACATGGCCCCCCTAGACTCCAGATGTTGCAAAACCAACTGCCCCAGTGATTGCGCGCATTTGACGAGGCAGGAGGGGAGCATCATGAGCATCAGCTGGGTATACTTCCGGCCACATGCCCCCCCTAGAAGCAAAACCAGCTAACTGCCCAGTGACTACGCGCATTTGACGAGGCAGGCGGGGGGCATCGTGAGCATCAGCTGGGTATACCATCAGCTGGTATACTATGGTATACTTCCGGTCACATGGCCCCCCGAGCATCAGATGTTGCAAAACAACTGCCCTTTGTTTGCGAGCTTTTGACGAGTAAAGAGGAAAGAGGAAAGAAAAAGCATTGCAGAAGAAGAGGGGGGGAGACTGATAGCAGTGAGAGAAAGAAATTGACAGGAGGATGTTGCGAAACTCTATGGCATCGGGAAATGCGATCTGGAATGATGTGGAGATTTCTGCGAGCAGTTAAAGCCTCGGGGCAAAAACCTTTGGCACTTTAGGCATCGGTAGAGGCGTCGAGAATGTATCGGAAGGCCCGAAGAGAAGCTTCAAAAGCTTTGCAGCGCTGGCTTCTTAATCGCCAATAAGGAGGCCCAAGTGGCTTCAAGAAGTTATGGCAACGCCCGAGACTCATGCCCACTTCCCTGCACCACGCGCATGCTACAGTATTGTGATCTTTTGTGCGGGGCGTCTGAAGACTTGGCTCCTCGCCGTTCTGCTGTTGCTCCTCGGGATTCGTGGAGCAAGGGCAGAAAAGGGGGTCGCGGACGTTCCGCCTCTGTCCCTAAACCCGTCTCTCGAAACAAGCCGAGCTGCACTGGTGATGTCTCTGAGAACTCATATTCGGATTTCTCCTCAGTACGAAGGGAGAGGCTGCTCCAAAACCAAAAACGTGCCGCGACGCTGCTGATGCTTGGACCGGCGCCGTTCTACTGTGGCTCCTCGGCTGCTGATGGCAGTATTGCAGCATGGCGAGCAGCATCTTGACCGTGACATGTTGCTGATGTTGCTGCCAAGCTTCGCCGGAGATGCATCGAAGCTGCGCTCGGATTTCTCCTGTCCAGGCTCGTGGACGTTTTCTTGCCTTTTCCGACTCTGGCACATCCAAGATCCGCGCGGTCTTGCTGAAGGTCCTGGAAACTCACATGGGGGCAAAGCCGCACGGCAGCCCTCTATCGGAGAGGCGTCACATCTCAACACATCTCGCCAAGTGCGCGGCACGCTGCTCCCATGGGCCTTGGCGTGGCAACAAACTACACAGATGGGCGGACTGTCTTTGACTTCTGGAGCAACTCTCATTGCACCCGGTACCAAGCTCTGCGCTTGTTTGCTGTGGCTCCTGGAGAAGTGCCCAGAAACACCGCAGGCTCGCTAGTGGCAACGTGAATGTGGAACTGAATTGTCGCCCAGTTGCGCTGGGGAGACTTCCTCGAATTCGTACTCAGATCTTGCCTGGCAGCAGACGGGATAGGGAGAAAGCGAGAGCGAGCGGGGGAGACACAGAGAGAGCAGGTGCAAAGCCAGAGCCGGGTATTGCGAAACTCTATGGCATCGGGAAATGCGATCTGAAATGATCTGGATATTTCTTCGAGCAGTTAAAAACTCCGGGCAAAAACCTTTGGCACTTTAGTGAGTTCAGTGCAGCGTCTTTTCCAGCAAGAGATTCACGCGAAGTCTCTCAAGCGTCTTGAACAGCCAATAACTTGAGCGAAGCGCTGTAAGCCTGTCCTTGAAGTTCTTTACGCCTCGCGTCTACGGGTCGTTAAAAGCCGTTAAGGTTGAGAGGCATCGGTAGAGGCGTCGAGAATGTATCGGAAGGCCCGAAGAGAAGCTTCAAAAGCTTTGCAGCGCTGGCTTCTTAATCGCCAATAAGGAGGCCCAAGTGGCTTCAAGAAGTTATGGCAACGCCCGAGACTCATGCCCACTTCCCTGCACCACGCGCATGCTACAGTATTGTGATCTTTTGTGCGGGGCGTCTGAAGACTTGGCTCCTCGCCGTTCTGCTGTTGCTCCTCGGGATTCGTGGAGCAAGGGCAGAAAAGGGGGTCGCGGACGTTCCGCCTCTGTCCCTAAACCCGTCTCTCGAAACAAGCCGAGCTGCACTGGTGATGTCTCTGAGAACTCATATTCGGATTTCTCCTCAGTACGAAGGGAGAGGCTGCTCCAAAACCCAAAACGTGCCGCGACGCTGCTGATGCTTGGACCGGCGCCGTTCTACTGTGGCTCCTCGGCTGCTGATGGCAGTATTGCAGCATGGCGAGCAGCATCTTGACCGTGACATGTTGCTGATGTTGCTGCCAAGCTTCGCCGGAGATGCATCGAAGCTGCGCTCGGATTTCTCCTGTCCAGGCTCGTGGACGTTTTCTTGCCTTTTCCGACTCTGGCACATCCAAGATCCGCGCGGTCTTGCTGAAGGTCCTGGAAACTCACATGGGGGCAAAGCCGCACGGCAGCCCTCTATCGGAGAGGCGTCACATCTCAACACATCTCGCCAAGTGCGCGGCACGCTGCTCCCATGGGCCTTGGCGTGGCAACAAACTACACAGATGGGCGGACTGTCTTTGACTTCTGGAGCAACTCTCATTGCACCCGGTACCAAGCTCTGCGCTTGTTTGCTGTGGCTCCTGGAGAAGTGCCCAGAAACACCGCAGGCTCGCTAGTGGCAACGTGAATTTGGAACTGAATTGTCGCCCAGTTGCGCTGGGGAGACTTCCTCGAATTCGTACTCAGATCTTGCCTGGCAGCAGACGGGATAGGGAGAAAGCGAGAGCGAGCGGGGGAGACACAGAGAGAGCAGGTGCAAAGCCAGAGCCGGATTTTGCGAAACTCTATGGCATCGGGAAATGCGATCTGAAATGATCTGGATATTTCTTCGAGCAGTTAAAAACTCCGGGCAAAAACCTTTGGCACTTTAGTGAGTTCAGTGCAGCGTCTTTTCCAGCAAGAGATTCACGCGAAGTCTCTCAAGCGTCTTGAACAGCCAATAACTTGAGCGAAGCGCTGTAAGCCTGTCCTTGAAGTTCTTTACGCCTCGCGTCTACGGGTCGTTAAAAGCTGTTAAGGTTGAGAGGCATCGGTAGAGGCGTCGAGAATGTATCGGAAGGCCCGAAGAGAAGCTTCAAAAGCTTTGCAGCGCTGGCTTCTTAATCGCCAATAAGGAGGCCCAAGTGGCTTCAAGAAGTTATGGCAACGCCCGAGACTCATGCCCACTTCCCTGCACCACGCGCATGCTACAGTATTGTGATCTTTTGTGCGGGGCGTCTGAAGACTTGGCTCCTCGCCGTTCTGCTGTTGCTCCTCGGGATTCGTGGAGCAAGGGCAGAAAAGGGGGTCGCGGACGTTCCGCCTCTGTCCCTAAACCCGTCTCTCGAAACAAGCCGAGCTGCACTGGTGATGTCTCTGAGAACTCATATTCGGATTTCTCCTCAGTACGAAGGGAGAGGCTGCTCCAAAACCAAAAACGTGCCGCGACGCTGCTGATGCTTGGACCGGCGCCGTTCTACTGTGGCTCCTCGGCTGCTGATGGCAGTATTGCAGCATGGCGAGCAGCATCTTGACCGTGACATGTTGCTGATGTTGCTGCCAAGCTTCGCCGGAGATGCATCGAAGCTGCGCTCGGATTTCTCCTGTCCAGGCTCGTGGACGTTTTCTTGCCTTTTCCGACTCTGGCACATCCAAGATCCGCGCGGTCTTGCTGAAGGTCCTGGAAACTCACATGGGGGCAAAGCCGCACGGCAGCCCTCTATCGGAGAGGCGTCACATCTCAACACATCTCGCCAAGTGCGCGGCACGCTGCTCCCATGGGCCTTGGGGACACGATGAGAAGTGCAGAATAGTCAGACTGTGCCCCTGTATCCCCTGCACCTAGCGGACCTAGCGGCCTAAGCAGGAACGGAAAAGAGTGCAGACAGGAAGCCTCTGCCTGACTTTGCCCAGTGAGCCGGTCCGTGTCATCTTTGTGCTCGGTGGGCTGGCTGGCAGGCTTGGCGCTTTGGCTGCTTTGCGTGCTTGGCACGCCTCGCCGCGCTGAGCTTTGTCGAGGCCTGGCTTTTTCGGATTCGGGACCCAAGTTGGGCTCCGAGTTGGCCGCCTCCTTAAACTTCACGAAGTTCGAGATCGGGCGTATGAACTTGCTCCTGCGTCGGCGGGGCTCTGCCAGGGCCTTGAGGCGCTCCATGGACACAACGCGGCCCGGAGAATGCGCGGAACTAGGCTTCACCAAGCTCGCTGGGGATGTGCTCGGCCTCTCCTCCAGATGGACCGTCGTCAGGGCCAGGGACTGCGCCGACTGGGCCTTTGAGAGGATTTGCGTGGGGGCACTTCGCCGCCGCTCGCTGAGCGTGTTCATTGCTTTTGTCATCTGCTTGGTCTGCTTGGGCTGGCTCAAGCGCTCGCTGAAGTCCAGGGTGGCTTCCCGAAAGGCACGAGGCGTACGGGGAGCCTCATCCCAAGCCAAGGGGCCAACCAGTTTCGCCAACAACCTCGGCAGCACCTGAGCAAGCCCGACTGCAACAGGGAGAGCCCCAAGAAGGACGAGGTCTTCACAAGCGGTCTGCAATACTGCACGTTGATGCCTTGCTAGATCTACAAACACCCCTGTACCTACAACAACCTGCAACAACCTACAATCGCACATGCGTTGTGGACCCGAAGGGCCTGCAGTTTGCAATAAGCCTGTTGCAACGGGGAATGCTTGGACAAGGGCCGTACATGCGGTTTGCATCCTTAATTCCTTACTTTGGATGTAATCCACCTTGCAGGATGGACCGAGGCTTCTTGATGGTCCACAGTCGCCCCAAGTAGCATATCGTCTGCGGCCTATCTTTTGGCAACTTAACTGAGTTGAGCTGTTGGGCCTTATCTGCCTCACATGCCTGAGATCCCAACACGTTTCCTTGCGAAACCCTCCTTGTGGTCTCGTGACATGTACAAGGTCGGTAAGTCGACGCCCTGCGACCATGGTCGCCCATTCCTTTGTCCGTCATCACACGGGCGCCAAGATTCTTGGGTGGCAGTCCTGGTATGCAAACTCCCAAACTTCCCGGAAAAAACTTCAGCAGTCCGGCGGCGTGGGTCCACCCGCAGCGTTGGGTCAGCCTTGCGGCGCTTCCGGGAGGTTTTTCTTTGGCACTCTCTGGTTTTTTTGTGCACTTTCAGTGAGATGGCACCATCACCATCACCTTGACTTCAACGCCCATTCGTTGAGCCCCATCGGCTCGACCGATGCTTGACGCGTGCTGGCTTGTGCTCGGCCCAGGAGTTTTTGAGTTTCTCAAACCTTGGATGGTCCTTCTAAGCCGTGTGCATCCTCTCGCACTCAGCCCATGCCTTGGTTCACCCTTTGGTTGTCCATTCCTTTCATAACCGTAGGACCGCCTTGTCCCATCTCTTGGGCTCTGGCCTCCTGTCATTGATGCACTCACTTAGGTGTCGTGGTCAGGTGCTCATATCCGCCCACATTGGTCTGCGGCTCCATCTTTCCAACCGCTTCCAAATTGTTGTGGACAACCTCTGTACTCAGTCAGTACTTGTAAGGAGCTCTTCCCTCGAGATCAGCCTGGCACTCTGCCTGACAAGCCATGGGAAGTAACCATCAGTTACTTTTACCTTGTTGCCGCAACGCATCTCGAAGGCATTCGTGACTGTTCGGATCTGACGCCCGGGTTCAAGAATTGCCCTGTGGACATCAGATTAATAGCTACGCTGCACCCCCAGTCTCCATTTTTCAACTTTGGCTTCCGCTTCAGCCAGTGCCGTGATCCGACATGATGATCACCGGCTGATGCCCACTAAACTTCAAAGCTTCATCACCGCGAAGGTGGATCCACCCTATGATCGTAAACCGCAGCATTAGAGCGCTTGACAAGGAAAGGACAACGAAAATACAGAAGATCCTAATGCAAGAATCCTAGGCACTTCGCTGGCTTCAAACAAGCCCCTGATCTTCCCCTTCAATTATCACACCAACTGACAAAGGGCAAATGGGGCAAATGTCTGCGTACCACATGGGCAACGGGCAGCACCTTGTGCCGCGTCCGCACATCTCGTGCATATGGCGTCGGGAAGGAGATGTGGTGCCAGCCAGAGGCGTCGAACCAGGATGTTGCTTTGTCCGCAAGCACCGGCAGCTTGTGCGGTTGGCGGAGCAACGGCTCGCTCCTTCCGGTGACACCAACAAAGTCTTTTCACAAGCCTACCCGAAGCGTCTAAGTACCAATATCAGGAGAGAGGGCTGAAGAGAAAAACTACAAATGCCAGTAAACAAATTTAGAAATACACGTACCTGCATCTGAGCCCTGCGCCTGGAGGTCAAAGAGCTCCGAGTCTGGCAGCTTCGCTCCATAGATGCCTGCAAAGAAACCAAAAACGAGGCACCGACATCCCGGCTCGATTTGAGCAACGTCGACTGTGAGAGGCAGCCCCGTATGCCAGGCGAACTTACCCCTCTGTATTTTGCCTCACCTCTCGCATGCAAAGCAGTGAGAACAGGGGGGTCAAGGTGTGAGGGACGCAAACGGCCACAGAATCGCTAGAATGCGACGGAATGATTCGGGGAAAGGGGGGGGGGGTGCTCAATATCTGCTACAGGAGTTTGTTCTTGCCTCCGGCACAGAAAACACAACCTTCACTGTGTTAGCTTGAGGAATTGCGGGGATAAGGACGTTTCGCGGCCTTGCGGTCGCTGCACTATACACTGCACTACACTGCCATGCTTGGTCGCAGGAATGCCTGCAACGAGGGCATTACCGCCAAGCAAAGCTGCAGCTGGTGGCAAGCATTCTGCGCGCTTCCATGGCGACAGCTTACTATATTGCGAAAACATACATGGGTTGAACATACGTGGGCTTGCATTGTAACCCTGTAGCTTGGGCCACCCGCTACGGTGCAGATCTTTCCTCCAACCGCGCATGCCAACCCCACCTAGAGCCTAGAGCCTCGTGGAGGGCCTCAAAAAAGTGGCGCCTTAAGCCAAGCAGTTCTTGAGATGCGGGTGTTGAGACAAGTCTCACATAATTGCGCAACGATGCTATGTCAACGACTCAACACAACGCCAGCTGATTTGAGAAATCAGCTGCAGAGGCTTTGACAAAGCCAAGCGCACCGTGTGTTCGGCCGGCACCACCTATTGTGTTCGTGCCGCCAGTGTGCCTGTCACAGAGTCACAGGATCAGTGCAGCTTGGCTGCCAACTGAAAGCCTGTCTCCGGTGTGAAACGCAACTGCTACAATTTGGGACGCCGCAGGATGCCTCTATGCTCTCAACGGATTCCTTGTTAAGGCCCTTTCAGCCCCCTGGCTTGGCCCTGCAGCGCCAGAAAAACTCCGTTCCGGTCCCTGCGCCAAAGCCAAGCGCGAGTTAAATTGAGACCGGCCAGTGACCATGCAGCGAAGAAACTACGAGTGACCACTGGGCCATGGTGGGCCCTGCAGTTTACCACAGAGGTCCGTCGTCCAGGCATCGAGGCCATGCTCACTCTCGGATGGATTTGGGAATGAGGGACTCCTGCAAGACTGACGAAAAAAACTAAAGGACCGGATAACCCCACATGCAAAGTTATCTATTCAGAAAGAGTAGAGAAGTGATAGAGAATAAGAGAGTGAGAGAGTGAGCGAGTGAGTGCTTGGGTGTGAGTGCGCGCGGACGTGTGAGTGCGTGATTGCGTGAGTGTGAGTACTGTACGTGACAATTTGTCTGGACAGAGTGACGAGCGAACAGTGATTGCACAAGTAACATTTTTGTCAGTCGCGCACTGTTCACCAATTGCAGAATGATCATTGCAACGACAGCCGAGCCTGCCACCAACGTTTCGCGCGGCCCGAGCGCGCGTGCGGCACCAGTCCAGAGCCCCAAAATGCTGCGCCTGCCAGCACAGACGACACCTGCGTCGCGCCTGGCAACATTTCGCCTGGCAACATTTCGCGCGGCCCGATTGCGCACGCGGCACCGGTCCAGGGCCCCTAGATGCTGCGCCTGCCAGCACGAACGACAATGTGGCGCCTGCCAACGTTTCGCGCGGCCCGAGCGCGCGCGGCACCGGTCCAGGGCCCCTAAATGCCGAGCCTGCCAGCACAAACGGCACCTGTCTCGCGCCTGCCATTCGCGCGCCCCGAGCGCGCACGCGGCACCGGTCCAGAGCCCCTAAATGCTGCGCCTGCCAGCACAAACGACACCTGTGTCGCGCCTGGCAGCGTAGCAGCGTTTCCAGCGTAATTAGCAGCGTTTCGCGAGCCCCCCGGTCGTGTGTGGTGCGTGGTGCGTGGTGCATGGTGCGGGTGTCGTGTGTGCGTGGTGCATGGTGCGTACAGTGGCAGTGCGTATAGTGTGTGGCGAGTGGTGCGTTGTCGTGTGTGGTGCATGCTGCGTATAGCGCCATGGTGCGTATAGTGTGACGTGGTGCATGCTGCGTATGGTGTATGGTGTGTGCATGAGAGGAGTGTGCATGACGGTGACGTGGTGCATGGTGCGTATGGTGTATGGTGTGTGGAAGGAGGAGGGAGGAGGCAGAAAGGAGGAGGAGGAGGAGAAGAGGAGGAGGGAGGCGGCGGGACAGACCCAAAAGTAAGAGCCCCACACAAAGATGTGGGGAACAAAACAGTCCACCCTGACAGAACTGAACCAACAGATACCGTGCCGTACCCTTTCCGGAAGAACAGAGGCCGTGGGCACACAAGAACTGTCGGCCATGGAACACGGGATGGTGTGCAATGTGCAATGCGTGTGAAGCGCCTCCTCATACTCTCCGTCATCATCGCCCTCCCGGCCATCTCTCTGAAGTGCCTCCTCGCGCAGCTCTCGCAGCTGAGCCAAGATGTTGGCAAACCTCAGAGTGTCGCAGGCATGGCGGCGCAGGCACGGCGCATCCCCCGCTTCGCGCGATCTGAGGAAGCAACTCGTTGCTCATTTTCTCCATCAGCATCCTCGGGTGAGGCAAGGAAAACGAGGGAACATGGTGCAAAATGAGATGCATAGCAGGCATGGCCATGAAATTCGAAGCCAACCCGAAGTGCCCCGAAGTTGCCACTGCATGGACTTCACCAAGGACTTGGTGAGGCGGAGTTGCTCCTTGACATCTTTCACCTGAGAGCTGGGCCAAGTGCAGGCTGACAAGACCCAAAACAAGGGCGACACAAGAGTGGCCAGAGAGGAGGCCGAGTCTCTGTCGCTCTGCACTTCTTGATGGCAGCAAACATCTGCGAACCCCCCATACGCGACAGAAAGTGCTTCCCACAACGGCAGACAGGGAGCAGTGGCAGCATTGCCACCTCTCATGTTGAGCAATAACTCGAGGGCAGCGGTGAAGTCAAGACCATCCCTGCCATTCTTGGCGAGGTCCTTCAACTCCAGAACTTTTTTTAAGAGGAGAATTTCGGGAATCTCGAGGCCGACGAGGAAAAAACTTCATTGGCAACACACTTGCCATCACACTTAAGCCATCACTTGGCCTCGTAGATCATGTCCAGGCTGTCGACCAGCGCGATAACATCCACGCCCTCTCCTACAAACAGGCGAACGATGGCGAACGCAGCGAACCGCAAAAAGACGCAATTCTCTAAAAAAATTGCCGCAGCTGCAGCTGCTGGGGTAGACATCGGGATCAGCTCCTGACAGGATCACGGCAATCTCTGGCTCCACGAGAAGCTTCTGGAACTCAAACTGCGTCAGCGGCTCTTCCTGGGCTGAGCCGAGCACAAGCATCAAATCACGTGGGGAGCGCGCATTGGAGGGCGCGGGGGCTTGGGCGCGTGAGGGTTTTTCAGCGCTTTGCCAACTTTACTATGCCAAGCAGCGGGATTGTAATTGAGACTCTCCATCTTGTCTCGAAACTCACTGGCCAAGTATGCAACCGTGAGGCCTCCAGGGTGAGTAAAATCAGGCGAGTGCCGGGAGTTGTGTCTCGGTTTCGGCTGCGAAGCGAATAAAATCACGTTGTAGGGCTGCCTTCTTTCTCAGTGGTCGAGATGACGCGGATGACATCCACCAGCACCCCCACAAGCATATACCTCCCCACTCCCGGAGCGCATCCAAGGCAGGTAAGGCACAGCTCCCTGCAACCCAAAAAGGGCACATGATGGTGATGGAGCAGAGGAGAAAGAAACAAACGATGAGAGGCCACATCCAGGCACTTGCGTTTCCTCAGAGTCCGCAGGAAAGGCGATCTAAGTGACATGCCACGCCCGTCCACTCTCCACACAGGAAAAACCATAAAAAAAAAAAACAGAAGTGGACTGTCTGCGAGCCAAGGAACCCAGGGTCGTGACGATTTCACGCTGGTCTGGCAGGATCCCATAAAGCAGCAGGTTGTTGATGGACTGCGGCACATTTGAGAAGTACCTTGGAAACAGCATCCCATCCGCTGCCGCTAGAGTTCTCTCTTCCAATGCCTCCTTGAGAGCCCTTTGGCGGGCTCGCTCGGGGAAATTAGCTGAAGCAACGTGCAGGAAACTAGGAAACATGCAGGCAAGCAGCTGGGTTCCCACCAACTGGCCTTCGGTAACTTGCCGGAGAACCAAGGCAAAGACGTAGATGATCATCATCCACAGAGCGAAGAACACTACCCTCAGTTCGGGCAAGATGTCTTTACCCTCTGTATGCTCGTCTCTGCCTTCTTGCCGAGTCAAGCAAATCCAGAAGAGGCTCACTGACCTGGTGGCCAGATTGATGCCCTTCATGATAATGGTGAGCCTGCGCCCGGGGCACGCACAAGTGTCACAAGTGCCAAGGCCCCAGAAGAAAAAAACAACAAAAAAGAACGATGGTAGTCGTAGCCTGTAAAAAGCTCAGCGCATGCGAAGACAGGCCGAGGTGCTCCGGAACTGCACGGAGGAGCTTGGCCATGCGCGAGAGCCGCAGCAGCTTCACCATGCGGAACATCCGCAAGGTCGAGAGGTCCTGCCATCAGCGTGCACGCAGGTAGCACCCTGACATGGCAGCAAAGGGCACATTCCGAATCAGGTTTCAGAAGGGTCCAGAGCATTCGCCAAATCGATATTGAAGCCCAGCACAATGATTGGCATTATCCAGGTTTCGATAACCATGGTGAACACCAGCATCGAATCAAACATAAACCAGCCTTCAGCAGAGCTGGCCATGTCACAACTCCAGCTGCGCCTAGATCTGCAGCTCCCAAAAAAAAAGCAGCAGCGTCGGTGAGTCATGACCACCCGAACAAGCACGCTCTCTAATGGCTTGATCGGCAACCCGACAGACCGTGTGAAGTCCAAGCAGCTGTCACGCAGACACCGCCTCTTCTCGGCGAAGGCCATGAATCGAATGAACACTTCACCGAAGAAGTAGGTGCAGAAGAGGTTTTCCACCTAATTAAAGCTCACGAAGCGTTTGCCGGAACTGTACCAAAACATTCCAAATCCAGCCCAAGCACTTCTTACTGATGCCTATCCCGCCTATGACTTCAGTCTCCTGCAAGCGCAGGCGTGTGTGCCCTTGCGAAACTCCTCGAGAGAACACCTACCCTACTTCTGAGGGCGGTGCGAAGACAACCCAACACTCGGGGAATGCAACTACGAGCGCAGACATGACAAAAGGCCGCTTTTGGCTCGGTCACGCCGGCCACTTGGCGAAAGCGAGCTCGCGGACGGAAGACGCAGCGATGCCCGTCCACCGACCCAGCCTCCCTACGCTGGGTACTCCCAAACGCAGCTCAAGTCAGTAGGCCATCCCACGCCCTCAAGTGATATGCACTCGCTCATGATCAAGGTTACTACTCCGCCGCCAGCTCAGCACGGCGGCGCAAAATCGCCCGAGCCCGGTGCACCCTTACCGCCACGCAGAGTTCCTGCAATAGCTCGGCATGTGCGACCGCTGGCTCCTGACCAAGAACCACACACACCTGATTTTGAAGGATCGCACGGCCGCATGGCTACATATTGTGACAAGCGTTGACTGCAAAGAGCAGGCGGGGCCCTCACCAGTCTGCGATGCACTCGGATATAACATCCGCTTTTTTCTAATGGTATGATGAATCGAAGTGGTCGATTCTTCGGTTCTTCGGAGGATGGGCCACACAGGCGGGCCGCGGAGGAGGTAGTGCGTTGCAAGGAAGGGTAGGGAAGTGGAGGAAAGCAGTGTGGCAAGGGAGGGAGACAACTTTTTTCCACGCATTCGACGAAGAACAGGCATGCAACGCAAATCCCTGAATGAATGGAAATCGTCGTGAACAATTGGTGCTATTCCAAAAACAAGCAGTGATTTACACAACAGAGCACACTTTCTTGCAAACAATGCTGACTCGTCGAAGCCTGCTGACAGAACTGGTCTCAGCATGCAGGAGCACATGCCGAATGAAGAACTTTCGCGCGCAAGGATTCCCATCTCTTGGACTCGGACATCTTGGACGTGTGGCGCACGAACCAAACACGGCACTTGGAAGCAGCAGAACCAATCACAACAAATCGTGTGACCTCGAGGAAGAGGCTGAGAAGCTGGTACCACTTTGCAATTTGAGAGGTCTTTCATGCAACAAGACTTTAGAGAGCTTGGCGGAAGCCTCTTGGAGCTTTGAAGCCTTCGCATCATCTCATTGCAGCAAGAGCACTTTTTCACGTCATGACATCATGAGGACGGGGGGCGAAGAAACAGACTTCCGGCCACAACTGCCAAGCAGACGACGCCACACTGCAGGACAACAGACTCTTTGGGGGGGTTCTGACCTGAGTCAACATACAGCATGGGGTCCAGGACCTGCGAACTGCTTGCGACATAATGACACACTAAAGCAATAAAGCAACCGTCTGCCGCCGAAGGCGCGAGAATGAAGGGTGGGCTGGCATTGGTGATGACAGCCGCGCTGTTCAGGTCGGCATCTACGGCAATCCACGCAGCGTTCAGGAGAACCTCAGCCACAGAGATTCGTGATTTTATCTCGTTTCCAACTTGTAAGGAGAGCCACAGAGAGCCCACACATTGTCCGGTGATTTTTCAACTGGGGAACCATGACCAGGCTGAGCCAGTCGAAGGCAATGCTCCGTGCGATCCTGGGGGTCTCAGTGCAAGTCTATCTCCACATCTGCGGAACATGTTGAAGAAAAACACACGGAACTTAACCGTGCTGTTAGCCCGCTTATAAGGTCCTTTGAAACACACCGGCATCATGATAGAAGTCCATGACGTTGTAGGGCGGCTTCATCAAGGCTTGCCTCCCAAGAGCTCCCCCCTCCCCTTTATGAAGCTTCTTTACACAGTGAGAGAGCTGCAGATCAAAGGCTGCAAGGAGATGCAAGGAGACCTGGCCTTGCTTTCTTCTTCAAGGATTCTGCATCGGTGAAGCCTACTCGGGACGTGACACAAGCAGAACGCAAACTGACGCGCAGAGGTGCGCCAGAGCTGCGCCAGAGCTGCGCCTCGGGTTCTGGAAGCCGTGATGCCCTTGTGAAGCTTCTCTTTTGCCTCGGGCTCAAAGACTCGAAGCCAGCTGACGCCAACAAAGCTCCGCGCATTCAAACACTGCTTGTCTCTATAGTATAGGTAAAACAATTCAAAGAATTCAAGAAAATTCTCGACGTGTTGTTCCTGTCTGCCGCCGAGCTGCTGCTTTGCTCGGCCTCAAGGGAATCTTCTTCTTGTCCAACCTTGAGGGGAGTGCCGAGGACGCACCACGTATCATTGAAACACAGAATACTCAAACCGCCGCAAAGAGTGACACTGGGCTCCACGCATCTTTGGGTCCTCACAAAAGGTGAATGCTTTGGGGGAACTGAACTTCAGCGGATCTTCACAGCCCCGAGTCCAGTCTTTTGTCTTTGCAGTCTCTGTGCTCGCAGAAGAAAAACAATGCTGGTAGCACTCTTAACTCATTTGTGCAGGCTGAGGCGCGGTTTGGACCCCTTTGACCTGCATCTCCACCGTCTCAGTCTGGGAGAAGAACTCCTGAGGTGCTTCGACGTGCGATTATGGGTGGAGAACTTTCCAAGCTTCGGCTACATCCCGAAACTGGTCCCGAAACTGGTCCCAAACCTACAAGACCCCGCAACACCCCACAACCACGACCAGGTCGCCAAGATTCTCGAACCCGCACCCGCTTTTTCTCGATCTTGTCCATGGTCATTGTCGTGCGTGCTCCTGCCTTCCTCGGAAAGGCACTTCACGAGCATGTGAACCCGATTGACCCAGCCTATGCCACCGTCCATGACCCAAGATTCAGCATATCCGGGGGCATGGAATGCATGGTCGGCTCCATGGCAACGGCGAGGGCCGGCAACGACGCCCATTCGTCCCCGCCCTTGGGCAGATGAGCTCTTGGATCTGGTTAGCTATGGCAGCTATGGTTGCTGATCTTGCTGATGCGGACTCAAGAGCCTGCACCGTCTTCACGAAGTCCAGGTTCATTGCCTGTTGGATTTTTCCAATCCTGAATGCAGGAAGTGGGGAACCGACATAGCTTAGCTAACGCAAAAGACAACGAATACGTTCAACGAATTGTGTATTGTGCCGCACAGCAACTCACCCAGCATCGTATTTGTGTCGGCAGCCTGTGCCTCGGCTTGCTCCAACGAGTCAGAGAGGTCGGGAGAGGTCGCTACGAGTCGTACCCCACCTCCACTAGTTTGCTCACCTGCTCCCGCAGCTCCTGACACGAGTGCAGATGTGCAGAAATCCTCGCACCTGACCCCGACAACCCTGGTTCTCCTGCACCAACGGATATCATAGCGGCAATCGCAGAGGCATGTTATTTTCAGGCGCTGTGCAGACGTTCTTTTTTGAACATGACGGGGCCTGGTCGTCGATTGGCAGAGGCTTGCGCAAGCAGTCAGCCACAAATCCGAGCGTGGAAGACAACCTGAGTCCGACAGCACAAGAACGCGCATGAGCACCGGCGTGCAGACCATTGCAGAGGTATCCGGTACTCTGCTCCAAGGGGCTCCTGGTTTCGTGTGCCGGTCTGGTCCTGGAACTGCCCTACCTTCTCAAACAAATCTTTGGAGCTGGACTGCAGCATCTTGGACACCTGAAGGCTCAGCTGTGACTGGGGCCCCGGTATCTGCGAACACAAACACTTCGTCAGACACCAAAGATGGTGCCACATGGTCACCAGAGGTTCACTCAGCCCACCGCCTGCTGGAGCATCTCTTCGGATGCTTGGACTCTTTCGCTTAGCTTCTCCACTTTGGTGTCCTGGTCGCCCCTACTCCTACGACTCGGCTCGGGGGCGGCAAGGGGGCGGCAAGGGGGTGGCCTTCTCCTCTGCTTGGCTGGATAATCTCTCGAGGGTGCTGCCTTGTTGAACCCCGGAGGAAGTATCCCCAGGAGTGACTTGTGTGAGCTTTCACATTGCGACCCTTCCGTTCGCAGAGGAGGGAACTGATCAGCACGAAGCTCTCGTCCAGGCGCTGTGTAATGGCCCGTGCGCTTTCGGAATGTAGCGTCTCGCTGCTGCGAATCCTCAGCGAAGGTCAACGCCAACGCTGTCACCATGTCATGCAACAGGAAAAGCTGCACATCATCCTGGCTGCGTCCAGGGTTCTCGTCCAGCACTGGGGTAAAATCAAACTTGCCTGTCGTACATACATGGAGTACAAAATTCCGTCTGGCATGCACTGGATCATCTCTGGCCCTTCTTAACTTTTGAACGGACTTCACCCCTGCCCGACCCGCAAACCCTTAACACTTCCTGCTGCTCAGGGTCTAAAATCGACGTAGCCGCACTTGGCCCAATCGACCACCGTCTCCATTTTTTCCTCCAGTCTCGCGAGCTTCTCGTTGCCTGTCCGCTCCCTGTGCTCCTTAGAATTGGATTGGGGCACTTCGGATCGGCATGACAGGGAGCTGCTGAAGACTGTCGTTCGATGCAAAGTACAGCCCAGCTTCCAACATCCCTGCCACGTCCTGCGCGCAATGCATTCTCACAAGCCAAAAGCACCACTTGCCAAGTCTCCCGGCCCTTTTTCACCCCAAAACTGCGCGGACAACGGGTGATCGTCAGGCACTAACAGCTGCCAAACGTGCAAGAAGGACATGATTGGCCCCCCATGACATTTTGGAGGCGCCCGGAAAAGCTCAAAAAGGGTGTCGCAGCTGACCTCATCAACAAAACACGCAGATTCTCCAATGAATGTGTGTGTGTGTGTGTGTTTGTTTGTTTTGCGTGCGTCTGTTTGCTTCTGTGCACAGTCTGACATTACCTTGGGGCGCTTCGTTTCCGCCCCAGCACATGCTTCGAGGCTCTTTCACACCAGAGGCGGAAACGAGCATTGTGCGCCCACGCGAGTAGACGAAAAGATAAAACATGAACCTATCCACCACATCCCAACTGCAAGTATGAAGCCGCAAAATAAAGGTCACGCGGCTAGTATCCCCGTCTCAGCGAGCAGGAGTCCTTCCGCAGAGCGGTCGCACTCTGGTCGACTTCCAGGCGCACCTCACTGAGGATCTCCTGGCTCATGTTGCTCCTTAGACATGAGAGTTGCGGCTCAGATGTCAAAAGTCTCACAGCTGAGCGGCTCTACCTCCATACCTCCGGCTGTGTTGCAGCAGAGCCACATCTTGTTGGCAAAGCCCTTTTTGCAAATCCTGCAGGGTCCCCCCCGTCACTGTCTGCACCACAAACGACCACAGGTGATGGGTGATTGGTGGTAATCTGATCCGAGAGTCTCAAGCACATCGTGCCAAGCATTGTTGCGCCGACTGGATGCCAGAGGGGACAGCGACTCTTTGGATCCCGCCAAGGAATCCTACAACAAATTTGTCTCAAATCCTACAATGTGTCTGAGAGATCTGCACGCCAAACAGCATGTGCGGTCCTCCATGGCTGCGATGCGAAACTAGGCAACACCGATGTTCAGTCCTCTAATTGCCCTCCTCTAGTCTGAGACATGCCTGTTCTTGCGAGTTTTTGAGGGGCGATGCGACTCAACTTTGTACCGAGGTGCTGCGCTTTTCTATGTCTGATTATCTGCGATGCATGTACAGCGACTTGACCTTGCGCCGCACACGCACACGCAAACATGCCACACGCCAGGCTCATTGCATGCTCAGGCATGCTACCCAGATCATCTCCTGAGCGTCTTTTCTCAACGAGCTCAACGAGATGTCTCACCTCGGACTGGTCGCGCGCACCTTTGGGTGATGGTGACACTGCCTCCACTGTCACCTTTCGCATGCCAACGAGGCCAGTAGCATCCCCTTCGGGACGAATGCTTGCCTAAAACAAGCTAAAGAAGCGACGCTCCAACAGCAGTCGCCTTGCTAAACCGAGGCAAGCACAAAGACAAAATGAGGCAAAGTTGCCATCTTCTGCAGACTGCAGACTAACACAAAGCCGGGAGAGACGTCCCTGTGTCAATCGGAATTGAAGCGGCAGATTGACGAGATCTGCCTTGCCCGTTTCGGGTCTTCAGTCTTGCACCTATGTCGGCCGGGGAGTTGAAGATGCCAGCCTTTCGCGATAACGATGGAGCGAGCACAGGAGGCAGCATCCACTCAACAGCACACCCAAGAGATCCGAACGATTCAACAGTTTCCGAAAATCCAGAGATACTCGGGCCATCGGAAATCAGCCCACGCAATCCGCCCAGGCGCCCGCGCTTCCACGACCGCTTCTTCCGAGGGGCGGTGAAGTCCACCGAGTCTATCTCCGGCTCTTTGAAGGTGGAAGCAATCCGCATCAGCTCTCTCACCGTGTCCATCGGCTCCACCAATGGATCCAGTGGCTCCAGCGACCGTTTTTCACACTCCTTGGGCTTCTTCAAGGATTTCAAGGGCTCATCGGATCCTGTCTTTCTGAGCGAAAGGGGAGAAGCTTCCAAGAGGAGCTTCTGGGGGCTGATGTCTTCGCCTTCATGACGTGCGATTCGCGCTGGCAACTTCAAGGGGGCCACCGTCGGCGGCAACTTGGACGGGCCTTGTAGGATGACCGCGTTTGCATTGAGATTGCTGGTATGTATGTCGGTTGCCGAGATTGGTGGCGCCTTGGCCAAGGACCTGAAGCTTCCGCTCTTCTGGGGCCGCTTCTGGGGCTCGGGCCGCTTCTGGGGCCGCTCGTTGGGAGCCGAGGTTTGGGGAAGGTCGGCTGCATTTGACGTTGGAGCCCTGGGAGCTCGAGCCCTCCCGCTCCCGCTCGTCCCGGGCCCAGCTTGGATCGCCGGGAGCTCTTTCCCGAAGTCGGCTGCGACCACCGCGATGGCTGCTCTTCTTACTGCTAATCTCTCTATCTTCTCTATCTTCTCTATCTTGAGCTCCAACGTCTCGGAGCCTCCGGAGCTTCCGGAGCCTCCGGAGCCTCCGGAACACTGTGCGCTCACGATGTTCGGCAGCCGCACTGGCCGCGAAGGTTCCTGATCCGCCTGAACCTGCGAGATGGGTTGGGGAACTGGCTCGGGGGCCGAATCTGCCAACGTGTCGGGCGGGTCGGCATCACGTCCACCAGGGCCACTGTCAGACATACGCGCTGCGCGACCTCGGCTGACAGGCCACTCTCAACGAATCCCTGGCAGGCAGATCCAAACTTTGAAGGTTCCGAACGTCCTCCTTAAGCCCCGCAACGTTTCATTACGGGCGTGTGCCATTGCGTCCACTCGGTGAGGTCCTCCGACTCCGCAGCCTTCTGTTTTGGCATCTCAACGGCTTCCTCTCTGGATGCACCCGGCCCTGCCTTCAAGGAGACGAGCTGCGCATGGAGCTCAGACAACGATGAGAGAAGGGCGGCGGCCAGTTCATGTGTCCTGTCAAGGCAGTGGTGTGATCTGTGATCACCCCTCCCCCATCCCATTCGCTCCCCCTTCCGCTGCCCTCCTGATATTGGACTCAAGCGTACTGTGGCCGCGCAGCAGGGAGCCAAGCCCCTGTGAGCGATCGGGGAACTCCTCCGCGCTGCAAAACAGAGCCTGCCACAAACAAGCAGCGCTTCTTCTACGCCACCCGCGTGGCTATACAGCCAAGCCTTGGCTTCATACAGCTTACTTCAAGAACGGCAGCACGCTGGTCTTCGCTTCATGCGCAGAGCACGCATGGGTCTGAACCAGGTGCTTCGGGCCTTGCATGTGGCCTCGCCGGCCAACGGAAAATCACGGAGGAGAAGCTCGTCCAAGGACTCGAAGATCACCTCTTAAGGTGCAATTTAAGCATGCATCAAGCCAAATTGTGCGCAAGCCCACTTCGTCCAATTTAAGCCGTTGCCACACAATGCACAGCCATGCTGCCATGCCTTGAACCGGCGAGACTCGGGAGCCTCTGAGAAAGGCAATTCAAAGTTCGAAGGTGAGCGGCCACGGCCGGAAGAGCACTCGACTCGCGTACCGGACCGCCGTAGCGTGTGCCTTGAGCTTGGGGCGCCCAAGTCTCCTAAGGAAGCCCTCTTCCATCTGCTCGCGGATTTCATGGCGGCGCTTCTCCGTTGCCACGGCACCTCGGAGAGTCGCGACGGACTCTTCGAACTTCGAACTGTGACTCGTGTTCGGTACGTGGATGGCTGCAGGCCAGCTACGCAGGACCAGGCCAGCAATTCGCTTACGCTCCTTCATGACAGGGTCGCATCTCTCACCAGGCTTCCAAGGAATTGAGTCGAGTCATCCACACCACATCGACAAATTGTGCCTAGCAGTGGGCCCCGAACTGTGCAACAATGTAAACAATTTAAACAAGTAAGACCACACTCCAAGAGCACCCCAAGCAGCGCAGCAAAGAGCACTCCAGGATGAATTTCGGCGAGCACTCCCCTGTGCCGCTCTCCCCCCAAATATTCAAGGAGTGCAGATGAGTCATATGAGTGCATCATGAGTGCATCATGAGTCCCTGGTCAACGATGTCCAGTGGCCATGGCGATGCCATGGCCCTGGTGTTTTACGATGAAAGCAGCCATCCCCGAAACACGGCCGCACTTAGGCCCGAGAGCGCGATCGGGACTCCAAATAAGATCCGCGCCTAGACGAGTAAGGCTCTGAGTCCATGTCTGGGTGACCGAGAGGGCGCGCCATGCGGTTACCTCCAACAGGCCCTCCGGACCCTTCTGAAAACGTTCTAGCCCAACCCGCACAGTTGCCACAATGCTTGGGGATAATCATGCTGACCAAGCCTGACTAACACAATACCCGCAGTCCTGAAAGACTTCAGACACGCCCGTAAAGATCGACTCCGCTGCCAACCGGAAGAGGGCACTGCGCTTCGTAACATCCTGCTTCCGCAGGTTGTAGTGGATGCCTGAGAAAAGCCACAAGAAGCCACAACAAAAAAACTCAAGTTCCACCGGATATAGGGAGCAACAAATGGAGGTCAATCCATGGCACGTGCTCGCCCGTATGTCGACCGCAGAAGAGCAATGTCCCTTGCCATGTTTTGCCTTGCATCTGGAAGGTAGGTTCGCCCTGTAATTACTGCTCTGGCACGGAGATCCGCTTTGAGTCCGAGCTTCGCGATCAGCTACCGCGCGAACTGGGCCTCTGCCTCTGCTTGTGAAGCGCACCTGGAAGGACAAGCTACTTGAGTTGGAATGGCCGCTGTGCACTGTATTTGCACACCTGTCCTTCAGTGCATCTTAACGCCGGAACTGGACGCTGGCTGCATACCACAAGTTCATAACTCACGGCGGTGAAACGCTTGAGCAAAAAGATGCAAAAAGCGACGTACAGTTGCTGCGTAGGCCTTACTTTGGACTCTGGTAAACTTAATTACCCAAGACGACCCATCCCATGCGACTCGAGCGACAGCGGCTGATGCGCTGATCTGATGTCGTTTTCTCGGCCAGCCCATCTCCCCGCCTGAAACTGACCTGGAGGTTTTGTCTGTTGTATGTTGGCTCTTGCTCTCTCGTGCACAGATACGCACAATCCATCCGTTGTGTAGCTGGACCCCACACAATCCCGCACAGAGGCAAGAGATGGCAAGAGCACAGGGCGGTCTCTGGAACAGGCTCGAAAGACACTTGATATATGCCAAATTATGCCAAGGTAGGTCACTGCTGCTGTTCCATCTGTTGCCACCCTGTGGCCCCCAAAGTGAGACGTACGGGGCATCCTGGGACCCGCGAGTACTTGCTCACAAGGCCCGCGTCAGAGTCGGGGCTGCTTGTGGCAGACACCGGTTCGCCAGCCGCCGTCATTGGAAAATGCCGACTTCGAAGGAAGCTCTTTGCTTCTTGGAAGGTCACAGCACAGCAGTCCATCTCAGTCTCAGTCTCAGTCTCAGTCCATCTCTTGTTCCGCAGACAGACATCTGCCGCTCGCGCGGCTCTTGCGCTTCGTTCTGCAAGACTGCGAGTGCTGCTTGGCTGAATTGTCGAAAGCCGGCCGTCGTATGCACAATTGGGCAGGCGAGCCCTTGTTAGGGCTTTGTCCTTTTGACCATCGTCCAAGGTGCCACATCTTTTCACGCGATAACGTGTCTTGTGGTGTCAGTAGCCATGCCCATTGTCACTTTGTGGAGCGCACCAAAGCAAGAAGAACTCGGTGGTCGAAAAGAGAGAACTTCACTAGCCATCACTAGCCGCTTCGTGAGTCACAAATCATCCTCAGCGACTTCCTGCAACACATGGAGGGTGGCCGAGGGTGGACAGTTGCACTTCGATACAGAAGCGGGGGTGTCCTGATCCAGGCGCCTTCCACGCCTCCCACAAAGTGACCGTTGCCCTCAGGATCTTTGCCTGAACGGAAACACAAAGTGGTACTGTCGGAGGCCACCTTAAACCAGAAAGATACGAGTACAGCACAAGAGAGGAAGGGGCACGGGATCCATCACCCCGCTGACTTGCAGCCCTGGATCCAACTTCTGGAGCCGGGTGCTCATGTGGAGGGTGCTACCGCGCCGGCCCAAAAAAATACCCTGGAAAGCGCCAATGATTACTACAAACAGTGCCAAGCTGAATTCTGCAACCCGACATGTCATTTGCTAACTCACGTAACTTGCAACACATGGCGTTGTGAATGCACAAGGTCGCTAGTCTTGGCAGGGCTATGCTACGACACAGGCGTGTGTGCAGCGGTGGGTTGGATGCCGAAAAAATCCATGTTGGGATTTTTGTTCAATTCAGACGGCCTGTGGCCTCACACAGGGGCCACCGCATATGGTGCTCTGCTTACGCTCGACATGTTGACATTTCTCGGCGTGCCGAACACAGAGAATGAAATGCGCCGAGTGTCTGTAGAGACGGGAACGCAGGCATGACACTCGAGGTGATGTTTGCGACATTATCATTAACATCTGCTGTGCGAAGTAAGTTGGTTTCCTAGGCCGAACTGAGCCAGCTCGGCTTCTAAGCCTCTGATCCACTTTGTGACGGAGCGTGTCTCCTCACTTCATGGCCACGGTTCACAAGTCGAGCTCATGATTCTATTCCGGCTTGCAGCATTCAGCTGGAATTCATGGAGCACGTGCGGCCAGACTCCGTTTGTGCTCCAGACATCTTCGACTGTATTCGGTACACGCCGGCACACGAATGCACCCGAATGCACCCGAATGCACCCGGGCCTCGGAAGGAGCGAACCTCAGCTCGCAGCGAGATGCAGCTTAGTTAGGCAGGATTGGGGGCTGACAGAGAGCTTTCAGAGACTTCTCCCCCGAGGCGCGTTGTAGTTGGAGCTTCGCAGCCGTCGCTCCATCTTGGACACCTGCAGTGCGCAGTGCCCTGCCCGAAGACATTAGCAACCAATCCCTGAATTGCAGCCTGAGGAAGTTTCAGAGCATGTGCACAGCGCTGGGCTTCATACCCAGTGCCACTGCATGATGTCGTCCTCTGCGCCAAGTCAACCCCAAACGCGCCTCCAAACCGAACTCATCTAAACCCGCTTTGATCCCTGCCCTTTTCAACCCTGCCTCTGCCGGGAATGCCAGAGAGGCCCCAAAGCCCCAAAGCCGTAAGCCTCTTAGCTAGGTCTAAGAGCCCGAGCCGCTCAAACTCCTCCCCTCCACAGGGACTCCCACCCCGGACCAGCTGCGACATGCTGCGATATGCTGTGATATGCTGCGACTGCTTCAAGGGACATTCCGGGGCATCTCAGGCTCCTCCACCTCATGGTAGAAATGCAGCGGCCTAAGTGGCCCCGCAGCTCGGTAGGTTGTTCGAGGGAAGAGACAGAATGTGCCACAGCCTCCTTGCAGCTACTACAGGGATGGTTTGCGGCTCGGGCTTCGGAAATGTCTCGGGCTCCCGGCGTGTTGATCTGTGGCCCGTCTTCTTCAACAGGAGTGCAGGAGAGCAGATGCCCCACCAACCCAATGAAGCCTCCAAGCCTCCGAAGGCAGCGTACGACGGCTCGGCATGCGGCTTCGCGCTGCTCGCTACTTATGCCGACCAAGCCAAGCCAGTATCAGCCGAGGCTTCCTGCCGAACCCACCTACTCATGGTGCGCACGCCCTTCTCGCCACTGCCTTACGAACTAGTTGACCTTTGAGTTGTCGAGTGGGGGTCCGGATGGAGAGTCCTCTTGTCGCTTGAGGTATGTCTGCATGTCCCTGGAACATCGGGGATTACCGAGAAAACATGAGCTCAGATCAGAGAGATCGAGCATGATCGAGAGCGGAAGTAAAAATGCCACTGCCTCTTCGGGTAGGTGAGCGCCGCCTTGTGCCGTTGCAGGCGGCAGGGCGCGCACGCACAGCTCTTTAAGCAAACACACATCTTGAACTTACGCCTCCGTTGCCTGTGATAAGCCGCCTTTAAGCCATCCCTTGTTGTTGCTTCCTTCTTGCTTCTCTTGCGAAAGACTTTCTCACGAGAGACTTCTCACGGAAGCTGGGAGGCCGACATCCAGAGCGGTCACGCACCCCTGGGACTTCCCGCCCAGGATGATCCTCCCAAGAAAGCAAAGAAAGAAAGGAAGAGGCAGAGAGAACCAAGCAATCCGGGAAGATTTAGCACCACAGGGCCGCCGGCGGAGTTTTTGCGGAATCCAGAGTCGGGACATCTTGTGGCCAACAGGAAGTATACACATTATTTGACACGTTGCGCTTCAGCAAGGAGTTCTGTACAGCTGCTGATGCTGGTTGCAATGCGACGATCTGCAGGGATCAATGAAGGGCTCAATGCGCCAGCGCTCAACTCGACACCGGCAGTGAACCCAGTCAGTGTCCCAGAATTCGCCAGGGGACTCGGAATTTGCACAGGCAAGTCACATCCAAGCATTGCCAAGTGAGTCCAGGGGATAAAGTGAGGTCTGGCCTTGGATGTGGCCTCCCGTGCACATAACAAGGGGGAAAACTTGCTAAGCAGAGACTTCCCAGAGTCAGCGGCTAAAGTTTGAAAGTGGCTAAAGGCCAACAGCAAGGAATTGGGCTCAACATGGCTCCAACTCTCTGTACATCGCCCGAACAACTTAAAGTCTCCGAGGAGGGGGCCTGCGTCTCGCGCCTGAAGCTCACAGACTCCCTCCACTTGAAATCGAAATCAGCATCAGATTCTTGAATCTGTGTCGGCCACCATGTAGTGCCCTGATCCGTATCGACACTTTTGTGTCAGCCAAGTACAGAGCACGACTTCGACTCTGACATCAGAAACTTCTCCTTGGCGGTTCTCTCTTTGTGGCCCGCCTCCTGCAAAGGATACCGAGAATCCCGGCCATCTCTAGTGCTGGAAAACAGGACCTGAGTATGCCTGGATTCGCTCCTCACCTGCAGCCTTGGAAATGAGCATGAGCAAAGCCTGTCGCACATCACCCCAACAAGTGTGCCCGGACATTTTCCCGTGTCCTGCACTTTTGCTTCCAACACTTCCAAGCTGTGGGTTCGCTGGACATCTGGCAAGAAAGAAGCCTTAGACAAGGTCTGATGCTTTCTGATGGTTTGGTGCTTTTTACCGGCGGTTCGAAAACAGCACGTGGCAGGTTGAAGTTTAGACAGGGTGCGTAGAAGGCCTCAATGGGACCAGATTCTTGAGCAACGGCAAAATATTTCAAATACCACCTCGGCCAACAACGACACACACACACACACAGACAGGGCCAATGCGCACCGTGGCTTTTCGCGCCTGTCTCTCTCTCTCTCTCTCTCCCTCTCGCTCTCTCTGTCCCTCGTTCTTTCTCTTTTGTCCCTTTTCTTTCCTCCATCCACCCCCCGGGCAAAAGAAGGTCAGACTCCAGGGTGCCCTCCCAATCCCGTCCGGGAGTAGGCCCCGTTCATTCTCTCCCTCTCTCAGCACATGGCCCCCGAAGGGACCGCCCCGAGAAGGGGGGGTTCTCTCTCTCTCTCTCTCTCTCTCTCTTTCTACTCATCATGGTCTTTTATGCAATGTGGCACGTGCACATGTTTAGCAAGACAACAGAACTTGTATGCTGTGCTTGGTTTGTCATCATGTCAGGCTTCAACGACAAGCCGAAGTTTCCACTGTTTCTAGTCGTACTAGAATGGGTATGCCCAGCATCATACACTTTGGCACCAGGTGGGGATGCTCGAAGTGAGAATTCGATCTCTTTTCCCGGCACACAAGCGTTTACAACTCAGAGTCCATGCCCAGTCGCACAGCAAATTCCTCGAAGTCCACACTGCCTCGATCAGGCAGCAAGCGCATCAACACAGCGACGCACCGGCAGCGTCTGAACTTAAACGTTTTGCAGAGATGCCGTTTCTGTCCCTGTCAACTTCCTGCCAGAATCTCTGCATCCGATGTGGCGGAACATCCTTTGGCCAGTCACCAAGGGAACATAGCCCCACAGTTTCAGGACCAGTTACGGCCGCTTGCGCCACGACAAAAGACAATGCCAAGCAACAGATTTGTTGGAGCAATGAAGCAACTTATGGATCATGTGCTCAAACTCGTTGTAATCAATCACGCCTGGCAGGCACCCGAGTCAAAGCGGTCAGTGAAGAGAACACTCCACTTAACACTGTAGCCACACCTGATTTGTCGAGATCGAAGTTGTCAAATTGAGCTTTCACCCTGTCAAGGTCGATGCAGGAACACCTGGGTGGATTCATGCCAATTCATGCCTTTCACTTTTGATGTCTCGCCTTTGTCTTGGCAGGTTTGCACAGCTCAGGTCAGAGCTGTAACTTTTTGGAAAGCTCGAGAGTCAAATGATCACCCTTCTGGTCTCCTGTGCACGTGAGGAAGGCGCCTAAAGGGTGCACGTCACACAAACCTAGTCACATCCTGTCGGCATCGCGGACTGCAAGAAGAACATGTGGTCTCGGTACCTCAGCGGGGTCTCCCTCTTAAGTGAGGATAGAAAGACACAACTGCGGCACAGGGGTAAAATATGGTTCCTCTTGTGAGGATAGAAAGAATAACTGCGGCACAGGGCTGAAATGGAATGGAATCAGATCATGTGGCACTGGGACGCTCCCTGTCATGCACTTCTGTGGCGACCAACCTTCGGTACCCCTGGGTCAGTACCCTGTAGGAATTCCTGGTCGAAAGAAACGGAAAGAAGCCCTCCTGCATGAACCTCAGTATGCGACATTTCTCACGCAGCTTCACCTTTCCTTTGACGGACGGCCCATACAACGCCACACAAAAACACAAAAGCAACAGGCAACAACTTCAGGTTTGTCGTCACAGGCTTAACCTACGAAACAAGCTGCATCTACCTCAACAGCACCCCAGTACTCGTTTATGACCTCATCTGTCCAGCATCTGCGCGGACCTAAATCGTTTTACATTTCCAGGACAAGCTGCCAGGACAGGAAGCGGCGCGTGTTCATGGGCCCATCAGCTGCCTCTGAAAAGAGGCAATGAGAGCCACTTTTCGGGGTGCGTCATGGCTGCAGAGGGGTTTCGTGGGGCCTGGCTCACTATGTATGGCTCACTCTCCGCATCTCTCCGCGCTAGCTGCGTGCATGGGTCTGATTCGGGGGGGTTGTTTCTGTGAACACCCATGATTTGTCCCCCAAGCCGCACAGGTCTTCCGTCACATGCACAATGCGTGGGTCCTTCCTGAGCACATAGCCCCCAAGGGGCGTGGCCGCCCCCAGATTTGCGCTCGCGCTCTCGCTCTCGCTCTCGCTCTCTCTTCTTGCTTGCTCTCTCCCTTCCTTCCTTCCTTCCTTCCTGCCTCCCTTCCCTTCCATCCTTCTTGACCCACCGAAGTGGGCCGCCCCACGGGGCGTGCATCGTCACCGGGTCAGTTGAAACTGGTGCCCGGACAGCGCGGAACTTCTCTCCCTCCCACTCCAGCTTGCTTTACCTTGACAACGCTTGGGACTGGGGAAGTCGGTTATCCCTCTGGCGTTCTCTCTCTCGCTTGCTCTTGCTCTCTTTCTCTTGCATGCTGGACGTACTCAAATGGAGCTCTTGCGCCTGGCAGTTTTCGTAAGCATCTTGCAGCAAGTGCTCAGTGATGTGCTTGATGTCGAAGACACGCAAGAGAAAGTTGCCTCATACTGAGAGGGAAGCACAAGCGATGGGAAAAGCAAAGCGGACCGCGAAGTGTTTTCAAAGGAAGCGACCCAAACCAAAGCAGACCGCGTCTCCCGAAATTGAGCGTCTCCAAAACTCCCTTGAAGCAAAGTGGCGGAAGCTGTCGAGATCCATGCCTTCACGGGAATTCGCAGCTTCGATTTCAGATGCGATATTCAAGTGCCCCCAGCCCTTTCTGCACAGACAGTTCTGACAGATGCTTAGCATCTCAGCCACCCAAATCCAAATCCAAATCCAAACTGCTCAGGGCAGTATGTTCCACCTTCTGGTTCTGCTGACCTTCACTAAGCTTCCTCGCAGACGCGTCAGACTGTGGCACCGCATGATATCAGTTGACAAACCAAACACCGGAAGCCCCTGCAACTGAGCAACTCTCCTCCTGAATCAAGCGTCCTTAGGACAACCTCCTTTGCATTAAGAGAATGCTTTGGGGAAGAGTGAGAGCAGCCGAAGATTCCCCATATGTGAGCCTCCATTCGGGAGCTTGGCGCTCCCCCGATACTCCTCCACAGCGAACTTCACCTCAGAGCCCCCCCCCCCCACGAACGTAGACCGTCCCGTTATAAGTCGTAAGCCTACATCGCCCTACATAACGCACCCATATTGCACAGCCATGCTCACACTTCACCTGACGAAACCCTTCCTGGAGCGGGTGACTTCGTGAAAGTCCAATTGGAGCTGTCGGGAGAGCATCAAGGCCTGCGTGCTCGTATCCTGGGAGATTCAGGGGGGCCGCGTTAGTGGCGAAGAGGAAGGCAGCATAACGCAGCGCAACGCAACATGTTACTTTAACATAAGCCGAGCTTCGACGAGAGCGGGCAGGGTGGACCGCCGCCGAAAAGCATCCCCAGGCACCTTCATTACAACCCTTTTGCTAGCCTCGAATGGCCTCCAAACCCGCAAAAAGGGAGGCTGAGAACAGAGGAGGTCTGTGGGCCCGGCGTCCAAATGCGGCTCGGGACTGCTACTGGCACCTGAGCGTTTCCGGCTGACATATCACAGTTTTGGGTCAAAAAGGGTCCCGATATGTCCCGATCACTCCTAGGTTGATGAAATCCAAACCCTGTGGCTTATCCGATTCGAAACATCTGCTTGAGACTTTAGACCGGTTCCGCCGGTTTCAGCAGAGCCGCTGTCGCCGGGCCGCCGTGAGGGGCGCACGGCACCAGCGCTGGGGCTGGGGGGCAGCAGGTGGCGCCTTCTGAATTCTGATGACAACCAAAACCAGATCGCCACAACAGCAAGTTCTTCAACCACTCATAGACAAACACACACGCACACACACCTCCCTCTCGGCCGCAACTCAGGCTAAAATTTGCTCTTCTGAATGCTGAATGCCTGCGTCAGGTCTCAGGCAAGGGCCTGTTTGAAGCAAGGCTCCCTCTGAACGCATGCTGCCTTTGCCATTGCTGTCCAGAGCAATGGCCCAAACAAAGATGCACAAGTAATGCAAGAAGTCCTGCACAGCGGCTGAGTCGGGCGCCCGGCAAAGCTACAGTCACCCCTCGGTGCCATCGGGAAATATCAGGAGCCGGAAGCGACACCGAGCGTTAGGCAGCAACTCACGGCAGCACTCCCAGTATTTCCGCCGAGGAGCTCGGTTCTCCGTCGGCCCATCCGGCCCTCAAAACTTGAGGAATTCGCTGCACAACACGCACAACACGCACAACACGCGCGAGACAATGCATCATCAGCACATCAAGGACGAGCCGCAGCGCTCTTCGAGCCCAACTTGTCCTCTTCACTCACCAGGGGTGCTCGATTGTGCTGGAGGACATCCCCACAAAAGATAACCGCCCAAAGACATCCCCAAAGACTGTGCAGATCTGTGCAGCCAGGCAGCTTGTGCCTCCATTGAAACTCAGGAGGGTGCTGGGAGGAAGCAAGTGGATCCGGAGATGGCTTTGATCTGGTAAATGGCTTCAGCTCCAGCTCCAAGCAAGTCACTACATGCCTGGTCCTCTTGGCACCCAAAGGGGGGCCGACCCAGCCAAGATACATCAAGAAACCTTGTCGCTGCCAAGGTGCCGCTCGCTGCGTCCTCCCAGCTCCTCAGCCTGGCGAAAGCATGACATTCAGGGACAGTTGTGGAGTCGCCCGCTCTTGATAAAAGCGTCGGAACGGGGAGCAGAAGCGCACGCCTCACGGGCAATGATTTCATGAAGCGACTGCTGCATTCGATGCAGGGAGTCGATGTCAATGGCATCCTGGCGTCGAGAGAACTACAAGGAATTACGAGGAGCCGCACTTGGAGGAAGCGCACCTCTTTCCGACCACCGCGATTGCTGATGTAGTCATACCTTCGACTGCACATGGATGTTCGGAATTCCACCCCCCACCCCCCACCAAGCTCTGCTGTTAAGCGCGCGGGCTGCGCCGTACATAGCTCCGCACCCATTTTCGAACCTTTTAACTCACGCTATGTGCACCCGAGTGGCCAAGAGTTGAACTTCTCCAGTCTCCACCGCCCTCCCTTAGCATCTCTGCTCTTGACCTGCAAGAAGCCACGAAGTTCGGGCACAAAGCATAGCACAGCCCTATCCGATCGCAGCCTTTGACCACCACGTGTCGAAACAGCTGACCTGCAACGCAACTTGAGGGGCAAATAACTGCTTTGGGGAGGCATGTGGGCTCCACTCATGACTCATCATGACTCATGCAGTTTCGAAAAAGGCCTCACGGAGAGGTGCAGTGGGGATGATCACCTGCTCACATGCTGCTGGGCACCGCACCGAACGGATCTCGGTGATCAGGCCTTGATGGCCGCACTTCCGTCGTGAAAGTAATGGGGCCTCTGAGCCGTGCCGTGCTGCTGTGCGCTGCACGGTTCTGCTGTGCACGGAGTCTTGTAGCGGGACATGATAAGTCATCACGGGAGCCCGCGCCTGTCAGCGTATCCTGAGTGTCTCAGAGCTTTAGCACGAAGCACAAGCACAAGCACAGGCTTCTCGTCGACATGACGAAGCCCAAAGAAAATGGGTGCTGTGCTCATCGCCACTTCACCCATGCCGTGCAAGAAAATGAGTGTGTATCGGGGCCTGAGCTGGAGATAGGAGCACCAGCACCATCCAGCACTGACGCCGTGGCCCCAAGATGCCCTCCATCTGAGGCGGGCAACAAGGTCGGTGAGCCAACAGGCTTCATCACAACAGCCGGCAGCAGGTCAGCTTGCCTTCGAACCACCTCTTGCTCATCCAGAAAATCTCGAAAAAGAAGCCAGCATGCCCCCAGGAGAGTGCCTTGATGCGCTTCCGTTTGTCGCTTGCCTGGGCGGTATGGAGACTGAAACTGGAAAGGGTTCCCGATACCGTCACTTCGACCATCAGTAGCAAAACTCAGCTTTTCTTAGCTACAGTCCCGTCGCCACATGCAACTCGAAGATCTGTCGGCTTCTGTTTGTACCCTCGGGCCTGCTGTCGGCGGCTGTGTGCCGTCACGTGGAAGCGCACGCTGGAAAGCTGCCTAGCTTCGCCACGCCTGCGCACAAAGCGTGTGGAAATAAAGGTAGCTTAGTGAAGATCCACGCAATGCTTCTCACTCGATTCGAAGGAGGCTCTTGGGCATGGCACCTTTGCTTTTGAACAGCAGTTGAAAGCTCCTTGGTCAGAAGCTGCCGATCGATGATAACCTCCACCGGCGATTTGCAAGTTTCATACATGCATACACACACATATACAAAACAAGCATAAAAAAACACAAAATCCAAGAATCCAAAAATCCAAAAACCCAAAGTTTCCTGGGAGATTGTCCGGGGATTTGGATTTTTGGATTTTTGGACTTCTTTTCCATTTCGCGGTTGGTCCATTGGGGGGGTGAGCATATCTATATATATGTGTCACATGTATGTCTTACAAACAGCAAGCGTGCCAACCTTGTCATCAGAATCGTCCTTCTGCAAGCGGACACGGAACTCTGTCCAGTACGAGTGCCAGGACCTCAATCATTGCAGGCTGGCAACGCGTGTGACACAAGTGCATGAGCGCAAAGTGGGTAGCGTTTTGCTTATCAGGTTGTGTCTTACAGGGAGGGTCCGTGGCAGGCGGTCTTGGGGGACAGCATGGGTTGTTGATTCGGTTTTTTTGATTTGGGGAAGACCCGATTGGCCAACGAAGTTGACTCCTTCAGCGTCGTTTCTGTCAACCTAGCAGTATCCTTCCCTAAAACCTGAATCCTGAACCCGGAACCATAAACCCTAAACCCTAAACCCTAAACCCTAAACCGACATGTGCAAGTTTAGGTGGCGCATGCCTTTCTGAAAAGTGGGAAAATTGAAGCTCTCGGTGCCCCTGGTGGCCCCACACGACACTGGCAGCGCGCAGAGGCATCCTGCCAATATCACAAGCAGCCTATGACTAGTGAAGGCATGATCGATGTAGTCACTACAGATACTACAGTACTACGTGTCAGTACATGGCCTGCCAAGTCGCGTCTGACGGTAGCCTTTCAAGTTGCTCACCTCCCAGCCCCCGTGCTGGGACGGATCCTCGCACATGTTGCAACAGCACGGTACAAGAAGAACTTCAGCCAACAGCTCATCAAACCTCCATTGTATGTGCGCCATTTTCACCGACAACGTCTGACTCGGTAAGTCAAAAGTTGGTGAAAATTCCAGAAAGGAAGGATCCGGCAATGTCCCTGACAACCTCTGCCGTCGAGGGCGACGGAAATGCTGGCGCACCCTTGCGGTTGCGCCTCTCAAAGAGGCAAATGGCCCAGGCCTTGCGAATCAGGGAGGCGATGGTGGCTTCAGAGGGTTGGGACGGGAGCGTTTGCAGCTTCTCTGCCAAGTCCAGCACGCTCTCTTGCTCGAGCAGGTCGTTGCGATATTCGAGCAGCAAAGCCACACAGGCGTATCCCGGGAGCTCGAAGCGGCATGGGTCCGCCAAGAAGGCGTCCCACCACGCCACAACGTGCTCCGGCGACGTCTCCCGCGCGAAGAGCAGCATGAACCACCTCATCACGACAATGCCGGGCTCAAACTCTAAGGCGCCGAAATGGCCGGACAGCTCGGGGTCGTACCTGCTTAGCACACTGGCTCCTGTGCCGACCAAGTCCTGGACAAACGCTGCTGTGCGCTCAGCCTTGGTGATTCGCACCTTCAGCTCAGACATGAGGGCAGTGAAACACCAATAGGCGTCAGCATCTGAATAATCGAGATCTCGGCTTAAGACAAAAACCAACACTGCGGCCATGTCACTCATGCCTTGAACATACTCCATACCCTCAGACGCTTGAAACAGGAAAAGTATGGACACAAGAGATTCGGCTCTCACAGTTCCCATTTGACATCTGTGCAGGGTCAAGTCGACTTCAGCCTTGACCATGTCCATCATTTCACTCTGGCGCGGGTCGTCTGACTTCAAGCCAGGCTGTCGGTCGCTTAGGTCCAGGTATTCAGCCAGACGCTCTTTAAAGTCTTGCCGCTTGCGTTGAAGAATCGCCGCCCATTGGTCATGCCCACCGAGAGGCAAATATCCTAGGAGTACCTTCCAGCACCGTGGACGCACGTCGTCCTGAATGCCACGAGAGCAAAGAGCCCGAGTCGCGTTTAGGTGACCTTCATTGAGTGCAGTGTCTAGCTCTTGTCCACCCACACGCAGCTTCTGCAATAGTGTCTCCAATATGTCGTCCCCTTCCTGCTCGATGCTTGATGCATACAATGTCCTTGCCAAGAGGTCTACTGCCTGCAGTGGTGGCACCACGTACTTTGTGCCCAGCTGCGCCCACAAATCAGTGACGCATCCGCTGCGGAATCGCTTCACTACGGCATTGATGTTTGAGAGGTTTGAAGGGTTTCTTGCTCTGTAGAAAGCTATCAAAGCTGCCCTGAGTGCCAGGTCCTCCGCAGAGAAATCGAGATCTGCTGGCGGCACGCTGGGGGCCATGCTCTCCAAGGGTAGCTGCGCTTCCGGGCCTTCCTCATCGTCAAGAAAGCCCCCCTGGCCCCCAAAGCTCGTACTGGCTGGCTGCTTCGGAGCAGTCGGGCTACTGGGCCCACCAGGCCCACTGGGCCCACTGGGCCCACTGGGCCCGCTGGGCCCGCTGGGCCCTTCATCCAGGAGGCTTGCGAATAAGACGTCCTCGTCTTCAAAGCTGTTGCTCTGGGCCATGCCCCAGCTGCCCCAGCTGCCCTAGCACATCTAACTGACCATGCTTTAGGACCTTTAGGAATCGGCACAGGTCTCTTTTTTTGTGGCAGCCTTCAGGTTCAATGCGAGTGCTCCGGGAGAATGGAAAAACCAACGTCACATGTCAGGGCGCGTTGTCTGAATCTGAAGTGCTTTGAGCCTATACCGGGTACCGGACCTGAAAGAAGCAGGCAATGCATTCAGCGTATTCCACATGCATCATAAGACTCTTTCAAGCGGCTAGAGCCAATTCGAAACTTCTGACCGTGCCTGGAAGCGGAAACCCATTCGCAAGCGCAAACGAGGAAGGCGACTCAACTGGTGAAATGCGCGGCCTCGAAATAAGGGAAGCCGACACTGATCTGCGCTTTGCCGGTTCTGCTGCACAACAGGCTCAATTGCAAGGGGGGCAGTATGCTGTTTTCCTGCCTTGAAAGCACGACGGTGAGACATGAAACAAATCCAAACCAAGGTCGGCTCAATTGGCAGACAAAAACCCAAGTATTTACACCACCACATGCGAGCATGGTTAAGTATCACCTACACCCATGCGCAAGGAACCGCGGCCTAAGCGTCATAAACCTAGCCACCTAGTCGTCGGACTTGATGGGCGAATACGGGAGGGCACCCTCCAGCGCATCCGGGTCGGGCTGCGGAGGCTCCCCCATTCTGCTGGGCGCGTTTCCTGAACCCAAGCAGGGACATGCAGAGTGGAAGGCTATGCTCCGCAGCTTGGGGCCCAGAGTCATCAAACAAGTACAGGACCAAGTCTGAACCTCAAGGACAAGAAGGGCCCCCGGTCCGAGGGTGCTTTTTTTGTGTGCGTTGTGTTGTATGAAGAAGCCACGCGGCGGTCCATGGACTCTTGCGTCAGCTTCATCATCTCTTCCTCATCGTCCAGCATCTCGATGCCTTTCTTCCGCACCATTTCGGCTCCTTTCAGCTCTTCTGGGGTCTCAGCGTGGTTGGCCTTAGACAAGTATGAGCTGATGAATATGATGGGAATATGGCCTTGCCTCCTCCTAAAACTAGCGCAGCACGTCCACTGCATGCGCTGCTAGAAGGCCTGACTCAGATAAACCGAAAACATTCGAAACCCTAGCCCCACCCTAGCCCTGACTATGATTGTTCCATATTTGTAAGCACATGGTTTGGAAATCATGTTTCTTGCTCTTAAGTTGGCCGGCCACAAGCGGCCACAGAGACAACCAGAAACAAACCATGTATTTTATTCGGACCCTGTCCCAGGGCCGTCCTTCATTTTTTGCACGAGCATGTTTCACAGAGGCCTTGAGCTTGCGTACACCCTGTGGCTTTTCGGGAACCTCCGGCGACCTGTGCGAGCAATTGCCTCTGCGGGTTCGCTGCAGCGGCTGCACCGCGACCTCCTTTCTTGATTCCCGTCCATTTCTGCCGCCTTTTTTCATGTCTCTGACTTGGAAAGGGACTCCCATGAATCATAAACACCACGGATTTGTTGACTGTCTCCGTGGACCTCTACCGGAGCCTTCTACGTACCTTTTTCTTGAACCCACCCGTGCTATGCAACTGCCTGAGACGTACCTTGCATGGAGGATTCTTCTTGCCTTGCAGACAACCCGGCATTCAAGCTTAACCAAGATCAGGGGGCCATACTGTAGCAATACAACAGAAGTGAAGAACTGAAAGCACCACACTCAGGCAGGGTTCCAAATTTTCGAAGATCTTCCGTAGCAATGCGGCCTTCTCTTTCCTCTTTTCACATCTGTCCTCGTAGAGGACCTGGCTAAGCACATGAGAACACAGCGAGAATTAAAGCATCCCAGATCGTCATGGCAAGCCTCTGACTTGTTCGTTGCGTCCTTGACAGCGTTGATTAAGCCCTGCTTGGGAACCTCCAAACAGGCATGGAACAGGCACAATCAGAACCTCCTGCAAAACTAAACGCATCTGCAGATTCAGGCCGGGCCTTCTTGGGGTCCGTGGCAAAGAGCCCCCGATTCAGGGAAAGCATGGGCCCAGAGGACCAGTCAATGTCCTTGCCATCAAGGTCGGCAACCGCTGCCCCCGACTCCAAGGCCACAAGAACGCCTCGTGGGCGGCTTTGCTAACACTTCAGCATTGGCCAACACAAGACACGCCTGAGTCATGCTGAAGCCTTGCGCCGGACTCGGCCATACAGTGTCAGCGTCCGTTACATCCCTTAAAGGGGAGCCTGCTGCATGTTCTGTGGCTTTCATCGTGGAAGATTTGTCGTAGAGGCCCTGAGTGATTGTCCACGCCACATCCTGCCATCAACGCTCAACACGTGCAAACATGTTTTCAGATCGTGCTCACGACGCATCAGGCGTCAGGGTCCTCATCTCCACGAGCCAGCCAGCAGAACTTGAGCGCACTGTTCACGAAGTGAAACTTTGCGAACTCCGAACCCAGCAACTTTGCGATTCGCTCAGAGTCCAAGAAAATGTCCTGACGCATTCGGGAATGCTGCGCGATACGCAGCTGCTCCGTTCCGAGCATGTCATAGAGGCCATCATTGCCGCGCTTGATCTTCTGAGTAACATCCAGCTTCAAAGATTTGCCTTTTAGCCCATACCGGCCCAAGTAGATACCAGTTTGTCTTTCCATGATGACGCATTGAGTCCATGCCCCCTGGCCCTTCACAGCGTAAAAGATGCTGCTTCCTGAAGGGTGGCTTGTGCTCCGACTTGGATGGTCGAAGCTGAGCATGGGACAGCCCACAACGCTCACCACTGGCTCGCCCCCCTGCATAAGGCACAAGGTGCTGCAGAACTGCTTCGCATCACGGAACTCCACCTCCGTGTCCACAGGGTTAAACACCCAATATCTGTCCGGGGACTTCTCAGCACCGTTGTAGGTTTGGCAGAGCCCGTGCCACTCCGACACGCTAGCTGCATCTGCCTCAGGAATCAAGTCAAAGTTCGAGAGGAAGGAGGCCACGGTCTCGGCAAACTTCTCATCGGCCAACAGCTCCGGGTTCTCGTCGGACATGACAAGATCATCTGGGAACTTCTCCTTCAACATCTTCATGATGTAGCATGTCACGGCGGCCGTTGGCATGGTCGTCTCATCTCGCACATAGTTCTCTTCCAGCTTGTAACCATACAACCCCACGGTCGACCTGTCCTTAACATCTTCCAAGATGAGCGTCCCCAGGCATAGCATGTGAAGAACCTCCACCATGGCCTCCATGGCTGCTTCGAGCTCCTTACCAAACTCACCCTCGAGGAGTTCTGCAGGAACCACTTCGGGGACCGTCTTGTCAGCCCCGATGATCTTCTGGCCGTACATGCTCATGGCCAGCGCCGCCTGTCGGTCGGGCGTGCTCCTCTGCTTCGCCTGCCGCACCGAGCTTTCGGGCTCGGCCCTCATCGCCAGGGCCCCGCGCGCCTTGCGCGCCTTTCTGCGCTCCCGCCTCGCATGGCTCACTGCAAGGACAGGAGCCAGGCCGGCAATGCCAGCGATGCCAGTGATGCCAGCGATGAGCTGTGTCTGGAATCTTCCAGCCGAGGGCTCTGCTCGCTCTGCTCGCGCTGCTCGCAGGCCTCGTAGTCGAGCTAATCGAGCATTCTCATGAGCCGTGGGCGCTGTGGGAATGGACACGGAGGCCATCTTGAAAAGATCAACGCTGCCAGGGCACCGAGGAAACTACCGAGGGCACTATGGGGCCGACGCGGCCCTGCCCGACTAAGTGACTACCACAGCCCCGGCAGCTTGCTGCAGCTTGCTTCGCTGACAACTCTCGAGCCCGCAAGAAATGCAACAAACGCGGCAAAGGGGGGCATTTCGACATTCAGCGTCATGAGCAGATCACGTCACGTGCACATGCAATCATCTCCACTTCTCAGGCTCCAGCCAAGGACCAGATCCGAAGCTCTTCCTGCCCACGCGCTCAATGCCTCCAGCCCGAGCCGACGTGACACACTTCTAACTTCTAACACCGATTCTAGTGGTTCTTTCATGTTTCTAGCCCTCCCCGCTGGGCATCTCTCGCCTTTCCAGCCACTGCAGACCTGGGCTCACAAGAGTCTCTCGAGTCTTCTGCCTCCCTTCTTAACCTCAGCTCAGTAGTTTCCCTTTTTCGGTTTGGACACCCGGGCTCCGGCATGAGCCAGGCCCGGACAAAGGAGAGGGAGAGTACCTCCAAAATCTGCGCAGCAACTACACATACAGGTGCCATTGTAGCACGCAAAGCATGCGCGTCCATGCGTGCAGCCATTCCACGTAACTAACTCGGAAGCTGCGTGGCGAACTGTCCGATCATCTCCGCTCTCCAGGTCTGGGCTCCTGGTCTTGCCTTGGGAACCACAGTGACGCCAGTGGCGCCGCCCAGCCCACGGTCGCTCACAACGGGAGCCCGGCGTTTCCAGAGCTTCCTTGGCTGCTCTCTCTCCATCTCTCTCCCACAACAAGCATTGGCCACACAGCATTTCGGGAAGATCTGGCAAAATTTGAGAGATTCCTTCCCCACGGAGCAAGCGGCCCTCCCCGGTTCAGCCAGGCAACGGCAAAGCTGCCCGCAGCGCACCGACATGTGGAGGCAACCCCGACCTGAGCGGCCGATCGCACCCTGGGTCCCGTGATGTCACCCCGTGATGTCGCCCCGTGATGTCCCGTCCCGGCCTTCTGGTCAGCAACGCCCGCCCTGGCGAGCGCGCGCTGTCAGCTCACACCCAGAGCTCCGCAAGACTTCGTGCCTTTCTGTTGCTTGACGACTTGTTTCGGCAAACGTCCTTAGGAAGCTGCGCGGCTACACGTATATGCAGTCGAAAGACATGGCCAGATTCTGGCGCCACTCTTGGGGCTCCGCGGCACGGGAAAGCATGAACGCCCATGACCTGTGCCGCGCGCCAGTGCTCTGAGGTTCTCACTTGAGCAACTGACAGCCTTTAACCCTTATGCCTGCGCGATCCTGCGCGGCTGCAGGATGAAGAAGCTGCCCCCTTCGGATCACCTCTACTCCTCTTAAGTCCCTCTTGGCCTCGTGGGGCCCCTCTTCCGCTTCTGATCGTCTTGAGATCTTGGAGCCTCCGGTGCACCTAGCTTTATCACACCGTCTCACCGGATGGCCGTACTGATACACTGAGAGACCACATGCCGACTTGCCTATCGTTTGAGCCCAAGCAAGCACACGAAAAGAAAGCTTCGCTGCATGACCCGACTGTTTTGGCTATTGACTCCCAGCTGCATGATCGGACCCCAAGCATGTTTTCCTGGACTGCCGGCTGCTGCGAAGCGAGCGATGCCAGCAACCGCATCAAGCCTTGACTCAGGGCAGCAGGCGGCTCTACATGCGGCTGTGGACGGCTTTTACAGAGTCTTTCCGGGGCTACGAGCACACTTCAAACTTAGCATGGCCGCTAATTAACATGGCCTTCACTGCATGGCGGCTGAAGTGTATACCAACACACACACAGATCCCTGAGGGCGACTGGGCCGCTGGCCTGACGCTATCTCCTTCGGGAGCGGGACCGCTTGTCCCGAGAGCGAGACCGTCGCCTGTGCGACAGCAGACAGGACGGCCAACGGTGACCAACGAGTTCGGCAAGTCTGAGTAGCGGCAACGTGGCGGCCTGTCGCGGTCTTTGTCCTGGCCAGCAACAGCAAGACGATGCAAGACGCCCAGCAATTGAAGCAGGCAACAGCTATAGCACAGCCAGGGGCCCAGTCCCGATCTCGGTCTTTGTCGCGATCCCGCCGGTCTCTGTCTGGGCTTTTTCGATCCTTGCGCTCGCGCTCTTCGCGGCCTGGCGCACTACGGGCAAAAGCACTTTGACTGCTCCGCCTGGCAGGACTCTGTGTAACCCGCGTTGCCTCCTCGGGCAGTCTCCCCACGTGCAGCGCGCTGAGCCTTGGCCACATGCTTACATCTCCGACAAAAGCACGATCTATTTTGCATATCGCAACGGATGAAGATAACTCGCAACGGAGCCTTGGCCTTGGCCGCCCTAATTCCCTCTGTGCAAATCTCTTCTCCCGGAAGCTCAATGTTGCCATCTCCCAATGTCGGATGTTCGATCGAGTTCGCGATTGTTCAGAGGGGCGACCCCACTCCCAATGTGCGCCCCCGCCCCCTCCCCACGGGTGCACGGTTAGTAGTTGTGACCTTTTACCGCGTAGAAACGGACGAACCTCTGGAAGGTGTCACACAGACCTTGCTCAGCTGTGACTTTTCTGCAGATGAGGTCTTCTGAGGTTGCAAGCCACCCAGCATGCCTTTTGCCTTAACTCTTAGGGTTTAGGGCTTGCCACCCAACATTTCCTTTCTTAGGGCTTGCCACCGCCCTGCCGGTTTAGGCCTTGCCACCCAACATCCTTTTCGGCTTAGGGTTTGCCATCCAACATCTGCTAGTTGCCACCAAATTGTCACCCGACAGCTTCTTTTTGGAGTTTATACGGCTTGCCACCAAGCATCTCCCTGTAACCTCTCTCTCAGTTTCAGTGACAGAAGATGATAGTCCGAGTCAAGAAATAAATTAGTGGTTTCGGGTTAACAACTGTCACTCTTTCAGTGTGCTGGCGCCGACGTCAGTCCACGCTTGACAAGTCCGGTTCAAAAAGCGTCGGTCCATGTTGAGAGGTCATACTTGTAGCTAGTGCTTGAGGCTTGGGGCCACTCAGCTCGGTCCTGGAAGAATACTGTTCAATTTCACAGCTTGCTATCCGAACCAATCCAGCCGCACGTCCTTATAATCCCAAACGCACTATTAAGGGTTAACCTGTGATCCAGAAGCTAGGAAGTTATAGTGGATTTCCTGCCTCACTTCATTCTCTTCATTCACTCTCTAGTTCTCTTCATCATTTTAATTGTATTGTAAGTTCACGCACGAATACAATTAAAAGAAGAGAACGGAGTGAATTTAGTGAGTGAAGTGAACACTATTACTATTATTACTGCCTTGGAGAACCTGATGTTGGGGTCTTGTGTCCCGAGCGTGTGGATTTGCAGTTAGCCCGGTTAAAAGAGGTGTGTGACAGGAACACTTTAAGGGTCAATTATGGGTTCCGGGAGACGAGGGTAATGGTGTACTGGTAAGGCATGAGTGAACAGTGAACTCAATTATTGTATTTGCAAGGAATTTAGCACCCCCCCCCCCCCCCCAGGATTAGGTATCGAAGCGTTCGACTTTGTTGGGGGCAGCTGGCGTCTGCTATCACCTCCCCAAAAATGGCCCCGCAAGAATGCTGCCCTCAACCCTGCATACACCCTAAAGCCTCTGCATGCCGGACCGGGTTGAGGCGGCCGACGCGCATAGGTGTGATTCAATGGGAAACCTGCCCCCACCCTCCACCCCTTCCCGAAATACGGCCAGAGGGCGTTGTCCAGATAACTTCCAGGTGCCGGCTGCCCCGGCTTCCCCAGGGATTGGCCCTCGCCAAGCTTCCTCCGCACGAGGCACAGCAGAATTCGAACGCAAGAAGACATCCTGAACTTTGAGCAACATGATGCTGAGCCGGTGTGTCTGCACTTGTTTTATCCAAGTGCACAATGGAGTCGTGCTTACACAGGCTAGCGGACCTCTGATACGTCTCAAGTTCAGGCGCAAAGAAGCTTTTCGTTTCCCCAGTCCTCAGAAGCATCATGGCCATGGCCGACGGCCTATTCGACACTTCAAGGTGCCTTTCGATCTCGATCAAGTACCTGCAGAGGTACTGAAAGTGGAGAGTAGTTGATGATGTGAACGGCACCAAGGAAATGAGTCATGCGGATTGGAAAGAAAGCTTGTCGACTGGGCACTCTTTCCGCCTTGCCTCAGACACAACGCGGCATGCCCGAAGAAACGCACCAAGAATCCCATGCGGCGCCAACAAAGTCTAACCCAGGTTACTTGTAGAAGGCGTGACCTCTGGGGGGAGTCCACGGAAGCGCAGGTTCAAAGCAAGCAGCCGAGAACGCAGCAGCCGCTGCAGCGTCAAGCAGACACACCGGGCTTTCGAATACAAGTCATGTCCAAGTCACGTCATCATACCGTGCCAAGATATCTGCGAGCTTGGACTCTGCCTTTAACATGCAGATGCGCGGCCTCCCTCCATTCACCAACTCAACTCAGTGCAGCCGCTCAGACATCCCAGAATGTCCCCGGACCTGCTCGTCCAGCTTGTACTTCTTGGAAACGGCGGCAAGGTCCTGCCACACGGTCACGGAGGCACTGCGCAAGTGGCAATGCAGTGAGGCTGTCACCGCGGTCCTTGTCAGCCTTCACCTGGGCATGGCTGATTGGCAACGCTTCCGTTTGTTCTTGGACATGTCTGAACGATTGCGAATGATTGCAACAAAGGCTCCTTGCCCACAAAGGTGCCCTCCTCCATTTCGCGCATTTTTACGACCAGCAATCCTGCTGGGCTATTTGCACCTGCGCGCAGGGTTTCGTTTTTGTACTCATACTACGTGGTCTCATGAGGGGTCCACGTTCAAGCACGTCGTACAAGCGCTCCATGTCTTCCACGAAGGTCTCTTGCCGGTTCCTGTGAAAAGGAACGCCAAAGATCGCCAATGTGAAGGTTGGACAGGTCAACATGTCCGATAGGCGGCTCTCAGGCGCTTGCTTCATGATGTCACTCAGTCGCCGGGCGTGCCGCTCCTTGAAGCAGCTGGAGGGGTGAGACAAGCAAAAAGCAAATGCGAAAACTGTTTTTCTTGGTGCTGTCCTCTATATGGAAATAGTCGCACAGCTCCTGCACGTCTGGGTCCTTACTCGCTCGAGACCCACTGAATTGCTAAGGGGAATGGTCAAGTTTCACGTTTCGTTTTTGCTTGTCGGGTGATGCGTTACCGTGCGTCGGACACGTTTGGTGCAGCTTCGTGTCCAATCTTGACAATGTTTCAATGTCATTTCGGATGGTTGTTTCCTACGTCCTTCCGGACAGCTTTGAAGATGCACAGACGTTGCAGCATGAGTCGCACAATGAGTCGCACAAAACACCACACAAGTAACCGGAACCCCGAACCAGGCCATTTCGTTGCAGCACCCCGAGTATGGAACAGACGTGCCCGACTCGGAAAATCCAGTACCACCATTGTGGGGGCAGTAAACTATGCAGGAAAAATGAAAGTTCACACCTCCATACATGCGTTTCACGTCCAGATCGAGGCCTTTAACACACAGCCTCATGGCAAGTGAGACCTTTGAAAGGGATCCTTGGGAAAGGACGATTCACGCCTCTGGCAGGCCATGGCACAAGCCAAAAGGCTCAAGGGATTGCAACTGGCACAGGCAAGAACGAGGCCCCGAAAAAGCAGAACGACTTTGCACCCAAACCTGCCTTGGCGCGAAAGTTGCTAGCACTCCGGATGCATGCCCGGACGCGTGTCATCCTGAGTGCATCCTGAGCGTAGCCGTGCCTCGAGACAAACCAGGCACCAAGGTCCAGAGGTTGTTGGTGATGCCCTTGCTGCAGTCAAGCCACGGACCAGGACTGAGCCGTAGGAAGGCGAGGCTTGCGGCATGTGGAAAAGCAGCGCCGGGGGGGATACATGTGCACGATGGGGCCGATGGGATTGCTTGGGTTTGTTTGGACATCACCAACGTCTGTCTCAAAACTCAAATCTCAAATGGTTTGCTTGTTTTTGCCTTGACTCCCCTCCGCTTGCTCACCAAATTTGGGTGTGCTGTCGCGCCTGAGTTGCGGGTTCCTCCCCACATTTCGCAAAAGTTTCGTGAATGCGGATTGGAAACCGCTAGGGGACTCTGGTACTTTAGTGAGGTTCTTGCAGAACCTGTCTCTTCGTACCATCGTGTTGCGGCACTTTCGGAGCGATTGGCTTGTTTTGTCCAATGCGAAAGTTGCCAACAACATGAAAAACCCGGACCTCAAAGCGATCAACATTGCTGATGCATTCTGTCAGAAGTGGGGAGGGAGGGCGAAGCGGGCTCTGCTCCTGAAATCCTGTCTGCCCCATTTCCTGCTTCTCAGTCTTCGACAATCATGTTGTTGTCCACTTCCTCCACCGTGGTCCCGCCCTGCAGGGGGTGTGAGCCGAGCTCTTTGCAAAAGAAACATTTTGGGCAAGCGGCAAATCGCTACTCTTCCGCTTCGCAAACTCGCCATTGGGCCTGCTGAATAGCCGCCGAAGGCTGCGCAGGGTTCGCTAGCGTCGCCAATATCAATGGATTGGCCGTGAGCCTGCACTGAGCATCCAACACATTGACACGTCTTGCCTCTAAGGACTACAAGTCGGGGCAGCGGCAAAGGATTTGCCGCCAGCAAAGGGTTCCCGCCGAACAGGCCTCTCATGACGGAACGTGCGCACACCATGAAGTTAGACACCTCGGCCATGCTCTGGCGACGGTTTTCCTGAACAATTGCAGTCAACGCATACACATACACACAGAGACGTTGTGAGATTTTGCGGCATTTCACGCAGAAACGCTGCTGCGAAGTGCCACATGCTTTTCTGTCCATGCCTTTTTGCTTCTTACATGCCTGTACACATCATGGTTTCGCTTCCAACACTGTATGCTAAAAAGACGCTAGCAGTATCACCGCCGCTGGCCTTCTTACGTGAACACAGTGCCTGGCTGCCTTGCTCGCACAAGCTGACTTCTTTCTAGCACAGCGAGACCGGCATCATGCACATGCCAGAGGAATAGAGCAAAAAAATCGAAACACGTACCGACGGTGCCTGAGAACAGCCCCGGTAATTCACAATTTTGCCCCGGCTTTGTAACTCAGACGTAGAAAGCCAATGCGGAGCCAATGCGGGGCCTGCCAGACTGCCATCGGGCGGCATTGTCCCGGGTGCCACGAAGCCCTGGCAGATCGGCACACGGATCAGGCGGGAGACTATTCGTAACCTGTTTCCGCACCTGGGCCGGGGGTGGCGGTGGAGGCGGCGCATCCTGACACTCTCCCAAAAACAGAAGCTTAAGTTCCTCGATAGTTGACACTGTACCCACTTGGCCTCGCCATGTTTTTTTGTGCGGCCCATGACGCTTGCTACTCAGGCTAACAAACTGGAGCACTGCGCACATGCAAACTTGGATTCGGATGCAAGACTCTCAACCAGGTAGGACGGGGTTGTGTTTGGGCACGCTCACAAGCAACGTCAGCCCTAAACCCTAAACCCAAAGTGGTTTAAGGAGTTCCTGAACCTTCAACAGCAAGTTGAAATCGAGAATTAGTTTTCGGAAAACATCCTGGCCTGGTCCAATCACAAGGTCTTAACGCGGCCAGCATAGCACTTCTGGCAACAGCAACATGCTTTTAACCACAAGAAACCCTTCCTTCAGCCACTTTGCTAGTTTCATGAATGTAGTGAGCATATGCACGCAAAAAAACATTTTTCCTTCTTTTCTCGCATTTTTTCAGCCTGCGGGGGTGCGAGCGAGCTCCGTCCCTCGCACGTCTTCAAACAGATCCCCCAACGGGTTGCTCCGCCCCGCCAGCGGCAACTCGAGTAGCGACATGGAGCCACCGCCAGCATGCCAATCCATCTGTGAACACTGCTGGCCTCAAACGTGTGGTTGGCGCAAAAAAGTGACGACTCCGCGAGCGAGCTCCGGGTACGTGAGGCCCCAGATGTCCGGCGTACCGCGCTGGCGGAGCGTCGCGCCCCTCCTCCGTACGGAAAAGAGCGGAAGGCACGACCTCAAGAGAACATCAACCCTCAAGAAGGCAGTACAGGAATTGAGAAAAACAATACATAATTTTCCTCTACTTTGGCCGTCTGTTTGGCTTCCTGCTGTTCAAGCTTGCATGTAGCATTTCACAGGCAGTCCTTTGATGCGCACTAGCCTAAACTCCCGAATCCCACTTCGTTTTTTTTCCCACACTCCTTTTTGCTGCTGCATGGGTCTGCGGTCCTTGTGCACCCTACGGCTCGGGAGGGGGGGGACGACGGAGGTCCATGGGGGCAAAACTTCAAAGTGCCCACCCAGCCCACACTGGAAGATCAGCTAGCGGAAGGAATTTTCTTCCCGGATACCGGATTTCGTCAGTCGTGCCCCAACAGCTGACCAGCCCGAAGGGGCTGCGCGGGAGCGGCTACGAGCGAGGAGTCGGATGAACTGGGCTGCCTCCTCGCTCCATCGCCCTCCGAGCTCAACCCCGACCACAACGAGCCGGCACCGCGCGGATGCGCGCGGGGCTACGCAGTTGGAATCGTATTGGGCTCAAAATACAATCGCGCAATTTTTACACTGCCAGGCAAGGAACCTGAAAGGCTGCGGATTCACGGTCATGGTTTTCATGACAACGAAACAGGTATATGCATGCTACAGCATTTACTGTTCGTACGCGTTCGTACGCTCGCACGCCCCTTATAAAGAGGCTGGAGCTTTGACTTGAAACACCCCACCGAATTGAGATGAGGCTGGATTTTAGTGACACCGTGCAAAATTCTCAAACCAAAATCCGAAGTCAGAACGTGCGTTGCTCCAAAGCGTGTAGGCCTGAGCTTGCTCAAAAGCCGAAGCCTGAGCTCGACCGGATCCCTCACAAGGCCTAAGCCTGAGTGATGTGGGCGTAGCACATGTGCGCGGCACAAAGTTGCAAAGCGTTTACTGCAACTGCAAAGTTGGGCTTCCAAGGGGTCAACTTGTTCGGCGCACTGTGCTTTGCCATGAGGCTGGCTACCAACTCAATTTGCGCGGCATCTTGTAAAATTTGTCGCAAATCTGATGTGCTCATGTCAACCATGCTCAGTTCATGAAGACACTGTTCCTTCAATGTTGAATCCAAATGCTTAGTCAAACAATTTGCAGGATTTGCATGTCCAGGAACTTTGCCTACCTTCAGGGCTTTTTGGTGCACAAGCTCTTGAACAAACAGTGCTGCCACTTCGATGTGTCGCATGCGGCTGCGAGCGCCCAGACGCTTGGCCGTTTGCAACGCTGTGCTCGCATCAGTCCACAACCGAGGCACACTCAGCTTCATGTTGAAATCTTCCTCTGCTAACTGTTTGAACATAATGTCCCGCGCCCCTCGACTCAGAGCTCTAGTTTCAGCTTCACCTGATGATGTAGCAGATGTAGCAGGTGTTCCAGGCTGTGTCTGTGGATGCGCTATAACTACACTGCCTCCTACATTGATGACGGTGCAATCTGTTGAGCGGCGAGTGTCAGCACACCCGGCCCAATCTGAGTCCGTGAAACCATCAAGGGTCAGAACTCCAGATGCCAAACTTTCAGGGTTCAAGGTGGTAACCCTTGCAAGGTCTGGTTTGCGCAGCAAGTAACGTTGAGGTTGCTCCAATCCACCTCACGCGGATCACGCATGTGACGAGCAAGTTCTTTCACTTCGAACCGTATGTCTCTACGATCGATGCTCAAATAAATGAGGGAACCAACGCACTTGGGGAACAGTTCCGCACGGCGTGCATCCACAGGCTGCGTGTTTTCCTCTGTGTGAGGGATACGATGTCCTGCGACTTTCGATGGCTTCGCGTTCCAGAGGTCGAGGAGTGTCAAAACATTGTCGCGATGCTTGTTGTCGAGCAGCGTGAAAAACGCATCTGCTGTGCGGAGTTTCGTGCGCCCTAGAACATTCACTTTGGTGCCTGGCCTTTCGATATCCCCATTTTTCATGTCAAGATATTTTCCCAAACCGTCTTTGGATTGGAGGAAATTGAGATCTGCATCGGACGCGCCCCTGCGTACATCATCAACGTGATGCAGCAATGTCGCATCTGTGTTGCTGCAGGTGTAAACGGTAGGGTCACGCTTGCCACGCACAAAATGGTAACCATGCGAAACCAGTTTGTCAGCGACGACTTTCTCGAACTCTTGACGATAATTGCTGCCCGCAGGCCCATCGAGCTGCAGGACGACGTGTTTGCACAAGTCCGCATCAGATATTCCGACGAACTCGGCTTTCGTCTTGGCATCTTGGGCTGCCAACCACGCGTGAAAATGCTTGACGTACTCAGGCAGCATGCGAACATACACCGGGTTGCCATTGCTGTCTCCCGAGTCGGTGCCCAACAAATATGCGCAGCGAACATCTCCGGAGCGTGAATGCCAGCCGTTCTTGAGGCATTTTAGCTCTAGAAGAACATGTGATTCTTCATACGGAGTTGGGGCGAATGTGTTGATTTCTTCGGCAAGTTCCTCTTTTGAATACCGCTTCTTGATGTCTGCACAAGTGAAACGCGAACGATATGCACCGCGCTTGATTTCATCAACCCATTTGAAGTTGAAAAGCTTGCATTTGCGCGGAATTGCGGATTTGAGTTTCGGTGTTGCAAACTGCTTTTCCACAAGGGTCGCCATCTGCACATCCCTGGCTTTTTCAACTTCGCGCGGATCCAACTGAGCGTCCAGCAAATCTAAGACTGATGAGATTTTCTGCTCCCATTGACCACTACGTGCCCATTCCTGGATTTGAGACAATGCGTCACTGATTGTTCCCACACGCTGCACTTTGGGTGCAGCCTCGCTGGATGTTGCAGGCTCGCTGCTTTCCGGAGCAGGGCGCTTGTCCAGCACAACAGGTGGAGGCAATGGAACAGCATTGACGCCAGTTGAACACGCGGGATGGGCGCAGCACCAGCTCCCCGGAAAGGGGAAGTGGACTTGGCGCTTCCAGTTGAAACGGCGATGGCGGCGTGGGAGGAGTCATGGCCATATTCTCTGCGCTGTCCGGTGTCATGCCGCGCGGTTCCGACAACGATGTTCCGGGAACGTTTGCTGGAGACTCACTGGGGTCTGGCACAGCTACATCAGGCATGATAGGAGGAACGGGCAGCAGCAGGTGGCTCAACGCTCGGAGGCGGTTGGCTTGCTTCCGACACAGGTGGGGCAGGCAATGCTACAACTTGGCTGCTTTCTGTGCGTACCTTTGTTCACTTGCCTGTGGGCGCCCAGGGCAAACCACAAGCCGCATTTAGGTATGTTACGTCATGTTGATCTGCTAGCGGCAGACGTCGGACTGAGCGCACGGTGATTGCGCCAGCATCCGTCAACACAACGGCGGAATCATCAACCTCTAACCGACCAACAAACAACCCCTTAAACCACCGAGGCTTGGCCTTGCTCAGGGACTTGGTGTCAGGAAGTTTGCACCAAACCGACCTCCCCAAATTCGACGATGGGGGTGGCGTAGTCACGCCCAGACACGATGCGAAACGGTGTCATGTTGTCGGCCTGCACATGGAATCTGGCCCACACGAAGGCAACCCAGCGGCAAAGCCATGGGACCAAGGGATGGTTAATGTCCAGCGGTTCGGCAGGATTTGGGTATGCTTCGTTCAAGGCACTGAGCCATGTGCGCAGCATTTGCGTTCTCGGTGCCACCTTGGCTGGCGTGGCTGTACCGCGGGGCCGCTCGGACTTGGACATGATCGTGTCCCAGTTCTTTTTGGACTTGATCAACCACAGTGCGCAATGCTGATTCTTGGTCGTGCTGGAGGATCACCTTCGGGTACCCCAACCGTCTAACCCAAGAAGTTAATGCACGCACCGTGTACGCTTCTCCCCCTTTGTGAGGCACGAATGCCATCATGGGCCATCCGGAAGACAAGTCCGTTCCTGTCAGAACTGTGGCCTTTTTGCTTTCTTCTGCAACGAGCTGACCGTCACGACCGAAGAACTGATAATAGACTTGCAGTACGGGAATTTGAGGATCCTCGTGCTTGCTTTTGCGTTTGTGCTGGGAATCGGCAGCTTTCCCGGCTACGCAATGCGGGCACCACGCTGCAAAGTCGGCGTGTGTTAAATTGTGGCGAGCACGCTGCTCGTCGGACGGGGCATCCGGGGTCAGAAGACCTGCTGGCTGCGGTGGCGCAAGTTCCCTGCCACGCTCCACATCTGCATTTTCGGGGGCATCGGGATCAGGGTCAGCGCCTGCATCGGAACCGGGCTCACTGATCTCAGTGGGAGAGTAATGCATAGGGCTGGGACTTTCATCCCCATCGTGCTGTTGAGAGCCGAGTTGCACAGTCAGCTGCTGCATCTGACTGGTCAACATTTGAACTTGCTGTTCAAGGTTTGCCATTGCAACTTTGTTCGGGCAAAGGGCAAGCAATGACTGTCGTGGAGTTTAATTAACCAAACGGCGTTAATGACCCCTTACCGTAACCTAAAGGACCTGGCTCAAGCCTTTCAGGATTGGTGGAAGGTGCGAAGTGCAACCACTCTACGGCTTTGGAACCGGAGGGTGCTCAAACGCTCAAGGAAGACTCGTCCGAAGATGTGTATTCTGCGGGCGATTCTGGGGACTGGCTGTCAGGAAAAGATGCCGCTTGCACGGTATCAGGTGACGAATCGGCAGTCCGATTCTCTGATGAGCGTGCTTCTTGCTGGATCTGTGCCTTCAGCTGGTGGACGCGCTTCTTCAGAGCACGTTTGTTTTCAGCAGCTACGGATCTCTTCTTTGAACGAACACACGTGCCTGTTTGGGGATCACGTTTGCGGACGCGTTCCTTTTTTTTTTGCACTTGTGCCTTTCGCCTTGCCTTTTTTTTTCCCTCACGCCTTTTTACCACCATCCACGCGGTTCCAGTGCAACAGGAGCTCGGGGCAGGCTCAGAGCTCACGCGGCAAGGCGGGAAACCAGGGGAGGTGACGCCTCATTCCAAAGGGCTGTTTTGGCGAGGTTGAGACGCAGCTGCATGTGGCGAGCGAGGAGGGACTCGAAGCGCTGAACGAGGTGCAACGCTCGCTGAGGCGATGCGAGGATGGTGACATCGTCGAGGTAGGCAACGATGCGTTCGCCTAGATCCTCACGGATCTCCCGCTGGAGATCCCGAAGCGCAGGCCGCAGACCCAAGCAAAACAGGGCCGTGCTGAGAGGGTCGCCTTGTTCAACCCCTTCGGCTTGGGTGATGCGCCGGGTGGTTGAACCTTGCTGCCACACGAAGGAAGAGGGGCGCCCAAGCCACAACCTCGCGAACGGCAGTAAAGCAGCCGCCTCGGGCAAGTGGCGGAGCTCATGCAGGATCGCCTGGCGGCTGATGCCATCAAAAGCAGCAGAAGCGTCCAGGGACACAACCGTGAGGGTGGGGTCGAGCGCGCACCTGGCCTGCACATGGTCCACCAAAGCATCCAAGCCTGCACGGTTGCCGAGGGCATATTGATGAGGGCGGCAAGCTTCTTCAAGCGAGGGCGCAAATTGTTGCGCCAGTGTACGTGCGATGAGGCGCCGGAGGAAATCACCAATGACTAATCCACGGGTACCGCCAGTGGGCTTGCGGAGAGCATCCATTCGGCCCAGTCCGAGGGCCGCACGCATGTCATTAGGGACTTGTGCCTGCGCAAAGAGCGACGCCACATCCGCAAAGGCCTGTGTGGAGTCGTCAGCATCCAACACGACTCGCAGGATTTCAGCTGTGAAACCAGAAGGCCCGGGCGCTGCTCCTTTGCGCGCACGGCGCAAATTGGCAAGCAACGCTGCGCGATCAAGCTCCCCGTTGGGTTGACTTGCCCCAGCGTGCCCCCGTGATCCCAGCTGAGGACGCTGAGCCTGAGGTCTGCGTGCGTGGGTGGCAGCGCCTTGCTACCAGGGCCCTTGATGACCTCGCTGTCTCTGAGCATCGCAATGGTGTGGGTCCTGCTGAGCTCGCACTGCTGGATTCGCAGTCGGGCCCCTTCGCCGCCAGGGCTCTCACTGTCCACCCCACTGGTCCCGAGCTTACCATCGACTCGGCGCCATTCCGTGTTTTGCTGCTCCGCCGCCTCCGCCTTCCTTTGCCAGATGCCGTTGTCAGCGTCCGTTGTCAGCGTTGGGTGATCATGTCGCTGCCTGCCCCCGGTCTGGCACCTTGCGCGCACGCGGGGGGCCCCTTGAGCGTGCCGCTGCACGCGTCTGCCGTGAGGCCGGAGCGGCTGTCGCCACAAATGTGTTGGTGCGCGACCTCAACCAAAGCTGCCAGGCATGATGAGCGGCGCATTGAGGTCATCGCAAATGGTCTTCCTTTCTGGGGTGGCGCCCAGCTCGCAGTTGACACAACCTTGGTCTCCCCGCTCACGTCTGCTGCACCACCGCCGGCGCAGCCCTTGCCGAGGCCCGCAAGTCCAAGGAACGCACTTACCCTGAATTTGGGCGTGCAGCCTTTGCCGGAACCTTTGTTCCCTTTGCCTTTGGAAACCTTGCCTTTCTGACGGTCGAAGGTAGCAGGCTCTGCCTTCGGCTTGCTGGCCGAGGCGGTCTTGTCTGCAGTGTTTTTCCGCCTTGGAGGCGGCGGAGGTGGCGGTGGCCAGGGTCGGGCTGACCCAGGGCCCCGCTGCTGTTCTGTCGTGTTGGATGCTTTCAGCTCCGCGTGACCATGCGCGCGGGGCTACGCAGTTGGAATCGTATTGGGCTCAAAATACAATCGCGCACTTTTTACACTGCTAGGCAAGGAACCTGAAAGGCTGCGGATTCACGGTCATGGTTTTCATGACAACGAAAAAGGTATATGCATGCTACAGCATTTACTGTTCGTACGCGTTCGTACGCTCGCAGCGGAGCGGAGAAGTTCGGGGTTTTGTTTTTTTTCTCACACACCTTTTTGCGCCTGCGGGTGCGAGTCTGGTTCGGGGGGCTGGGCAGGGCGGCCTACTGTGGGCGGGCTGGCAGGCGGCTGGCCTGGGTGGGGAGGTCCCAGCGGCCGTCAGCCAAGATCTCGTGCAGCGGCGGCGCTGCCTGCTCCCCGTGCAACTCGGCTGCGGGCGGGAGCTCGAGCAAGGAACTTGCGTAGGCGCGCTGGGACGCGACAGCGAGCAGTGCGGCCCACCGTGCGACCCAGGCGGCCTGTGCAGCCGGTCGGAGGTGTGCCGGCACGGCGGCGGCACGCTGACGGGCGAGCAGGCGCAGCAACGTCGCAGCCTCTGCGCCAAAGCGGCCGCCGACCTCAACGCCGACGACGACGAGGCGGCAGCGGCGCGCCCGCGTGAGCTCAGGATAGGTGTCGCGCCGCTTGCGTCTGGCGGCACTGTCAACGGCCCATCCGGGCTGCGTGTCAGCGCGCGGGTGTGGGTCGCCGGAGCGGGTGACCGGCGAGACTATGGTGGCGTCGAGGGCGAGTTGGGCCCCATGCCACAGTGGGAGGCCGTTGGCCATGACCTCAATGCACCGCCCGTCCGTGACCGGGACCTGGACGTTCATGTCAGCGACCCGGACATTGCGGGCGACACGGGCTCCGGCCTCACGGCACACCCTCGCGACGGCCCACTCGAGTGGCAGCGCACGCGTCGCGAGCACCCCCGAAGTAGCGCACGCGCTGCGGTGGTCTCCCAGAACGTCCAAGCGCCCGTGGCAGCTGCAAGCACGGGGGGCCAGCGGGAGCGGGAGTCGCAAGCGTCGGATATGTCACGTCCTTTTTTTTTTCTCGCACTTTTTTGCGTCCGCCATCTGGGGTTGAGGGGTCGGGGCTACTTGCCGGGACCTCAGTCTAGCTGCCTTGGGCGTCCGGCCAGCAACTCCCCCAGCGGCGGCTCCTGGTCGTCCCCCGCGTCACACTGCGCGTGTGCGCGCAATGCTGCGAGGGACGCGAGGCCATGCCACCGTCGGGTGAGCGCTTGCCCGGTCGCGGCAGCGTTCCACGGCGCCCGCGCTCGTCCGCGTGCCCGCGCCAGGCGGCGGATGAAGGCGAGGGCGTTGGGGCTGAATCGTCCTCCGACCTCCTTGCCGAAAACGACCAGGCGACAACGCCCTGCCCCGCCGGCCCGCAGCTCCGGATACGTGCGTTGCTTGCTCGCCTCGGCGTGGCGAAGCGCGCAGCCGGGCTCGGCGTCGGCTCCTGGACGGGGCTCTCCGCTCCTCTGCAGCGGGCTAACGAGCGTCGTGTCAACCGCGATCTGGGCGCCGCGCCACAGGGGCAGGCCGTTGGCCACGACCTCAATGCGTCGCCCGTCTGTGGCGGGGACGTCGACGTGCAGGTCGCGGAGGGCCACGCTGGCCGCCACGCACGCTCCGGCCTCTCGGCAAATACGCGCCGCTGCCCGTTCGAGTGGGCCTGCACAGAACTCCGACTTGCGCACAAGCCGTGCAGTGATCCCCGAAGGAGTCGAGGGCCCGGCCACAGCGACAGCGCTTGGGCGCGAAGGGGAGTGGCAATCGCAGGCGTCGGAGCAGCATGACGCGGTACTCCGCGTCCGGCACGACTAGGTCGGCACTGGTGGGGAGTGCTGTCAGGGCACAGCTGGCGCCAACCCCCCCCCCCGCGACAGCAGCAGCGCTCGAGATGCAGGATCAAAGTCACGGAAAAGTCGAACGCGCGCTGGTCCACAGAGGCACTGGCGTACCGCTGCCACCGTTTTCGGGCCGGCGGGCCGGTCGCTTCGGCGGGGTGAGCGCGCGGTGGCGCTCCCTCGCACAACACTGCCCACGCCGGCACGTCGAGGCCCAGTGTTCTTAACAGCCCGGCCGGCTGCTCAGCCTCCCTGGCGCTGGGCGCGGCATCGGGCGCTTCCCCCGCAAGCATCGGTCGCATCAACTCGGCCAGTGTGCCCGGGTGATGTTCCCTCAGCGCCACGGCTGTGTCCGCCCAGGATGCCCAGTAGGCCGCATGCCTGTGTTCCGCCGCTGAGGCGAGGCCGAGGCCACCCATGCGCAGCGGCAGGGCAGCTCGCCGTTGCGCTAGCGCAGGGAGGTCGATGGGCTCTGATCGTCGAGGAATGCATACAACCTCTCCGTGGGCAGGAGCTGGGCGTGGATGGAGAGCAGGGCTGCGTGCTGTCCCAACGCAAAAGCGCCGCGAACGGAAGGAGACCTTCCAACGCGGCGTGCTCCCGCAGGGCATGCTTGCCCGGGAGATGTGGTCATACGCACCCACGCCGTCAATGCTCAGCACCGTCGTCCGGGGATCGGTCTCTGTGGCCACGCGGAGGGCTCGTACCACGGCTCTGGTGCTCAGCGCCTATTGGAAAGGAGCGCAGGCCTTAAAAAAAAAAAAAAAGAAAGGCCTCCCCGAACTGCCGCGACGAGTCGCCGGAAAACATCGCCCATAACTAGCGCGCGCACGCCTCCCGTGGGTTTCGTCAGTGCGACGATGCGGCCTCGACGCAACGCGCGGACGAAATCATGCGGGACCGCACCTTGCGCGAGCTTGGCGGCTGCGGAGGCTAGGAGCTCCGTGGCGTGCTCATTGTCGAGGAGGACACGCAGATGCTCGCTGGTGCAACCCGAAGGGCCCGCTGCGGCCCCTCGTCGCGCGCGTCGCAAGTTATCCAGGGCAGTGGCTGTGAGGCGCTGGTGACGGCGAGCCTGCCCTGCCGAGTCCAAGGCTGACACCGGCGCATAGAGGTCATCGCCAACGGCCTACCCCTCTGGAGTGGCGCCCAGTTGGCAGTCGACGCCACGCTCGTCCTGCCGCTGGACAACAAGGTTGAGGTCGCGGAGTAGCACGTTGGTGGCGACAGTGGCCCCGGCCTCCCTGCAGACGCGAGCGGCGGCTCGCTCGAGCGGGACAGCTCGCGAGCGCAACGGACCCGCGCGTGGGCAAGAAGCACGGTGGTCGCCAAGAGCATCCAAGCGGCGCCGACACGGGCACAGGGCAGGGACCAGAGGCAGTGGCAGGGGCAAGCGGCGCAGCAGCAGCACTCGGAAGATAGCCGGTTCGAGCCGCACCTCGGGGGAGGTAGGCAAGGCCGTGAAGACTTTGGATGCGAAGGGGCCGCACTGGGATTCAAGCATCGCTTGCGAGGAGGCGTCCAGCCTCTGCGCCAGGAAGCCCGCGAACGGCGCGTCAAGCACGTGGGAGGCACTGCGCTGCCAGCCTCGAGTGAAAGTCCGCAGGCTGGTCGTCGGGCTGGTCAGCTGTCGGGGGAGGGGTGTGGACAAGCCCATCCCAGGGCACGGGCTGGAAACCTGCATCGGTGAGCGCGTGCGCCGCATCCCTCAAAGCTGACAGTGACGGCGCTGCGTCAGCAAGTCCCTGCACCGCGAAGGCACTCTTTTCAGGCCAGATGGTACATCAAGCTTTGCGTCTGCGAGCCGGCATCGCCCAGCATTAGCCCTAAGGGTTGCCGGGAGAAAATGCCGTCGCAAAAGAAGTGCCCCCACTTCGGGGAGGGTAGGGAGGGTGATCTTGAAATGTTACGGACGCACAAGCGTCGGCCCTGTGCACGTGCCGAGGCTATGCAAACATGTTCAGAGAACTCTTATGCACCGCGAAGGCACTCTTTTCAGGCCAGATGGTACATCAAGCTTTGCGTCTGCGAGCCGGCATCGCCCAGCATTAGCCCTAAGGGTTGCCGGGAGAAAATGCCGTCGCAAAAGAAGTGCCCATATTTGCAAGCCCCATTAACCACCATGTTGTTCCAACTGAAGAAGCATCCGCAGACTTGCATGCACAGGGCCCCCATATTTGCTTGCCATCTGGTCACGACCGAGCATAGCATTGCTCAAACTTCCGCGCTAGGACTGCCACTTCAGCATTGTAAAATGCTTTGGCAATCGCAGCACACATGCGGGTGGGATAGGGCTCAGCCCACTTGGTGCGCCATTGTCCTGCTGCTGTGCGCCCCTGCAGCGGCACATGCGGTCGCAAAGTGAAGTCACATATGCGCTTGCCACGGCACTTGTGTAGTTCGAGGACAGACAGGTCGATGTGGACCCCCAGAAAAGCGGTGGGTTTTTTGAAGGGCTTTCCCCATGCACAGTAATGGGTTGTCCAGCGGCCCACATGTGGCCGGCGTAGCAATTGCTGCACAGGGGGGCACCTCCAGAAACGGGAGGTAAGGGGATTTTCCAGAGTTGCGCTAAGCCGCAACTTCCAGCACAAGAGCACAACTTTGACAGAGAAGCGCATCCACAAATTGCCCAGCTCAACTTTGACTTGATCGGCAGGGCAAAGACCACGGAGTCCCAATGGCTGCAAATTGCTTCGGAGCGGGCAAGGACCAGGCGGGGCATCACGAGCCCGGGTGAAGCTTTCGCACGGGGTGCCCAAATGAACACCGGAAATCCGCCCGGCTCTTATCCACCCACAGATCATCGCGCGGCGTGCCGGATGACGAAGATCATACTGGCTGCCGAGCCGGAGATCCCACAACATGACGACACCTCCACATTGTTGCGCCAGAGCTTTTCCAAGTTCGCCACGGCCAGAGAAGATCTCGATGTACACCCGCACTGCCGGCCCAAGGGGGACATTCAGGGCAGGCCACACACCACGGACTGGATGTTTTGGCTTGCCTCCAGCGCCTTTTGCCGCGTCGCCTTGGAGAGGGCTTGCATCTGCTGTGTGACGCGACCACCTTTCTCGTACCTTCGCACACTGCTGAAACTGCGCCACCTCCCCCGTTTTTGGATTTCCTGCAAGGTTCGAAAGCCAAGCAGAACATCCCGGCTCGGACCGCCATGACGAAGACGATAAGGATGCGGATCGCCCACTGCAACTTCCATGCCGAACCGGCTTCCGACATCGCGCATGAAGCTTCTCACTGTCTCTAGGCTCACCGAGAACAGCGGCTCCGAGGCGCATCGGTGGCCGGCCTTGAGCAGACGGAAGGTCTGCTCGGCGATCCACACAATCTGAGGAAGGTCGAACAACACTGTCTCGTCGAACTCCCCCGTCTTCGAAGGCGTTTCGAGCTCCAGCGGGTGAAGGATCAGCGACCATGCTTTGACCACCCCAACGGGGGGCACCAAGCCACCCACCAGCAGTTTGGCTACCTCGCCCGGTCTCAGGTAGGTCACAAAGGCGAGTAATATATAAAGGGGCCACCTCGATCATTGCGAGTGATGGCTTCCATAGCCATCAAGCACACGACTTCCCAGGGCGGGTCCAGTCGTCGCCACCCTGCGAGAGTTTGCTTTGCCAGGTCCAACCCGCCTCGGCCACCACGGAGATGGGGCTGGTAGAACTGGATCGCCGCAATGAGGTACTGGCCCTGGCTCAAATCCTCCCCCTCGTCGAACAAGTCCTCCAAAACTTGGCTCGCCGGGAGGTCGAGGTCGCTCGCGGTGTACTTCTCGGTCACGGTTAACCCCGCCGCTGTGCACATCCTCCTCCACAGCTTGCTGTACCGCTCTCTGCATCCACGGCTCACTGATGCCTCCGCCAACGTCCCGAATTGCTGCCTGATTTTGACCCTGGCCTTCGCGCGAGTCTTCTTGACCTGCTGCAGGCTTTGGCCCGCGGGCCGGTTCACACGGCTGGCCGGCGGCCGCAGTGCGGTCTTGGCTGCAGCTTTGGGGAGCTGGATGAACCTGTGCACCACCATGTACAGCGCTCGACGGGAAGAGGGAGCCTCTGGAGACCGCGTCGGCAGGATTCCACTCTGAGGGGATGAACCTGAACTGGACACTGATGCCCGAGCACAGGCACAGGCTCGCCAGCTGTTGAGTCACACGGCGCATTCCGAAAGAGCGCCCCCTGCCACGGTCTAGAGCGCAGATGGCAGCGGTAGAATCCGACAGGATGAGATGCCGCATGTGAAAGGAAGTCTCTTTGCGCAGCAAGCGCTTCACAGCAAACAACGAGGCCCTTCCTTCTAACACTGGCATGCCCTCCTGTCGCTTCCATTTGTGCCGTCCCACCACACGCCACTTACGATCGACTTGGCTGGATGCGACCGGCACAAACCTATCAGAAAGCAGCTTGCCCTCTACGACCGAAAGGGGCACGGGCCGCGCCTTGGCATTGTTGTCCCCGGAGTGGGCCCACTGAAGGCTGCGAGCCTCGTCAGAATCATCAGCAAAGGCAGTACCGAACGCACTTGCACGAGGACAGCGAAACTCCGGGATCTCAAACCTCCATCGCTCCGAGTACTTCCCTAGTTGGCGAACCTCTGCTTCGTCAAAGTCGGCCACAACGGCGCCCAAGCCCCACGTGGAGGCATCGACCGCAGCGACCTCTGAGGCCCAAGGGATCCCCAAATCTCTCCAAAGCAAGGGCGCGATTGAGGTCCAGATCATAAGCTCTCTCCTCACGCTAGGCCATATACGGTGGTTCTGCTCATAGTGAGTACGAACAAAAGAGTACGACTCACCAAATACAGCTAAGGCTTCACGGCGGCCTAGGGCAATGAAAGTTGCATGCCCGAGCACCTTTTCGAGCTGTTTGCCACTGCATGTGCCACGGTCCAGCAAAAAACGAATAGCGGCTATGAGGCGCCACACCCGGTGGGACAAAGGCCGGAGCTTCTTGCCTTGAAAACACCAACCCAAAACCTTGATGTTCCCCTCGCCGCTCTCAACCTCGTGTACCACCAAGCCCTTGTCCCTCAAAGCCTGTACCCCTGCAGCCGCAAGTGCCTCGACTTCTTCTTTGGCAGTGCCAATGCACACGAAATTGTCGACGTACTCTAAATGCATGCACTCCGGGGACGGTACCGAAGCACGGTCCTCGAGGCACTTGTCAGCTGTGGCTCCAACACCTGACACGATCCGCTGGTGGATGTTTTGGCACCACCATAAGGCGTGTGTCCAGCCCATCGGCAGCACCTTCAGGCGCGGGAAAACTAGAGAAGATGCTCTAATAGCTTTACCGCCCAGCGAGGTGATGCCGAGGTCGCCAGCTGACAAGGGCCGCATACCGAAGTACGGTCGTAGCTGCAGGGGGAGCTCAAAGTGGTAAAAGGCGTCCTTCAAATCGGCAGTGGAGATGTAGAGGTCACAGTCGGTGCCACCCAAATCAATGCGGCTAAGGACCTCAGCCGTCGCCAAATTGACTTTGTCCGGGGGGGCAAACCATTCGTTCGACCTCCTGCAATCAACCACCATCCGAAGCCGTCCGTCCTTCTTCCGCACAAAGAAGACTTCAACCTTCTCGGTGGGCTCCTCGGACGTGAACTCGACGAGGCCACCGTCCCAAAGGCGCCGCACAAAGCTCTTGTACACACGGGCCTCCAAAAGTCGCGGGTCCGAATAACACTTCACCACACCAGTCCTCCGCAAATTGCGCAGGGCCTCATTCTTCTGCAAAAGCCGAGTTGAGATGAAGTCCTCAACAATTTTCATCCCATCGCCTCCGAGTAGCGTGTGAAGAGGCACAGGCGGCACCTCCCCGGTGGGCAAACTCAAAAGGCTGGGCTCGTACGAGGCGACGAGTGGCGGGGCTTGGTCCTCCCCGTACCCGTCGAAGGCCTGAAGCTGCCAAAGCGCCTCTCGACCACTGAGCTCCTGTTCGGGAGCCCCCAAAAGGTGCACTGAATTTCGAATGTGTTCCAAGGCAGCCAGCTGTGCCCGCGAAGGTGTCTGGCACTGCGAGTTCGCCTTGCCAAACTTGTCTCCACTATACAGAGCATTGAGCCCGCGAACGCACTCAGCAACCATGGTGTCCTGGTGCCATCTCCGTTCCAAGCGGCGCTTGACACGCCTTGACCCGCCAAAGCCGCCATCACATGAGACTCCGGGCACCGGCAAAGGAAAAAGGTCTCTGGGGACGCGACGTGCGTCGCCAGACAAAAAGGGAGTTCTCAAAGCCGCCTGCGACGCACTCCCAACAGCCGCAGGCGAAGCCCAGCTCAGGGGTTTCCACCACCCTTCTTCTTCGCCAAGTCCCGCTCCTCGCGGGCTTTTCTGAGATTCTTTGAGAGCTGCGCGTCGCGCTCAACCTCCTGCTTGACGTGCTCCAGCAAGGATGGTGCGATCATCAAGGTCCCGGCTTGACGGACCAAGGAGCCGAAGGTGTACTGCTCCTCCAAACTGAGCTTGCCACCGACCGTCTTCGACTCGATCTCCCGGGCCCTTTCTGAATGAGCGTACTCGATTGTCTGTACCCGTCTGAACATGAGCTCCACGCCGTAGCAGTTGCAAGCATCCACTTGGTCGACCTGAATCAGCTGCCGAAGGAACATACTGGTCTGAAAGTGCTCCTGGACACCCCAGCCGCCTGCGTCGATGCGGCAAAGCTGCCTGAACCGTTCATGGTGGGCCTCGAAGCCAAGGCCCTCCGTCATCAGATAGTTCAAGCACCATAAGGCTGTCCGCGGGCCGGCTATCTTCCAACCCATCTCGACTTCTCTCGAGGCAGCCACCACCTCTGACAGAGGCCTCTCAGGCTGCCCCACAGTGTTGAAGCCTCGGGCCAGGATGCGCCCATCGCAAGCAGCCGGTCGCCCATTGAACGTCTGGCGGCTAGTCTCACTAATGCACATACAGAAGAGGTCACTGCCGTCAGCCATCCGATGGACTGTCTTGGCACCTTCCACCGCTGGCGCCACTACACCGGCCACGACCTCACCAAACACTGTTGTTGAGGTCCCTTCGGCCGCAACCCAAACCAAGCCTCGCCCTGTGAGATCTCTAGCACCTGGCCCTGCGTTTCCAATGGCAGCGTTGCCCGGCTGGGCCGGAACGGCGGCCACAGGCTGAGCCACTGCCGCCGCCGCAGCGACTGGAGCGGCCTCCACAGCGCCACCTCCACCACCCATCGGCGCAGCTCCGACCGCAGCCACTGCTCCAAGTCCGCGCCTTGCGATCTCGGCATCAAACTCTGCCCTCCCAGCACGCATCACGGCAGCATACTGGGCCGCAGTCATGGGCGCAAATCCATAGACCTGGTTGCGGGGCACCCCTCGGGCGAGCCTGCCATCGGGTGAGTGCCACATGTACTGAATGTCAGGGTTGTGCCGGGCGAGCTCTTCCACATACACATCATGGTCGGGCGTCACGATCACCCATTCATCCCCCTGCACTTGCCCCACCAATAAGCGCGTGTGGATCACGCCGGGGTCTCCATGATACCGAAGATAGACAATCTCGCCGGTCTGCATCGCGCGCTAGCCTCACTGCTCGGTGATCTGTAGGCCCTTCGGGACGCCGTAGACGCCTTTTCCAGACTTCCCTTTCACGGAGAACGTGAACTCCTGAAGTCCAGCCTCGTCCTTTCGAAATGAAACCCTGAATGCCAAGGCCAAGTTGGTGACAAGCAGCCCGACCAGCCCAAAGCAGACTAGCCAAAGCCAGGCCCCCTCCCCAGTCGATCGTTCAGGTGAACTCACAGCACAATGACAGATGCAAGGCCGAACGTCGGGCTCACGGTTCCCAGTCTTAAGCCAGATTCCAAGCAGCAGTCCCCCAGCAGCGCCCGCAAAGTGATAGGCGTCCATGCTATGCTCCTGCCCCTTTGATCTTGAAATGTTACGGACGCACAAGCGTCGGCCCTGTGCACGTGCCGAGGCTATGCAAACATGTTCAGAGAACTCTTATGCAACTGTTGTCGTGTGGCCGTGGTGACTAGCTGGGGGTCACGAGCGGAAATGACCGGGATGCAGTCAGCTCAGGATGCGAAGCATGCCGCTGGAGCATGCTGGGATGTGCGAGGACAGACCGGTCATGTGCAGAGGCGAAATCGCTCGTCCTACTGGGGGCACAATGCGGACACCAGGGAGCCTCGCAAACAAGCGGCCGCGCTGTGTGGACAAGGCGTCTAGCTGCTCGGCTATGTACTCAGGCGTGCCAAGTGGGGTGCCTCGCACGCGGAGGCTACGTTCCGACGCAGGAAGGCGTGCATCCCCAACCCAGATCTGCGCACCCTCGGGCGCTAGAAGGCCCTTGGGAAGGAGCCAGCCGCGTTCCAAACACGAGTCTTGGACGGGTTGAGGCGGATGTGCGCTTGGTCGAACAAGTGGTGCTGCAGCCTTCCGAAATGATGTGAGACGCGAGGTGGTGGTGAAGTCACGTACACATCATCAAGGAAAGCTCGCACACGGTCGCCAAGTGGCATCTCTGCCTGAAAAGCCGCCAATGCGGGGGCGATGCCCAAAGCAAACAGCGCCGGCATAAGACCCAGGGCTTCGCACGGCTCTGCTGGGCAGGATCACGGAGTTGTTGCAAGGCGCTGTCGTCACCTGCAGCGAGGGGCTCGGCAAGTAATGCCAGGCGGGCAGCTGACAGCTCGCCGAGATGCGCGAGATGAACAGCACGGTCAGCACGCCCATCATCATTTGACTGGCGGGAAGGCTGTTGGGGAGCGGTTCCGGCTAGCGCTTCATCAAGCAGTGTAGGCAGGTTTGGGTATGCGCGGTGCCCCGCCCGGGCGGTGGAGCAACATGTGGGGAAGAAACAGCCAGAGCTTCCAGGCACGCTCGGCGTCAAGGCTGGTGGGGTCGGAGCACGCGTCGATGCTGGCCAACGCGCACTGGAGAGCCTGTCGCATCTGCCCCCGGATGAAGGTGGGCGGCACGCGAAACAGGGCGCAGGGCTGACTCAACACGTCGGACGCAGTAGCGGTGCAAAGCAATGAGTGCATCACGGAGTCGTGAGCCACGTAAGTCCGCATCCAGCAAGCGCGGGCACGTGTCAGCCGGGTCAGGGGGCAGCCCACGGTGGGCTACCGGCGCGGGGTTGGTGTGGCACAGCAGAAGCGGCACAACCGGAGCTAGACACGGAGCTGCTGGAGGAGGTGGATTCGGAGCTGGAAGCGCGGGGCGAGTCGGCTGGTGTTGCTTGCGGAGCCGGCTGCGTGGGGGTGGGCGGTGGTTGCGGACCCGGCTCGGGTAGGCCCTGCGCGACCTGGTGCGCGAGCTGAGCTGCGGCAGATTCACCCAAGTACGCGTGGAGTAATGTTTCCTGCGCGGTTGCTGGGGTAGTTGCAGGCAGCGCATTAGCGGCGGCCGCAAGGTTGAGGAGCAACTGTGCTTCCTGCACAGGCACCGGGCGACCTTCGCCGGATGCCACTTGTTGTAACAACATGTGCATCACGTGGGTCAGTGCGGCGGCACCGGACCGGCCGAGCGGAGGCCCTTAACGCAGCGCGTCCAAATGTCCCCAAGTGTGGCATGGCTGGCCCATTGTTGTTCACTTGCGGGTGTAGCCGGCCGACGGCCGCATGCAGCAACGGAACAAGCAGCCAGCTGTGCGTAGGGCCGGCGGCTTGGCCAGCGGGAGGTGGGCCACGCGTGTACCAGGGCTGGTTGCTTGTTGCCGGGTCAGGAGACGGCCGCTCCTGCGCAGGCAAAGCAATGCGGGCAGGCGCGCAAGGCAGCATTTGTGGTGGAGACCCGCGGGCGCAGACCCGACCACGGCTTCCTTCCCGCATTTCGAGAGCGAGGAGTCGCGGCCCATGGGCAGGGCAAACTGGCCGGTCGGGAATGTCTTGCAAGAGGGGGTGGGAGCCATCTACACAAGTGTTGCAACGCAGGCAAGTCCACTCCGGGGTCCACGCATTATCTTGCCTGCGGTGAACTGGTGCCCAGTGCATGTGGCGGTCCGGCAATTCCCGCCACGCCTCCGGCGATTCGGCCCGCGCCGGATCCGCCAAGTAGACGCGCGGGCAACACAGAGGCAGCAAGTGTTGCGGCGGGTGTGGGGCAAGTGTTTCCCGGTGGCTGGCCGAGGTCGTGTCATGCCCTGGCGCTGGGCTAGGCAGCGCCACCCCATTTGCCCGGCAAGCATCTACGAACGCCTGTGCTGCTTGTGCAGGCCAGTCGGCTCGGCAGGCTGGGCAACGCAAAGGGTGCACATTGGCGGTGAGGTGAGCCAGGCATCCAAGGTGTAGGCGGTGCTGGCAATTTGGCCAGGCAAAGGGCGTCTCAGGGCCCTGTCCACTTGCGTGGACATCGCAAATGCACACAGGGCAGGCATTGGCAGAAGGGCATGCTGGGGGCACGGGGGTATCGGGGCCCAGCAGCCACGGCGGGGTAGTAGGAGCCACCTCAACCGGCGAGGAACACACGGTTTCCGGGGAGGGTATTGGCGGTCGGCTTGCAGTGGGTGCCAAAGGCGTGGTATCCCCTGGTGAGTAGTCAGGGGGCGTATCACACATATGAGCAAAGCTAACGCACCGCTCAGGCGCGGAGGGATAGCAGGCTCGGGCCAGTTGGGGCCGCGAGCTCCAGCACCCGCTCCAGGGGCGGGCCTGTGTGCTAGCAGGGCCGGCCACGCACAACCAAGGGCTGTGCTTGTGACCGCGTGCTGCACGGCAACTCCGAGAATGCCCCACCGGCGGCGCGACCAGCCTGCGCTCGCTGCTGATTGGAGGGCGGGTGGCGCGCGCTGCGCTCGCACGCGGAGCAGCTCCCGGACGAAGCGTTGGGCATCGCCGCTCCAGCGGCCCCCAACCTCCGACCCAAGCACCTCCAACCGCTGGGGGCCCCCGCGGCCGAGCTCCGGGTAAACAGCCAGCTTGCGGCGTTCTGCCACTCGCAGGACGGCCCCATCGGTTTCTGCCGCGCCAGGCTGCGCGTGTCAAAGGCGAGACCAGCGTAGCGTCGCAGCACAGAGCTCCTCCCCGGGGCGCGGCGCCGTACACGACGACATCGAGCCATCTGCGGTCGCCTGCAGGCACGCCCGGTGCATTGGTGTGGGCCAACCACTGTTGTGGTACGACCTGCCCGTCGGCCCCCACCGCCTCCCGCGCCAACCCAAGCGGGCGCGCCTGGCCAATAGGCCCGTCCGTGGGCACGCGAGGGCGTGGTCCCCATATTGGTCGACCCGCTGACCGCAGCCTGGTCCAGGGCCGCAACGGTTCGAGCACAGCGGCAAGGGCAGTCGCAGGCGGCGTTTCAGTGCAAGTTGCATGGCCTGTGGGGTCAACAAGGGTGAGTGCAGGCTCACTTGGGATGGCCGCCAGCCACATGCCTGTGCGCGCACCGCCTTGCGAGCGCAGCAAAGCCTTGGAGGCTGGGGGCAGGGCTGGTAGCAACACGCACTCGCGATAGTGTAGGTTTCGCGTCCACGTTTCGTGGTGCTGCCAGCCGTGCGGCCAGTCTCCTGGGCCCGCATCGCTGGGTCGTGGCGGGCGAGCGCCATCATAGGCCACCCGCCATTTGGGGCACTGGTCCCACCCCTCGTCAATCAGCAGGGTGCGGGCGGCGGCGGCCTCGCGCAGGCATGGGATGGTCCCGCCTCCGGCTTCCAGCGCCGTCAAGCTGTGCGCGGCAGCTTCTGGGAAGCGAGAACGGATGACTGGGAGGGCATCCATCCACGCCGCCCAGTATATATGCTGCCGGGGCCAAGGCCACCATGCACGGCTGGCATGGGCGCGATTGGCCAGGCCAGGCCGGCGTCGGTTTCCGGTATGCCTCCCAGGCATTCCTGCAATGTGTCCCACACGGCCTGGTCATGCCCCCGCGCATATGGTGCTGCCTGTGTGGGCGGTAGAGTGCGCAAGGCCGCAAAACAGCAACAACAGCCAAGCGCACTGCAGGTCTGGGAGCTGGGGCAGCTCCGCAAGGAGCTTGCGCTCCTCCTGCAAGCGATCTCCGATCCAGGCCCGCACAAATTCCGGGTGCCCCACAGGGGTGCCCAGAACCACGACTCCCTGCTTGCAGGGCGGCCTGTCCCCCCGCCAAACCTTTGCGCCCAGCTCTGCGATGCCTGATGGCGGCGGGCCGGCCTCGGCGGCGAGGACGCGCGTTTTGCCGAGGTTCGAGCCGATGCCGCAGAGATCCGAGACCATCTGGGTGGTGGTGTCTAGGGCTTCCCGCGCGCGGCTTGGAACGGTATCGATGTAGAGATCGTCCAAAAAGGCCATGAGGGTGTCCTCCGCATGCAGGCTGGAAGCCGCGCGACACAGCGCTTCGTGCTGGCCGAGCGCGTACAGCGCGGGGGTGAGGGGATCGCCCTGCTCGCAACCCTCGCCTTGTCGGACTTCTCTGCAGCGCCCGGCATCGTCCCACCAGCTGTAGGTGGAGGGTCGCCCGTAGAACATGCGCACGAAGGGGAGGAGTTCCGGGGCGCGGGGCGACTTCGCGCAATTTGGACATGAAAACCAAGCGTGACATAAAATCATACGCGCTACGACCGTCCAGAGAGACGAGGACCGCATCGGGACGCCGGGCCAGGGCAACTCGGATGTGGGCCGACAACGCGTCTGTGCCTGCCCGCGCTTGCAACGCGAACTGGTACGGGCGCGTGGCGTGATCGAAAACTTGGGCCCACTGTTTGGCGAGCGTGCGCGCAACCAGGCGTCTGAAGGCGTCGCCGGTGGCGATGCCACGTACCCCCCCGTCGGGTTTTCGCAGGGCGGTAAGGAAAGGGAAAAAACTCGGAACTCTGCAGCAATGGGAAGCGCAGTGACGGCACGCGGTCCGCCAGGGCCTGCTTCGGACGGAGGCAACGCGCAAAAGGCCGGGTCAAGGTAATTCAAAAGGCTCGCGAGCACATTTCGCCAACGGACGTTTGGAAGGTGCGAAAATATATGTCGTCAGGTCCAATGCTGCCGCAAGCAGTTTGTTAACCGCGCAGGTCAATGCAGCCTCGCCCCAAACACGGATGCCCACTCGTTCCACTTACGCAACACATTTGCTGCAGATGCGCTGCATAGCTGCTCGGTTGTTCGAGCAGCCTGCAATTGAAGCTCCACATCGGACGCTGTGCTACCAGATCCTCGGTCATTTACCGAACAGCCAAACAACCCGTGTGCCACACCACCAGAAAGGATCTCAACTGTCAGTCCGCATTGCATCGTCGAGCACGGTGGAGCTTGAACTTGGTGGAAAATATTTCGGAGGATGAGCCTTACTCGGCTACATTCTCCGACCAGGGTGTCTAAAATCCACGCTGCATGTGCTGAAGATTCAATCGAAACAAATACGCCATCAGCAAGGCGGACATGAAGCAGTTTTGGCAAGTTATCACCCTGCAGCGTCCACACGCCGTGTCCATGCTCCCGATTAACAATGGATGGACATGGATGTGCAGTTACCAAGTGGGGAGTTGGGATCTTGCTTGTGTTACTGGCGTCAAGCAAAAGGGCAGCACTTTCGTCATCACCGGCGTCGTTTCATGAGGCAGCACTTCACGGCTGGCATCGGCCATAGCAACCGAAGGGTGTGGGTCGCAGCGCTTCTGATTGGCCACGAGGCGATGGCGGAGGCATCCGCGCGCGCGCGCGCGCGTGCGAACACAGAAGCAACATCAGTGCCAACTTCAAAACCGAATGTACCGAATTGTGTAGTCGCAAAAGCTCCGGCAGGAAGGCGCCTGTGTGTTTTTGAGCTGCTCAATTACCAACCCGCACTCAGCAGCAGCTTCAATGACCTTCATCCACTTGAGCGCAACCAAAATAGAAAAGCTCGGCCATTTTCCAAAGCACCTCTTCCATAACCCGAGGTTTGCAAGGTGGCGCTGAGCTGAACAAAAAATTTTCGGGGCACATTTTTACGATAGCCGATAGCAGCAAACTCCGGTTCCTCCTTGGCCTTGGTCCCGGATTAGAGTCGGTGTGGCGGCGCACTCAGCGCCAGCGAGGTCTCGGGATCTCATCCCGGGCCGGTGCAGTGGCTGGTTCCGGCATGGCTTGAGAGCGCCCGAGTGCCGTGTGGCCAGCTTGCTGGACCGACTGGGGGCTTGACGTGCTTAACCAGCCGCACCGCATCCGCGTTCCACATCCTCTCACCTCGCAGCCGAGGACGCGCGCCAGAAACCAGTTCGGTTGGTGGCGTGTCCCCGCCTCTGGAAACTGGAAACGCGCAGGAAGCTGATCACTATCCGCCAAGGGCCGCCAATTTCGAAAACATCGATGTCTTCGTTAGCGCTTACGTTGCAACGCAATTCCCGTCTGGACAACGGAATGCGCTGTGCGATGATCAAGCCAGCCCCGTTCCAGCAGCAAGGTCATGCCATGTGTTTACGTGGTTGCAGGTACACATCCGCAACAATGTAATGCAACTGGACCAACATTCCATGAGGACAATGCCCACGTCCGACCGTCTGCAACGTCTGTTGGTGCGGACAACCTGCGGACGACATGCATTTGATGTGATAGAACCCAACATGCACCACCTTGGTCATTTCGTGTCCCATCACCAAGCGCCACTTAGCTGTGCAATGTCACGAGGCTCCTCTCGACCCACAGTTGCATTGAAACCACCAAGAGCGCGCCAAAAACAAATCAAAAACGCGTTCGACCTGGTCATCGGCGTCCCATGCTCTTAGACAATAGCATGAGAAAACATGAAACGGACTACCATGCAGCGAAAATCGCGCGCGTGGGGCGGGGACATTGCATGAAAACAAATGCCGGGGCAAAGCAAACGATGCACAAATGCCAATGCTCCTTTGGCCGCACTCGCGGTGTCTAACCCTGGCGCCAATTCAGCTCCCGTTCCCATCCGTGTTGCCACAGACATCGTTTCTTGCACGCACTAGAGAACTTCCTCATGATCTGCCATCGATGCTGATGCTGGAACGACGTAATGAGGGCACCACGGTGCAAAGTCGGCATGGGCTAGATTGTGGCGACCTCGCTGCTCGTCGGACGGGACATCTGGGGCAGCAAGCGCAGATGCCGCGGCAACGCAGGCTCCATGTTTATTGCCAATGCAGAACAGCGCCCTCGGCATCAGAGCCCGGCCCACTGCACAACTCATCACCCTCGACTTCGGCCTACAACGAAATCTGCCGCATCGTGATGGGGATGGTTTGACCATTGAGTGTATCCATGTGCGACGGTTTGCCAAAGGATGGCAGACTCAAAGCCGCAACCGCAAAGCCGCAGCTCAAGTGCGCCCGGAACCCCAGTGTCTCCACATCACGAATCACTCTCTACAGAATTTTGCTGACAATGTTCTCAGCTCGAGCTATCATGCCAAACAGGGGAATATCAGCACGTCAGTGACACGGCAAAAGGCGGCAAAGGTCCATGCCAGACTTGACGCCGTAATTGCTTGAACCAAAAGAGCTCGTGACGGTCTCAGAGGGTGCCTTCATGTGCCTTCAAAAAAGACGAAACGCCTTCGAGGGACCATGCGGAGGCTCAAAGATGTAAGGGAATGTTCGGATATGCTGCAATACCCCCAGATTTCCCTGCCAGTTATAGTAGTTCCGAAAGCAAGCGAGAGACGGCGATCCACAATTTTTGGCTCCGAGTGAAACGATTTGGAACTTTTTTTGAACACGCTGAGCAAAGGGCTCTCAGAGTCTCAAAGCAAAGGCTCAGAGTGGTCTTGAACTGCACGGAGCACGAGCTCCTAGCGGCGGAGCTCCACACTGATAGGGGCACATCTCTGTGATGTTAGGAAACATCTTGGCACCTCGATGCGGTGCGCCAGGGACCCGGAATCTGGAAAGCGCCTGGGCGTTGGAGGCTGAAGAACTCGGCAACTTGCAACTGCAAATTGCACCCATTTCCCGGCATTCGAAAACTCCAAGTGCCTCTGAATCGGAATAATGCGCCACCTCTTTTGCGCGGCCTTCCATCGATTCTGGCTTCCAGCATGTGATAACCGAAGCTCACAACAGAAAGTAACCGTACATACTTGTATCAAGATTTTGCTTTGCAGTGGCAAAGTGGTCTAACAGGGTTTCGCAAGAAGCACGATGCCACAGATCCCTCACGGTACGCGGCCACGGTGATAAAGGGTATTTGTTCATTGAACTTGTGCTTTCGCAACAGCAGCATACAGATTCAAGTGATCCAGCCCAAACCCGTGAACACACACGTGCCATTGTAGCATCCAGCATGATGTCGACATCATCATTCTTGACTACATGGGGCTCAGTAGGGTCAGTCTCATGTAAGAAAAGGAGCAGGAGACCAGAGGACCAGGGAGCCAAAACACAAACCTTCAAAATAAAATGTATGAAAACACAGATCGAACAACGTCCTTTCTCGACTAGCTCGAGCCTCCCAAGCTCCCAAGTGCTGTGCATCAAGGAACCAGGAACCACTGCTCCCCTGTGCTGTTCGTGCGCCTTGTGCCCTCTGGCATCGTGAGCTCGCACACGGGCTTCACCAAGCGAGAAGTGGAGCAAATGAAGCAACCTCACAAGCATTCGGAGATGCTCCACATGTCTCCGCAGCACACAAAATGACATCGCCCTCACCAGGGCAGACACTCTCCCAGAGCTTCGCCTCTGCAAGGCTCGGGCACTCGAACCTCGGCGCACTCTCAGAGCGGCACTGCGGCTGCGTGGGCTGCCTCGGCTCTGCAACGAGCCTGACCACCAGCCCCTGCTCGCTCGCCACATCGAGCACGACCTGCGACTTTTGAGCGAGAGGCAGAGGTGCCGCTGAAAGTGTCCTTGGGAATCTCGGGGGAACAGACAAAAGCATGGCTGGAGACAGGTGGCCTTGCGCACGGTGCCAGCAAGCACCCGCTTCTTTGAGGCCGTCTGCCTCAAGGGGCTGTCCGACTGTCCACCGCTCCGAGAAAATCCGCTCTAAGTTCGTACAACACCCGTAGCGTTGCAATTCAGCCACGGCGACAAGCTGCCGTCAGCCAGCGCCACGAAGAAGTTTGTATGCAGGCCTCCGCAACCACGGCAAACAAAAATGATCTCGGGCTTCGTCCGGTCCCGTGTGCCTTCCGTGATGCAGCCATCGGAATCGCTCATGATCACCTGCAGAAGGTGACCCCACTGACCAAAGCTGTCACTGCTCGCCGTCGGGGCATGGCCTCGTTGACTCCGGCTTCCTTCTGAATCTGCTCGAGGTGCTGGCGATCCTCTTGCCCAGCAGTTCGACCACAAAAGCGGCAGAAGCGGCAGAAGCGGCTCCTGCACCCACTGGACATCCTTGATGGTCGGGCTCCTGCAGGAAGAGTGCTGTCTCTCGCAGAGTATCTCGCAGCATGCCATTGAAGAGTCACGCACCACAAGCTGGTGACTTGCGCGCTTGCGGCAGGGCAGTCCTCCGCTCAGCGGGATGTGCTGCGACCTTGACCATGGCTTCCTAAGCAACCACATTGGATCCCAACATTGGATCCACATTGACCCGCAACGCAGCTCTCTTGGCGACTCCTCCTAGGCCTGAGGATAGAACAACATGAGGCAGCGGCTGCACAATGTGAAGACCTCTCACATGGCCAGTGATTGTGCCAGAGTACTGGACTGGCCAGCACAAAGCAACGGAACGTAGCCGGAGAGAACCAGAATACGAGAACAGGCCGAAAAGTGTATATTGCAAGCAGTGTTGCTACCACATCTCCGTGAAAGCCCTTTTGGAACAAGAACATTGACAGGTTCTGCTCGATTCGAGGAGATCACGGCGGCAATGGCATGACGCAAAGTCCACGAAGGATGCAAATTTGGGAGGATTGAAAAGATCGGCAAAAGAGGATTCATGGTTGGACTTGTGAGGGCAATGATGCTGGTGATTGACAGCGAGGCCGAGGATCCATGGTCAGCATCCGACTCAGTACGCTTGTCGCAGAGGCTTTCTTGGGAAAAACCGACAACTCTCGGTATACTTGTGTTCCAGTGATGCCCGCATCCACACTATCTAAGTCTCTGATAGTGACTTGAAAAAAGTTGAAGCATGTTGAAACCTTGAAGGATGAGACGCATTGACTTAGGCAGGGACATCGAAGCCCCTGTCGGGCGCGTGCTCCCCGACCGTGTCACATGTGAGCAGCATTGACCTCAGGAGAACTTCGCACGAAAATCTCACTCATGGGGGATGTCCTGTTCGGGGGTGGGGGCTCTTCTCCTCCACTTCCAATGCCTTCTTGTGCCCTCTAGTTTGACGTTGACCGCGTCCACGGAGTTGAAAGGATTCTCGGACATTGGCAGAGAATGCAGGGCTTGATGTGGGAGTCGCGAGATATCTCGAGAATGAGAAAGGTTCGATGGTGTTCACTGGCCCGTTGCAAGGACATTCTTCAGTCGCTAACACGCCAAGGTTGCCACCTGGTAGTCCATCTCACTGTCCTGCCAAGCTTCATGACAGAGCTAAGACCGATTGCACTTGCGGAGCGTGATAAAGACTAGACCATCCGTCCTGAGCCTCGTGAGCCTCGAGAGCCTCGAGGTACGTCAAGGCCACCAGGCACTCGCGCACCAATTCGGGCCGCAGAGCCTCCGGCTCTCACGTGACTCACGTGCATGGGGGCTACGGAAATGCAGCAATCGTTTCATTAGGCCTTTGTGCCGCCCTCAAGGAAAACCAGGGCCTTCTCCTCGCAAACCCCAAAAGCTGAGACACGGCCGAACAGCGGCTCTTTTCTCTCTCGTTCTCTCTCGCAACTCGACTCAAAACTCTCGAAGAGCTCTGATGCGCCTCAACTTCGCCGGGCCGAGGCCGTAGAACCTTGGCAGAGAACATGGAGGGGAAGGAACGAAGCGAGCCGGAAGAGGCCCCCCGGCAAAAGAGCCGGGAAAAACAGACGAGAAGACACAGAAGGAGCACTAACGAATGAGAGGAGCTGGTGTTTTTTCAGCTCCGTCTCTTCCTTCTCTTATACACTCACCTTCTCCCGCTCTCTCGCTCGGGGATCCTGCCTGATTCGGATTATTTCGGGCGCCATCTGGATGGACACCGAACGTGCAAAGTCTCAAGTGAGCGGGTGCATGCAACAACAGCTCTTGGTTGCACGGACGAAAAGAGTCCTGGATGCCTGTCGAACAAAGAAGCGCGAGGTTTCGCCGAATGTCACCACACACGACACACGCCAATCAAGCCATTACCATGTAGAACCTAGACATGACATGGAAAACGCTACCGGAAGATCCCGGATCCCATCCGAAACGTTCTTGGAAAGGTCCAAAAGGCCAGCATTGAAGCGAGGGGCTGCTATCGCCGTGTCCAGCAGCCGTTCGCAGTGCATCGACAACTCGAAAATCGCCTTTCGGCCCACAGTTCGCGCCTGGCGAAAAACAAGCAAAACAACGGCTAGCGGCTAGAGATTACCACCATTGCACACGTCATCACGCTTCGTCACACTTCATTGCACTTCGTTACTCTTCGGTATTCGTCACTAGTCCCGCGGTAGTCCTTTGTGGTTATCTGAGCATTGGACCGTGGTATATGCGCCACGATAGTCATCTCGGTCGATGGCGCGCAAGGTCCACGTGACAGTCTGTTAAAAGCGTATCACTCGGCTCGACCCCAAGCCAGCGGCTCAGCAGCTGTTGCTTTGTCCTTAGTTCAAATTGCCACAGACGTGAACAGCCCCCAGCAAGTCGCTCGAAGATTGGCTTGTTCAGACGTGTTCCACCTGTCCCTCGATGTGTCCTTGGGCTTTTTGTCCATAATGAGCTCGTGCGCGGTACAGGCATGGTGCACTTGCATGTCTCTTCATGAATTCGTGTCGTTGCTGCGGGGGCCTTAGGTGTTCCTGGTACACAAACACTCTTCGGCGCCCTCATGGGATTGCATAGTGAGGCCATGTGCTCGTTCTGTTCACAATGTGCCCTCTTAGAGCTTTTGCTTGGGTCCCTACCGGATTAGCGCCGTGAATGCGATGAGTGCCCTCAATGCCCTGTATGCCGCGCACATTGGTGCATTTTGTTTGGTTTGCACCTCAGCTCCCAAGGCTTCTTTCTGAGATCCTGACAGCCAGGGGGGCGAAGCTTCACCATTCCGGACCAGGACAACCTGGAAGACGCCCAAGCCCAAGCCCAAGCCCAAGCGCCCGAGCCCAAAGCTAGCCACCTCTTTGCCCTTGACTGAGGCCCGGGCCATCCCTAAAAGAGCATGAAGGCTCACAGGCAAATGCAAGATGATCTAGATCGTTATAGCGTTCGAAGCTTCGGGCTTGGGGTTCCTTTTAAACCCGAACCCTAACCCCTAACTCTACATCCTAAACAAGCCCAAAATAAATCCAAAAGGACCCCTACCCCTGACCCCTCACCAAAATTGGAACTCATTGAGTGCATGCAGGAGCGTGCTTGTGGTCGCTCATGAAACTGGAAGTTGCTTGACGAGAAGGCCTGCCCGTCTCTAAACGACCAAAGATGTCCTCAATTATCGTGACTGACTTGACTTTGACTGGCGAAAATGGCTGAGGACCGACGTGGAAACGCAACGCTCATCCATGCTCTTGCATGCCCGACAAATACATCTGCAAACGCCCTGCAAGTTTGGTCAGTCATGTTCAACTCCTGACCACTTCGTTTACTCCTCCTGCTTGGTTCCTTTCTTCACTATGACTTTTCCTGTGCACGCCGAAGCTCCATTGTTGCCGCGGCGATGTGCAGCCATGAACACGTCGGTCCTAGTCAGAAAACACACACACAAACACACACACACACACACACACACACACAGACACACCATCTCTAACGCTCGTTGCATCTGCAGCATCAAAACCCCACAAAACAACAAGGAACCGCCGCCTAATCGCGGAATCCCCTGCTTGATCGTACTCCTGCTACTGTTTCTTACTCCCAATCCTACTCTTACTACTCCTACTAGGCCCCATGAAGGAGGAGGCTACACTTCTTTGCAATCCAGTGTCTACCTCCCATGTCTACAATCTGCAGGCCCTCCTGTGCGATGGCAGAGTTGAGCAAGCTGGCCTGGATGGCGCAGACCTCACACAAGACAGTCCCATGCACGGAAGGCACTCCAAGAAAGCTTAAAAAACGCGATCAACTTGTCTACGGACAGAACCCCACAGAACGCCTGCTTTAAGAGGACGCTTTCCACTGCTATTGGTTTGGCCAATCCTCCACCCAGCTAATGGGCATGGCAATGGACTACAGAGGCGTGGGGTCCGTGAACTCATGAATGCCTTACTCAAGGGGGATTGCTGTAGATGCCATCCCTTAATAACCACCCCACCCCGCTCCCTGCTCCCCCATTTTGTACCAGTCTATATCAGGGGATGGGTGTGACGATGGGCTTTTCCTCTAATTTCCATATCAAGGGGCTTGACTGTAGATGGGAAGCCCAAGCCTAAATACCCCCAACCCTGAACCCCCAAGCTATGGGAAGGTGATTGAGAAGGGAACTTTTCACGTAGTTCAGCTCGAAGTGACTGGCATGTCCTCAGGTAAAGCTGCTTCTGTGCTACTCTGGGATTAGAGCTTGGAGTGTGCCATGGTTGGTCCCTAGTATTAGTGCGTATTTCGGGTATGATCTTTCGAACTTTGGGTTGAGGGTTGAGGGGGGATCTGCCGACATTTGAGGTGACATGAGGGCTCCGTGTGGTTTCTGGGGCCTTGCGACACCAGAGGACGTCAAGGGGATTACAAGGGAAGTGGAATGTACCCTCAAAGACATCTAGAGTTACATGGAAAGATTGCGTGATGACCATTTCTCAAGACAAGGGCTCCGTTGACTGACAATCCCCCCCATGCACTAGATTCCTTCTTGTACCCTAGAACATGACTCCGGATTGCTTGTTCCCTTCGATGTCTTTTCCTAGAAAGCCAGGATTTCCTATTTTGCTGGCGTGTTCCCTGCCATTTGACCTTGCCCAAGCCCAAGGCCATGTGCTCAGCTCCGGAGTGTCGATGTCCTGCGCGGATCACACAAAAAAAGGGTATATTGGGTATACGTATTGGGGTCATTCATATTTGGGCTGTCATGGGGGTATGCTGTGGCTAGATGGAGGTTTGAGGCCCAGGCTATGTCGGGATTGTATTGGGGATATTTGGGTCCCCGAAGTACTGGCGCGTGAGCTCGAAAAGGTTTATGGTTCCGTGATCTAGTAGCATCTGTCCCAAGTTACTGTCCTGCTTCAAGACGATTCCTAAATGCAACAAGATTTGTAGATGCAGGCCTGCAACCAACCAAGCACTAGAGACTTGGACGATTGGAAAACGCCCTGCGAGGTCAAATGAGATTGCCTGCGGCACCGGAAAGATCCGTTAACCGGAACCGCCTAGGGCGCCCATTCATGTCACCGTGTCACTGGCTTCCGGACAATTGCTGTTGACCCGAAACCCTACGCCTCCAGTTGACTAAACCAAGAACTGATGATCCTCCAACTGCACATTCTGTCTCAGAAGAGCAAGCTGCTCCAGCACAACATGGTACCACCCTATAAATAAATATATATATATATATACATATATATGGTCGCCCCCCCCCCAAGATCCACCCCCATGGCTGTTGAGAATCTCCTCACTCCAAAAATATACTCTTTCTTACGCATGCAGATGCAGACTTCTTTCTTGCAGCGATGTGTACATGCAGATGCCAGAAATGGACTACCAGGATCTGGTGGTTCGTTTCTGGTATTACCGATTTCGTTCTTATGGCGACGTGCGTGCGTGTGTCGGTGTGTGTGTGTGTGTGTGTCTGCAAAATGCGAATATGGCTTGCCTGAAACCCAGGAAATAGGGACAGTACAGCACCTTTCGCCTCTTGAGACTGCAGAAGTGCTGTACTGTCCCTATTTTGGGCTTGCATGTACCAATAAAGTGCTGTACTGTCCCTAAAAAACTTAAAAACCCAATTCCAGCACTACCAGCCCTGGAGCCCCCGGTCGTTCCCAAAAGATTGGTTTTTCAGGTTATTGAGGGACGGCACTTTATTGGTACCTGCAAGCAAAACACAGGGACAGTACGGCACTTTCGCCTCTTCAGACTGCAGAAGTGCTGTACCGTCCCTGATTTTGCCTGCCTGAAGACGAGAAAATAGGGACAGTACTTTCGCCTTTTCAGACTCCAGAAGTGCTGTACTGTCCCCATTTTTGGCTTGCCTGGGGACGAGAAAATAGGGACAGTACAGCACTTTCGCCTCTTCAGACTGCAGAAGTGCTGTACTGTCCCTACTTGACTTGCAAGTACCAATGATGTGCTGTACTGCCCCGAAAAACCAATTTTTCCAGAACCATATATCTCCTCGAGTTCTTGCAGTATCTTAATCACTCAACCCTAAAACTACAACTTCGCGAACATATCTCAAGCAATCATCCCCCCATAAGCAAAACCTGAACTTTACACTAAACACTGTACCATAGCTATCATATCTCAAGCCTTCACACCCCAATAAGCAAAACAGAACACTATCCTAAAACTTATACCCATAGCTAAGATATCTCAAGCAATCATTCCCCGATAAGGAAAACCTGAATTCTATCATATGTCGATTGGTTTGCTCATATCTTTAGAATCCCAGGATGTAGTGAAAGGACATTTGCTCACAGTATTCTCGCGTCCCCCGGGGCGCAAGCCCTACAAACATAGGCATACCCCTATGAGATGTAAGGTGTAGGGGTTGAAGCCTCAAGCCCCATATAGGGTTATAAGCTTCTAATCGTATAGGTCATGCCCAAACCTTAAACCCTGTACATGTATACCTTCAGCGCCCTTTAGACCCTTAAAACAACTCTATGGGTTTAGGCGTAAAATGCCTAAGCCTTATACCCTAACCCCTTACACCTTAACTCTACAGGGCTTAACAGTTAGGAATTAAGTTTAATTGCCGGCTTGGGTTTCAATGTCAAATCTTAAACCCAAAAACTGTCAACCTTAACCTTAAAGAGTTTAAAGGTTTTTGAGGCTTAATTGCTAAACCCTACAGGGTTTCGGGGCTTCTCTTGAAAGCCCAAAAAAAGCCTTAACCACCAGGGCACTACATAAGAGAGTAAGCCTTGAAACCAGAACCGGAGCGCAGCGAGGGGGCAGGGTGTGGGGGCTGTTCAGGGGTCCCCCCCTGCCCCCCCCCCCCCGCCCCCCGGGCCCCTTTTACAAGCAAACTTTTTTGTAAGCAATGCGTTGTGTGACAAAAACTCCTTCCAACCAAGATTTAGTTACCAACTCATACATATCTTAAATGCCCGATCCTTAAACCCTTATGGTTTAAACTCTATGGGCTTAGGTTAAAATGCCTAAATCTGAAACCCTAAACCTTTAAACCTTAACCCCATATGGGTTTACAGGTGAAGGGCTTAGGTTCAATTGCCGGCTGATGTTGAAAAGCCTAAATCTTAAAACCCTAAACCTTTAAACCTTTAAACCTTAACCCGATAGTAGACATCAGGAAAGTCAAGACTACAAGCACTCGGAAGAGTGGATCTTGGGAGGAAGGCGAGCATACATATGTATAATATATATATATATAGATCCATATGGTATGATATACATGCAAACGTACATGTGAGAAAACTATATATATATATATGTATACATATGTACATGTGAGAAAACTATATATATATACATATATATATGTGTATATATATATGTATACTTATGTATGTATGTATGTATGTATGTATGTGCTATTTTTGTATATGGTACCCCCCCCCCCATATGCCTACCTCTTTGTTTTTGTTCTTGGCGCAGGTTGACTTTCATTCCAATAAATTCATTGTTTTCAGAGACAGTACAGTATTTTGGAAGCCTGGGACTGCAAAAAAATATTGCACTGTCCAGTTCTTTTAACAAAAGCACATGGGCCGTGGTTTTTATTCCTAGAAGATTTTCTATGAAATAACGAACCCTTCCGAGGAACCCTTCCGCGGTCCTTCCGCGAGTATTGTTTCTGCTCGTCCGCTTCCTTTGCTTCCGCGGACGCTTCCCTGATTTCGCGCATTTTTGAGAAACTTGCTTCCGCGAGTAGGTCCGTAAGATGTAAACTCGAACACGCGTCTGGAACTTTGAGACTACACGATGAGACACGCGTTCCATGAGAGTGCTGCAGCTTGAGCTGGCAGCAGCTGCGCAGCGGCACCATCTACTTCAAGAGCGCGGACTCAGTAGGAAGGGCCTGGGCCTTCAGATGGGCAT